AAAGCTCAAATTAAATTGAAAAAATTGAAAATTTTTCAGAAATTTTGAAATTTGAGAAATTGGTCCCGACGCGATTTGGATTTTTAATTTTTTTGGAATGGGTTGTGGCAAGGTGGTCTCGTAATAAAACCAGGAAATTTTGAACTTCTGAAATCGGAATACTTTAGAGAGAAAGAGCTGTACGTTGAGCCAATCGTGTAGTGTCACACCACCTCCGAACAGATTTTACCGGAATCCTTTCCTCCTACCAACTCATTAGAAATATTCATGCACTCCAAACCTTGTGTGGAAATGGGATCCCAACCTCCACCATGTGATCCTCATCTTATAAGACAATCTCAGCTCTTTCTCTGAACAATTCCGATAAACAGTTTCACAATTTCGAACTCTTCCATTTCCTCACACAGGTGATCGAAGGAATTAAACCAAGTCTCGACGAACACGACCTACTACCCATAGTCGCACAGTTCAACCTGGGAACATAACAAGGCTTGGTTTCCTTTCTTGGATTTTCAGAGTTCAAATGAACTATAAGAAGAAGTTGAATGGTTTTATCCAGAGATCAAGATTACATCACGACTCTTTATAATTGGATTGTCCCATATGTATAATCGTTTATGTTTTCCAATTGCAAATTGAATTGTATGTGATACTTGCAGTATACTAAATGAATTCTTCTCATGAGATGTTCGGAAACTTGGCCGAGTTGTTCACATATCCAGGCTAATCACACGTTTGTTCTCTATTCATCATCTTACGGGAATCTGGAGAGAGGTTCGAATGGAAAAGCAATGTTCCAACAATCGAAATGAGAAGCTAGAAAAGCAACTACTTGCCTCATGAATGAAATGTTTAAAAAAGTAATGAAGAGAAGAAGAAACGGAGACTAAAAGTGGGAAAAGAGAAGGAGAGTATATGTAGTAGAGAACATGGCGGAGCCATTAAGTATTTTCAGTTACAGACGGATAAAGCCTGGCTTGCTGCCGCAAGCGACAGCCTTGTTGCCATGGTAATGCAGTAACCAAAACCTCCGTTTGGCGTTTTCGATCTTCTGTCTGATGCTCTTTTCTCTGAATTACATTCATCACAAATCTCATAACGTTCTCTTAAACTTACTTTCATTTTAAGAAGAAATGATGTGCTGAGTTTGTATTCCAACTACAACACCCCGAAACTCCAAACTCCATATCCATTCAGCTTACATTGCAATCATAATAATCTGAAATATTTTTATTCAACCAAACGTTTATATTTCGGAAAAAGTTTCACTTGCCATGTGTTTTCAATTCGAAGAAAATGCTTTTCACATCTTGGCGTCTCATCGCACATTTCTCTTTTCCATATCTACCATAGTCTTTCCCTGTGTATGGAAGAGCTTCTACTTCCTGCTTGGATTACAGGAAGAGCAGTATCTTACACGCAAACAACGAGAATATCACATACATCATCATCGCAAAGTTCAAGAAGGACTTTCGGGATAACAGTAGTGTGTCTCCATCTTCTTCCCTGCTTCTTCATTCATCTCATTGACTGTTATTGTAACTTCTAATCAGAAGATAGGAATCCCAATGCTCTCTTCTTGCTATTCGACAGACAATAACTTTATTTGTTAATGAACACTCGTTATTTCAGCCAAACATCTTCGAATGGGTGAACGCGAGAGAATCTTGGCAGATCGATATGCAATGACAAAACGTCTAGGGGACGGCACCTTCGGTGAAGTACTTCTAGCTAGAAAGATAGATACAGGTGATAAAGTAGCAATAAAAAGGTTTTCAATCTCCTTTCCATTTCTCTCTTATATTTTGCTGTTGCAGAATGAAAAAGAAATTCTATAGTTTTGAAGAGGCGATGGCTCTACGGGAAGTTAAATCATTGAAGAAGTTACAACATCCGAATATTATCAAATTGAGGGAGGTGAGAAGCAACATAGTCATCTGTCAGATGCCAATATCCACTTAGGTCATTCGAGAAAATGATATTCTATATTTCGTATTTGAATTTATGCAAGCCAACCTATATGAATTAATGAAAGATCGGTAATATGCTAATGAGACAACTGCCAACACATATCTCTGTTCAGGGACCGTTTCTTCCCCGAGAGTGTTATAAGGAATATTGTTTATCAAATACTGCAAGGCTTAGGGTTTATGCACAAGAACGGTATGCTAACTATACAATCTCGATAATCCAATGATAACTATGCCAATGCCAGTTATGAGATTTTACAAGACTTTTCAGGCTTTTTCCATCGCGACATGAAACCCGAAAACATTATGTGCAATGGTACTGAGCTTGTCAAAATTGCTGATTTCGGCCTGGCTCGTGAGATACGATCAAAGCCTCCATACACTGATTATGTCTCTACGAGATGGTAAGTTGCTTTCAAAGAATTAATCGATGCTAATTAGCATATTCTGAACGTGTTTACAAACGTGCGTTACCACGTAGTATGCTCACGTGTAATAAGATTACTTTCATGAGTTTGTTGTCAAAGAAAACGGTTGTTACATTTGAACCACTAGATTATGGTAATAGAAGACAATAATTGAATTCCAGGTATCGGGCACCCGAAATATTGTTGCGTTCAACCTCATACAATAGTCCAATCGATATCTGGGCACTAGGATGTATTATGGCGGAGCTCTACATGCTTCGTCCATTATTTCCGGGCACAAGTGAACTCGATCAGCTTTTTAAAATTATTAATATTCTTGGCACACCAGGCAAAGTTAGAATTATCATAATTCCACCCTCATTAAAAAAACTCATTATAGGATGAATGGCCGGAGGGATATAAACTTGCGGCAACAATGAATTTTAGATTTCATCAAGCACAGGTATGCATTCGTTTGAGCCAATTAAGATTCTTCATCCATTCCATTCATCCTGATAGAGAAATTTTGTTATTCAGGCAACACCCATGGAACAAATAGTGAACACTATAGGAAAAGATGGAATGAAGCTCATGATGGACATGATGTTATGGAACCCGGAAAAAAGGCCAACAGCTACTCAGGTTTACTGAATGCCTCATGGAGATCAAGATGAACATGAATTTCTTCATTTCAGTCACTTCGCTATAAATATTTCCAAGTATCGGAAAAGCTTGGAGCGCCAGTCATGAGCCAACCAGCACCCGGAGTTACACGAAAGACAAGTGCAGGAAGCACACAATCGGATTCAAAAGCATTCCTCAACAAACAAAAGGTGAGCCAGTAGCATTAGGACCCGGTAACTATCGTTTCAGAATAATTTAAAGGAGTACCCTGGATCAGAAAATGTCTCGCCGTTAGGAAAGCCAGAAAGAAACATAAACAGGAACATACCATTGAATAGGAGCATGTTGTTCGACAAGTCAGTTCTTTATTACTCTTTTCCCTAGACGTCGTTGAGGTTGAAGTATACTGAGAACAATTAATTGTTTTGCTTACGAACAGGTGACACAAACCTTTCCACAGCAGCAATTAGCATTAACTTGTAAAGACGACTTCCTGTTGTCAGACAATTAATGCCGCACCTCAATTTATGCTTTCACTAATATGTTATAATAAGTAACACTAACTATTCAGTAGCTTCTTCTGATTATAATTAATAATTGAGGCCATTCGTTGTCCTTCTATTTCAATTTGTCGTTCAGAGCTGATGATGCTAAATCTGAACGTAAACCAGCAGGAGCAGGTGGGATCCCGTCTGGGGGATTGGCAGCCGGGCAAGAAAGAAAAGCGGCTAAAGACATTTATATGGCCAAAAGTCGATATATACCGGGTAAGCTTAAAGATGTGGATTATATGTATTTCATAACTTGAAGGAGCTGTACCTAAGGAGGGGGGAAACAACGCATTGGCTTCCAACTCGGCAAAAAAGGAGGGACGATCAGCTGTGCAAGCAAGGTTCGAGTATGCATACGGTGAGATTCCTGTCATCTTTCCTATCGAAACTATCTAAAATATTTATTTTCTGATGAAATAAGTGGCGAATGTATGCTATACCGCTTCCAGAATTCGTCGTCTAACTTTCTTGTGACATCCAATCATTTCTATTTAATGCATGCAACCATAGAGCGTGTGATTCTTAAAATCCTCCAAGCTTCTATTAGCTGTTTGACTGATCTATCCTATCCAGTCCTCTAAGTTTTTCTGTTTTAAGAAACATTTGAGAGTGACACAAGAAACAGAACTTCTAGTTTCCAGTCTTTTCACCTTTTACCTTTAAATGTTTTCGTTTGATTTGAACAAGTGAATTATGATATTCACATTAATTGTTTTCCATCTTGCAGGGTACGTCCCAAATTTCGGAGCTAGAACTCTGAATCAGAACAACAATACAAATGTGGTAGCGAATAGCAAACCTAGTCCCGGCCGAATAGATTGGGCAGCCAAGTATGTCAAGACAATCTAATAGTTAATCGCTTACATGTATTCAGGTATATCCGATAAAGCTTTCACACTTCTTTCATCGTTTCTGGGCGAAACATTCACAACATGAGTGCTCTTGCAAGTTGAACAACAAGACTTGCAAGAGGAGAAGTTTCTATAACTACGGGTCCTATCATTTCACAAACCCTACATGTTACCAAGTATTAAGCCAGATACAGTTAGCCGGTATTTCATCTCTCTATATACCAATAAAGTGAATAATTTATTTGCATTGAGTGTATTAACATCACATCATCTTCTCTAGAGTATATAAGAAACTAATTAAAAAACAAAAAAAGCGAATTAGCTGTATAACCAAATATAATGAAATATAACCGAGGGAGAATCACAGAATATAAACATCAGTTACATATACGGCAGAAGTTATTTCGTTGCAGAGGTCTACTTCAAGAAAACTTCGGATCCTACTAAGCAAATATGTTGTAATCTAAATAGTTTCAAGCTAAAGAAGACTGATATGATCATGAAAACATCATGTCAGCATTCTATGCTATATGTATGGATTGAGTGTCACTTTGTTCTCTTATAGGAGGGAGGGAGGGAGGGAGAGGAGGAGGAGGAGGAGGACGAGCAGGAGAACGAGCGAGAAGTTGGAGCGGAGCGGGAGACAACAAAATCAAACACCTTCAGGAGTCTGAATGTGGAAGGAGGGAAACAATATCACTATAACTTTAGAATATCACTTAAATCTCATACATGTTCATAGAAGCGAAAGAAAGAAGTGAGCAAGTGAATTTCAAGTGAGAATATGGCGAGTAAAAGAACAAATAACAATCCTCTACCGAAGAGCTCAAGACCAGAAGCTTAAAACGTATTCTGAGACCTGCTCAAGGTTAATAAGATTCACGCCACAGTGAAGACTATTGGAGAAATTAGTTGAAACTCTATTAGTATGAGAAATCAGTAGAATTTATATAATATCAGAAAGTTTTCATGACATTATATTCCATATCTATAACCAATCGAGGGAGTGATATAGTGATGAATGGTTTCGAATCAGTATTAGCGCACTGCTGACTACATGATATGCTCATAAAATGCAAAGTGATGAGTGACATTGAAAAACTGAAACAGCATAGCTGTGATGATGGGAGGAAAGGCTGGCGATGAAGGAAAAAGGCTATCACGTCTAGAGAAAGACAAAGAGAACAAAAAAATATAAAATATGAGAAGAACAGGAAACGAAAATGTTCCAAAACGGTTCTAATAAAATTCAAAAATAACCATTTACACCCCTCAATTAACAGTTCGAGGATGTATTCTGATTGTCTGATTTGATTACATGAGGACTAACAACTCTAAACCAGGATGAAGGAAGGATAACTCTGGAGAGAAAAATTAAAAGAAAAACCGTGGTACCAGTTGTTATTGCCGAAGGGAAACGGTACTATATTGAGCATATTATGATCATTTGATTTTATACTTTGCAGCTTGTAAGTCAAACCAAGTCTTTTTGAGGGGAAATGCTCATATCACAATGGGAATAATTGTCCTTTTCCATAGTGTGACTGACGATCATTGCATCTTCCCGTTCCTGCAGTCTCTTATGGCGATCCCTCACATCGATATAATCAGTTAAGGGAGGTAAACGCATAGCTATTCTCGCTTCTCGTGAAACATCCATATCAGAATCACCAACTAGGCGGTTTAGAATCTCTTTAACCGATAAAGTTTGCTCATTCCCTAAAGGAGCAGGCTTGAGTTCAGGGTTCAGAAGCCCTAAAACTCTGCAAACTCCTAAACGGACATTCGCTACTTCTGAAATAAGCCCATTATTATTCCATAATCGTGTTCATCAACTCACTATCGAAAGCCATAGCAGATACATGAGGTAAAAAGAAATAGCGGAACTGTTCCTCATCCATAGCGTTTCGTCTCAAACATCTCTCACAAAGATTGACAAATCTGAAAGTGTATCAGTGAGGCAATGAACCAGGTAGGTAACTAACGTTTGCCGCCTAGTCCACTTTTGAGTTTTGGCGAAGCCCGAAACAATATCTTGAACTAAACGTTCGCTCAACGGCGCCAGAGGTTTATTATCGGTGGATTCTTCAGCACTTTCCATATTATTCCACTCGCCTTTGAGAATACGAGCCAAAACGATAGAGACAAGTTCTACAGCTTCTAATCGAACTTCAGCAACACGATCTAATGAATGAGAAACTATGATTATCAGTATGAGTTTGAAGTTCAAACCATTAGCCAAAGTTAATGCTATCGCTGTCATTGTTCTATTGATATCTTCTAGACTGTATATATCACAAAGCTGTTGACATTGCCTAAAAAGTATTATTTCAATTCTATCTAAACAAACTCGAACACTTACAGAGCAAACTCCAAACGATACCTCCAATTAGAATTCATAGCATTGTTGTCTATGGGCATGAAAGAAGGAAGAATTTCTACCATTTTCAGCTGACTTTTTGGAGACAAACACTGTAAGATAACGTTATAATCTTGATTGGAACTTGTAAACTTACTTTCACAAACTGGAACAAGTTCTTCAGAACACCAACTCGTACTTCCGGTAAATCCGATCTAGAAGAAGGATTATTCAATAACGTCATCACACATCGAACTGAAGTTTAAGCATCAAACAATATACAAACCTCAAACTATTGAAAATAGGCAGAAGATCAGATTCGGTTTTGGAAGAACCAATAATAACAGCCATTTCGTGTAAAGAGCTGGCAATGGACAAACGAACTCGTAGCTGAAAACGAATTGATAAACAGAGTCTAAAGAGTGTTAGTTTCAGTTTGTTTTCTTTCTACAATATGCCTCGTCAAATGATTGGACCAATATAATATACGTCATCTTTCTCTCTTTAAAATGGAATAGTCTCTCTTACCTGGTCATCTCCCGCTAATTGAACGTAAGTGCTTCTGATTTGAGACCAACTTGACCGTCCAAGAGTGAAGGCCACCGCAGGGAAGTTATGAGCACAATATCTATTGATATCTCCCTCATTCGTACCACTTGTAGAAGTCATCGACATATAGCTCTCAATCAACGCCTTGGGAACGAGTCTCTGCAATATAAAAATTGAGCCGAGTATATGGAATTTTAGAAAACGAAAAGAAATGAGTTACTGAGCGAAAGTGAAAAACTCGAATTGATAGCTTATCAGAGAAAGTATTGTACACTTGAACACCAAACCTAATGCAGATAAATAAACGAAAATATTATTCTTACCCGAGTGTGAACGGAATCTTTTTCTTCATTCTCATCATCCATAACATCTTCATCGTCATCATCTTCATCCGTTCCTCGCACATCTTTGAAGATTTCCATATCTTGATCATCACTTCTGAAATTTGACACATAGTATATCAGGAACGGTTTGCAATTTAAGAGTTTTAAGGATATATGAAGATAAAGATAAACGGAACACCGGAACTCACTCAAATGAGAATGTTGACTGCTTTGGACTGTGAAGTAGAGAGTCGTTTTTAGTTTCTTTTTTGAAAGAGTCTGTAAACTGCTGGTTGAGATTGAACGGAACAATGGTGGTTAACCTGATGATTTTGTGTGTATGGCGAGTATATCAAATCTTCTATCAAGGTAACTGACTGATTTGTCTTCATCACTAGATGCTCCGAATGGTTGTAATTCTCTGTAAGAATAAGCAAGATGAGCACTTCTTCTGACATAAATCAAACTTACAGATCAATATCTATGTCGTCTACATCGTTCGACCAGTACATTAGTTGATTATAATTATCTTGAGAATGGGTAGATGAGTTCGAACTGTTCAGATCATCTTCACTGCTCTTGTTCATTCTTCTGTCGTCGTAGTCGATAACAGTAATATCCATAGCTTGGATAGTTTCCACATCTCCTTCTTCATCACTATCCATAGACATGTCAACCACGGTACCATCATCCAATCCAATACTGAAAAGAAGCCAAGTGTAACGAGTCAATTGGAAATTAATAGTTCTGAGTTAATTAAAGGATATAATTAAAGTAACAAGCCGTACTTCGAAAGATCTTCCACTGAATTACATTTCGCAGCTATACTAGAGCAAGGATCAGATTTTTTGCTGAAAAGCATGAATTTGATATTGTGTACAAAATAATCTGGAGAAGTTAAGGCAGGCCAGAACGGAGGAAAATCACAAAAAAACTTAGATGAATAGACATGCTACATCAACGACAGACGACTGATTCAGACAAAATTTTGTGAGGAAAAAAACTCTGCGGAGTCGGAAACGTTCAAGCGAAAATTCATGCGGCTGATGAGAAAACACAACAAACTTCAAGGTAGGAGCATCGTGCGCGTATTTCCTTGAGCTCGAGGTAGCCCAAGCATCCATCATATCTTGAAGACCATCAACAACTCTAAAATCGCAGTGGAAACTATATCAGGATGTAGTGCTGTTGAATAACGTTCACCCCGTACAAGAAGGGTCTCTGAGGGATACGAGAACGAGGATTGGGGAGAGACTAATAAGATTACTAGAGGAGATCAGCTGTGCTATGATCAGACAACCAAAAGAGAAGATGAAGATTAACTACAGTAATAAAGGTACTGAAACCGAATGAGAACACCAACCTAGTTAAATTATCTGTTGGTGAAGGTGTTTCATCAGAGCTCATCTGATCATCCAGTATATCATTAGGGAGCAGTGCTCCTGGAGGAAGGTATGAGAACGTTTTGTCTGAAATAGGAGAATCCCAAAGATTCTCCGGTATTTCCGAGATGTCTCGTTCTTCCCCACATACAAGAACCTGAAGATAGACAAACGTTTGTTATTAACATGTCAGAACGAACTTTTCCATCCATTAACTTCATGCCTGTGACATGAGGGTTAGCAAATGTTGAAATGAATGGTCCTAACTCTTGAAAAGCGGCGAAACAAACCTGAAAACCTTGGCATAAGACTACTCATTTGACAAGTACACAAACCCATCTACTAGGATCCCGAAGTAAAGTTATAAACTTGGGAGCCAATACTTTTTCACGCGTTTGCCTACGGCAGTACTTTGAAACCTAGAAAATAATAGATGATCGGGGATATTGGTGGACAAGCTGCACACACAGAATTTTGGTTTACTCAATACTGTCTTGAGTTTAAGTGAGTTCATGACCATAATAACAAAATCTTCAAATTTCTAGGTCTATTCTAGCAGAAATGAAGTAGAGAGGATGAGCAACCTTGGAAAAAGCCGAGACATTGCGATCAATTCTCATCAGCTTGTACGCCGAATAAGATGAATTGCCCTTACATGCATCTATCTATCTCCTCTACGTTTCAAACCTCACTTTGCTCGACGTTTCACCCCAAAACAAACAACTGCAACTATAAATCATTAGCTCTTCATATTCTTGCCAATGACATTTCCACTTACATCCCCCGCCACCCGAACCCAGAAAGAATTTTATAATTTTTCCCCAATTTATACAAACTTAAAAGTAATTTTCGATCTCTTTCACTTCCCATACGAAGTTGCTACGCATTGCAAACTTCAAAAATACACACAAACATAAAAATTCCATAGCAACGACGCGGAAGCTTTTCATGAAATAAACGAAAACGCTTAAACCACTGCACAGCTAACGTGCATGAATAACTATTAAATTTTGAAAGTACTTCTATCTTTCTCACAATGTAAAGAACTGCAAATTTATATTTGAAAGAGAAAGTAACTAACCTCCACGAAGTTTTCACATACTGTCTTCCGTACTCCCCAATTAGAATCATCACATAATGCAAGGAGATGAGGCACGGAGAACTGAAAAAGAAGAAGAGATAACTCATGTTATAATCACATCATTCCAATTATGTATCTACAAAACTCAAATTATCCCTTTTAAAACAATTCATTTCATTCAATAGATCAGTGTTCTTATCCTGAACCTTGTAACTCGATCACACTCATTTTGTGAACTATAATCCTGTTTTCATCATGATTTACGCTTCTATCTCTCTAAACTTTCACCCATGTTTTCTCATCCAATATCAGCAGAGTGGAGAGAATAGCAGAATTGATTTAATGAGCTCTCTCTGCTCTCTGACTAACTTTCGTTCAACTTTGTTGCAAAAAAATTTTAAACTATAGCGGTCTTCTTTAAAAAAATGTTCTTTCGCTCCCCCTTGGTTCTGCAGTAAAGTTGGCAGCTTATCAGCGCATGAAAGTTTGTTGATCATCTGTGGATCTCAGATCAATCGTACTTTATCCTCAAATGATCCGGCATTGTGAGAAATAGCCGTCCGAATAAACAAATGTTTGTTGAAAGACTACAAAGTCTTCATTTCAGACAATTATTGGATGATATCGCTGAGCTCATAAAATATTTAATTTTTCAGAGAGTTTAAAACTCCAGAAGCAATAGCTGATCTCGCTGTTATGACTTTGTAAACAGAGCAGAGAAAAGCTGTCACGTGAAAATGAAGGAATGAGATGAAACTATCTAACTGAAGAAAAAAACGATCAAGTCTCTCTTCAATTCCCGAACTTGCGTCGTCCCTTTATCTATAAACTGGAATTAAAACTTTCCATTAGAAACATTAATAAGTTTCTAAAGCATTTCGTCTGTCTCTGTCATATCGACAACATACTCGCTGGCCATTTCCGCTTCATTCTCGACATGCTTTGGACATTATATTTTAATCTTAGGGTCTTTAGTCTGTGTCAGCCCCAACCATAACCTTCATAGCTTAGTTTCTGAGGATTTGCAACAAACAAGTAGATGTAGTTACGAAGCAAACAACTTCTCTACTTAGTCTTTCTACTTCATTCTTTCCGAGCAGACACTCAAAATTTTACGTTCGTTTGTCTTTGAAACGTTTGAGAACACCACATGAAGCGAGGAGAAAAAAAGAGGAAGCAAGCTCAGGAATAAAACGACTATAAACCAACGAAGGAACAGGGGTTAACTATGGAAGAGGTGAAGCAAGACGCTAACGTCCCCACTATCCTCATTTTACTTAGCGCCGACATCTAGTACTATTTCTAGTCAGTTGAACAGCACAAGAGTTAACAACCAAAGATCAAGGAAGTAGCATACATACACACAACCGATTCGGCACAATAAGTTATTGGTTCACTACCAACATCAACACGCATTGAAGAGGCTCTGAATCTGTTGTTTGTGTTACCGTTTGCTAAATGAAAACAACCATACTCATAATGAGACAAATGACATCGATATTTTGCAAGAACTCGGGGAGAATCAGAAGATGAGTGAAACCATTCGTTCCAACTGATACCAGTTATTTGCAGCATAAACTTCAAGAATTCTAGTGATGATGTTTCATCTCCTTATTGTCTGATTTGCTTTCACAAGTTAAGCAGGCCAGTCGGTTTATGTCAGAAGTGAAAGAACAAGAAGCAAGCAAAGAAAGACCAATCCATCTAATCACTGGAGTTAGAATGGGCTCCTATACTCATATGCATAACGTATGAGATTCTCTCCATAGGAGCTGTCGAACTCTCTAATTCCATTTAGATGCATATAATGCACATATAAATATCTTCTAGTACCAACATTTCATATTGAATTAGCTGTGCTTCCATCAACTGAATATGCACATGCACATTCAACAAGAAGTAGATGATGATGACAGCTAAACTCAAGAAAAAGCACACAAAGGATATGAACCAGGATATTGGGAAACAAAAAAGCGGAAACCAAGAGTATATCGACCAAGAATCGAAAGTCACAAAAAGTGAAATGAAATCTTTCTTGAGACCAGAAGCAAGTTGCAGAAAGTTATAGAAACGATTTCCGTATGGTTGTTCCTAAGCTTGCTATTATCATGAGTTTCGCTCTCTAAAAACTCTCTCACGTGCTGAGCGAAATCTGGTCCCATAACTCAATAAGAAGACAATTCAAAAATACTATGGTTTCGTTCTATAAGATTCAGTACAATGGACACGTATATCCCTTTGTATTTAAGATAGCGTTTCTTTCCTCTTTCACATTTCATTTCCCGTAACTTCATCTGCTGTAGAAAGGGCAAAGCCATTTAGACTATTGGAAGCCCATCACAATGAATCTTTTTTCATCATTAATTATATTCAAACCATCGTGTCATAGCAATTTTATGCTGTCCAATTTCAGACCTCCAGTGAGAAAGGATATATGGACAAAGAACGATGATTAACTAGCTCCTATAATATCGGACAATCCAAAAACTCCATCCTATTTCCATATAGCTATTTTACTCTTTGTCTACTCAAAATCTTGAATAGAACATGAAAAAGCATAGAAACAGAGAGAAAGAATAGTATGAAGAAATAAGTAAAAGGAACTAGCACGAGATGAACAAACGCACTTCAACAAACCCCATCTCGTTATTCGTCTAACTACGATAGAATACAGAGGATGCTCTCATGTAAGTGATTGTTTAACTCGATCACATGATTATATCCCACGATTGGAGGGATAGGAATCAGAGAAACAGAATTATATGGCAAGTTAAAGAAAAACGCAGCCCCGACTCTCAGACCAAACATAAACAAAGAGCAAGCAAACGGAACTAACCATGTCTGTAAACCTTGTTCCAAACATTCGTGAAACATGTCCAATTATTGAAATCGCTACCTGTAAGAAAATAATTAAATTTGATACTTTTATGATAACAAGACATATAATCTTCTATATTGTTCAATCCCTCATTGTACTATAGCTCTCAACTTGTTCAGCTCGTTAGGCGCTTTTTTTCCTCTCCATCTTCCCCTCCATGTACTTTAAGAAACCATTGCACCATATCTTCAGTCCATTCTCATACCAAATGACTTGGAACAACGATGACAGGAGATATATATTTCTTTAATCGCCATCACGTGATGCCTTCTAGCACAAGGGCACACCACCCGTTATTGTCGGCATCTTCGTTGTTGCTGTTCTGCCGTCCTTGTGCTGAGGTCGCTAGATCATTTCCTCAGAACCAATGAACGAACTCGTTTTGAAATGGAAATCATGAGGTCCCAGATGTTCTTCATCTAATCCCCTCCACACTTCCCTTATTTCATAATGACTGAAGAAGAGCATATAAAACAAAGCGAAAAGCGACCAGTGACCAGGCTAGGACAATTTCTAATCTCACATATCGAATCTCTTTCGCATTGCAAATTCTCCTCTATGTTTAGGAAAGTAGTAAACGGAGGCGAAATAGTGAATACTAGGGAAACTATTTCAATTTTTTTATATAACTCCCACTACCAATATTCTCACTCCACAAAGAAACATGATAAGCAAGGCGGAGAAGATTCGATGCTTATCTCCTCCGGGCTTTCTACTATTTCGCTTACTATGTTCCAAAAATAGTAAAACTATACGAATTGCACTCTATGAATGCAAGTAGGTGCTAGCTCTCCGAATGGATTTCGTCGTAATTTTTTCCTTGATTTTTGCTTCCGATATACTCTCATATCTTTCAAGATATGAAAACTACAGCCGAGATAGGAGGTTGTGCCGACGACTACTCGAACCAAAGAGGTAACTTATTGAAGTAAAGAGTCGAAGCCATTGTCGCTGCTTTCGTTTGCTAGTGAAGTTCCAAACAGTACAAAAGTCATTGGCGTTTCCAGAATTGAAGACAGCCCGAACAATGCGGACTCGAGTTAGTTTCCAAGAGTAAACTGATAGCAAACCTGGAAACTAGTTGAAACCTGTGTCATCTCATAACTACCACTATATGGAACGTCAATGAATTGCTGACTAATTGCTTTACAATCCATATGAAACGCTTTGTGATAAACACAAACAAAGCTGATTATGCGCTCAGATTCGAAAATATGCTTGACGAATAAGTTGATCATTGCGCTATGATCAGTAGGAACTATGAACACTCATTATGGCCAAAGTCATCATTAGGATGGAACAGTTCCAAGATGTAAGTGCTACAGTTCACTTTACTGTTTTTTTTTGTTGATAAGTTTCTGCTTGTTACTACTGAACGAGAGAAGCAGAATGTTAGAAACGATAAGAAAGTTCAAAGCATGGCATAGCGTATTGAACTTCAAGATACAGCTTCATTTCTTGTTCGCTTATCAAAGTATTTTTGCCATCCATAAAGCTTGAATTGTTAATCATCTATCTTGTCTGATATCTCTCAACTAGAAGCAATCAATCCACTGATCCCTCAAGTCATTATCGCAGACAATTAGGAACAACCTAGAAAAAGCAGGAAATCTACCATAGCCACGTGACAAAGCAGTGCCAATGAGGCCAGCGTCGTTTTTTTTTACATTTTCAAGATGATCCTTCTTTCTTTGATTCAATTCACATGACGTCATGTCTCCATCTTCCCGCCAGAATGAAGGAGGACGTTAGTCAGCATTGCAGGCTGGTGGCCATGAATCATGCGCAACAACATTCATGGAATCGACCAAATCGTCACATACATTCTTCCACCAGCCTCACTTTCTCTTTTTTTTCCTCCCAATCTTTCCTCTTCCATTTCTTTTTCAGCAGAGCAAAAGGCCAGAAACAACATAATAACAATGCAAAGAAACATATATGTGGAAATACACATTCAAATATATGCCCACATATGTATCTCCAAAGTGCAAAGCTTCCTTTCAAGTTGTTTTGGGAAAAAGCGTCCTGGATTCTATCTCATTCATTTTCTTTGTCTAGTCTTTCTATGGCAATCAATGAAATAGAAAAAAAACATTTTTTTCCTACGAGAATGACACAGAAAGAACTCTATTGCTTCACACATTCACCAAGAAAACAATAAGAGCCTTCTCGTTTTCATAAAATTATGAAAGAGCTTTTTTTCACGTGGTGCCTAATCATAAGGAGATAACATCCTCTCTCTACATGCCAAAAATAATTTCAGTGAGAGATGAGCGATAAAGGATGGAAACCTTATTTGTTTCGTTTAACCATAAAAAAGCACATTTCACATAATATGATACTCATTCGGCTTACGGTAATCGGCTCGTGTTCAATGGTGAAACATTACGCAAATTGATCGAAAACTCCTTTCCCTAATACGGCAACAGAACGACAATATTCTTTTCGTTTTTCTTTTTGAGCTAGTCATCTAGTCTATGGCTGGTTCGTTTGCCATTCTCTCCTCTTTTGAATGATCACATCGGAAAGAGAAAAGAGAAAGGAATAAAAATTGAAAGCGAGCGAAAGACGATGTTAGCTTATGAGAGGAAAACAGAGAGGCCACCCTGTCAGATTAAAAAAAATCATAAAACTCCAATCGTCAATGCTGAGATCGCAAACGCTCCATGTAAGTCAACAGAATTATCGCCTGAGTGATTCAAACTTCGTCCTCCAAAAAGAGGTGAAGACTTTTCAGCGTAATTTTTACGTTCTTTGTGACTTACAGCTTAAGAACATAAAGAAGAACAATAGTAATCTTTGATTTCTTTAAAGATGTAGCACCACTCTCAAACAGCAGTTCGTTTGAATACTGTTTGGAGGAATAAAAACATGCTCGAGGGCGAAGAATATACGCCTTCCACATTCTCCCCCCGAAGTAGTGAATCTTCCGCGCGTATGAATGTAATAGAAAATTATATTCGCTTAACGTTATCGTCTACAACATTCAATGAATGTTCCATCAGCACTTGCGTCTAGTTATAGCAGCAACTCTGAGGCATATATTATTTGATAAGAAAATATTCGCGTAGCGTTAGAGGTTATCAGCAGCTATTCGTTTTAAATTAAACGACGAAAAAATCTCATATCTTTAAATGGCTTCCTTCCTATACGTATTCCCTTGCTAAAAATTCCCATCTACCAATGTCATTTCTTATTTAGTCGTTTTTGTCTTCTTCGTCTTTCCCTCGTGTCCCTCGTTTTCGTCAATCAATCCAGCCTCGCGGCCAACACGAAACGCGCCGCTGCCAAACCGCGCTGTCGTCACATCGTCGACCGAAAACCAACATTGGCTGGTGAATTTTCAAACTTAACGCTGGAGTAATACAAAATACAGAAACCCCTCAAACTCTGCTCTGAGGAATGGCGTTCGAAACAAAACGAAACAAAAAGTGGAGAAACTACCGGAAAGACAAATAGCCACTAACAGGAAAAAGGCAGTGTAGCCAGTTTCACTGCATGGCTCAAACGAAGCGAACAGAAGATACATTGAACATTGCCTTCAGCAGAATTCATCATCGTCTAGAAACGCTATCTGTTTGCTCCGGAATCTGCTGTTAGCGCGTTCCAAGTCCCGTGTTTGCTTTTTTGTTTGTCATTTGAGCAAGCATTTCCTCGATACTATCGTCATCTCATTTCGTTTTTCCTTCTATTACCCCAGCTGAATCACACAAAAAACCCTTCTGCCGGTGAAGTTTTGTCTGTCAGCCATGATACCGAACACCGTTCGTTTCATTGAATTATGAATTCTTCTTCCCTCAATCTCGTTCAACCCTTTTTCCAATCCATCTTTTAGCTCCCTATAGCTTTTCATGAAAGTACCCACTTTTCGAACATGTAGAATTTGCTGCGTCAGTAGTCGCGAGTACCGCCAGATGAAATTGTCGTAGATCCATTTCTTATCCTTTATTTCATCTTGTGAAATTATACGACAGAGTACCTGTAAGAATATAGAAAGTAGAAGGTGTTCTGATTCTAGGATATCAGTTCCGTATCGAGATCAGGGCTCACTGAGTGGCTGTTTTACAGATTTAGAAATAGTGTGGTGTGTCTTACAAAGGAATATGAAAATTTAGCAACGACACAGAATGAGAGGACTCGAATAAAGGTAACGGCCTGTTCTTGCTCATTACAGCACATCAAAGCTGGCTGTGATATGAACTCAAGTCGACAAATCACCCACCACTTTGACGTGCCGGTAGTGAGCCGAGCCTGATGGGGCTGTAAGAGCAATGGGGCCAGGGTGCAGCATAGAAGAATGAAAATGTCGCAGAGGAGGGAGGGAGCATGTTATTAGACTTCATTCCAGGACTATGACTAAGGATAACGCAAAAGTGAAACAGCAATAGATTGTACTATCGCAAGCACGTAGCACACATACACACCACCTGCACACAACAGCTGTGCGACAAACGCACATAAAACAAAAAAAACTTTTTCTTTTTCACTGTTTCTATTCTTTGCAGTCAGCTTTCCAATTTCTATCAATCGCGCTGCTCTTCAAGCATCATCTCATAATCTCGCCATCACTGATAACGAGAAAACGACGCTTCTCAAATAACTGTTTTCTTGCTCGCTTACTTCTTCTGATTGTTATATGAAACAGCTTAGTTTTTCATGAGGGACAACACTAGTACATCCAGAAGGCGAAAAACAGAATAGTGATACGGCTTAAACGCGTCTCACTACCCATGTCTTTCACCATCGAGATGACATATAGTAGGGTGGGGAAGTTCATGTAGTTTCTATTCTCCAGATAATACAAACATGAAAACGCACACAAAAATTAAAGCAAAAGCTTTAATAAACACTGGCTTTAAACTCTCTGACATTAGACTTGGGACGAGGAGCGTGAAAAAATTGAGCGATATTACAGCACAATTCGTCAGGGAATATATCAAACATTTTCGAAAATAACACAGCTGCAGAACAAGTGAAATGATTAGCAAATATGGAATAAGTCGAATAACCTCATTTCATTACTCCAGCATGAGCAGCAAAGAAAAAATGAAACGAAAGAAACATCAGAAAGTAGCTGGTTGGTTAGTTGGCTCGCCAACCAAGCAGCGGGCAGCCACGACGTTTCAGTGTTCTTCATTCAATGTGCCGCTATGGCTATGGCTGGAGAAGAGTGTGAGAGAGCAGTTCTTTTCCTGCTGCGCCTCTGAATGCCCCACACTCTTTCAAATGACTGCTTCTCTAGGTCTCCGCCCAGGCACACAATCATTCGTCATGGGGCCTGCAAAACCACACCCCTTTTTTTGCGCGCCAGATCGCTGCCACTCTGCTTTACTTTCACTCTCTCTAGCGTCTCTGCATCTTTCAGCTATGAACTTGGCACACGCTATTTCACTCAGTTTCGCAATCGAAACTCTCCTCTCAAGCATGGTTTTTCGCCTGTCGTCATTGCCGCTAGCGCTGCCGCTGTTGCCGCCATCGCCACATCGTCAGCGACATTGATGTCGTTTTCTTCTTTCGAGAAGAAACACAAGGTATACAAGCAATATATGGCAGAAAGAATAGGGAAATACTTGAAAAGGCGCCAAAAAGGTGAAAGCAAAGCAGGGAATGAACAGGAATTATAATCAAAGGTTTGCAACTCAATGAAGAGAATGCAAGATTCAATACTTCGAAAGAAAATAGATAGCTAGACTAAAAAACGCGGCGTTATAGGATCACATGCTTGAGTGCGAGAGCGCTCGCGCTGCCATCTCAGAAATGCTTGAACCCGAAACTCAATATACGGAAAGGGAAATATGACTTTGGGGCGTACCGTAGCGATTTCAACTCGATGTTCCGAGTCTGTTTTGTCACTGCTTGAATTAAAAAACTCGTACATGAGAGGAATGACGGTATTTTGTAGATCATCTGTAATAATATGAAATAGTGAAGGGATGGGTAAGAAATAATAGAAAGGTTGAATGAGTCATACTGCTTCAGTGCTACCTTTGAATATCTTGGAATTGGATTTAACATTGCAAATATTCTCAGAACACATGAAGCATAGACAAACTTTCAACGAATCAACCCTTTACTGATATTCACCTTGGGTTAATAGATGTTTATCCAGAAGCACGCCTACTACATAGCAAGCCTGACGGCCGTACTGAAAAAACACCTTTCAGAAAAATTGAAAAAAATCTGAGTATTTGTGCTTCAAACGTTTGGTATCATGATAGTGGGACGGGGGGGGGGGAGGGAGCGTTGGAGGAGCGACTAATCGAAAACTGAACGATTACGTGCACTCACGAGCAAATTTATTTACAACTCTCATGTAAACTGATCATGAATCTTCGGATAACAATGGCGACTGATGAGGAGAAAAATGTAATGATAAAGGACAGGGAAAGACACAGAGGCTGCTAGAAAAAATAGGTGAGGTATGTCTGACGAATAATTAGGAATAGCACCTAGTTCGGAAGGTGGGAGAGAAGAGGAATGATGCTGAGAGAAAGAGAAATGGGCGTCAGCAACAGCTCAGCAGCTAACAGCACACGCAACAAACCCACGTTGTAGAGACCCTGCAGGAGGCGGAGCCAGCTGGCAAGAACCAATAAGAGAAGGGAGGGTTGGCACTGACAACCCACGCCGATAGATGCAGCGAATTAGAACAGAGAAAAAAAGTTGTTGGCTGACTTGCTGCTTGTATGCCATTCCATGAGTAGGGAGAATCGGGAAAGCAGACATGCAGACAACAAAATGATAACACACAAGCCAGCGATGTTGAAGTTGTGAAGAGAATGGGAAAGAGAGAGGTAACAGAGAAGCAAAACTAAGAAATGCCAGCTCGACAAAAAATTGAAAAACGTCATGGAGTGTGAGGGTAAGAGAGAGTTGAAGTGAACAAGACTGCAGTCAACTCTCTTCGGCTAGAAAAGATAGCTTTCTCAATAAGAAAAAGAAAATGAAACGAAAGAAATTGAAGAGGGGCTGGAAGATGACAATGATGGCCGCCAATGAAAAGACACTCAGGGACGAGACTTCAAACGATACTAACAATGACATCGAAGTAGCACAAGCGAGATGAACAGATACCAAGATATAGAAAAAAATAGAGTAAATCACATCTGGTGTAGTCATAGGAGCACGGAAAAGCAAATAGGAAGAATAACAAGACGAAACAAATAAATAGAGTCAATCAATTTTTTACTTGATTCAAATGTTGTCAAGATTTATCTTGATCTACTCCATGAGATACATGAGACACCTGAGACTACAAAAACTCAATTGAGCCTAATGGTTTAGCAAGTTTGACGAGAAGTTTCGTCTATCACAGGTAAACATCGTCATCGGCCAAATCAAACTTCTACTAGTAAAGCGAAAATTGTAAATAATTGAGGCTCAACCCAAGGTCGAACTTTACAAAAACCAGCTTAGCTAACAGGTTTTAAGAGAATGACTGGCAAAGAAAGAAAGCGAGAAGGACGAGCTGATGAACGTACCAAATACTGTCATTATCTGACGTGGAAAACCTTCGATGTCCATCCTTATAAGAACTCTTAGAGAGGAGATCCTGACCTTCGTCGTGAAAGAGAGGGACATAAAATAGAAAACTACTCTCGCTCTCGTTTTTGCACGATCGTCCTTGGAACAATGAAAGCGCTTAAAGTGGCAAGGTTCCTTCTTTTTTGTCTGGCACAATATCTTAACAGAAAAAACCAGAAACCTCAAGGTACGTGGGAGAGTGAGAATGAAGACAAGGATAAGGAAGAGAGAGAGATTGGAAAGTCGCTCTCTTAATCAGAACGACTAAAAAAATATATTTGTTCTGAAGAAACATCATTCCAGAAAAAATGGAATTTCATTAATCATTCGTAAAACGCTCGAAAAAGGCTGGACCGAAAGTAGAAAATCTAATCAAAAAGGCTGGGGAAACGAAAGATGAAAGGTAATCCATGGCGTTCGTAAACTTGGCGCATGTTTAGTTTGCTCAGGTTTCACATTTGTTCAAAATCCCAGATAACCTATTATCATAATATACTGCCAAAACTGCTATCTCATAGCATTATCGGAAACCCAACACAATGTAATGATTAAGTAATTTTTTTCATATAATTGATAGGATCAAAAAACTGAAGTGTTCCAGGCGAAAACAGAACCAATTATTAATGAATAGGTAGGTGGACGGAAAAACTGAAAGAAAGTCAAGGCATGATAATGCAACTTGCTTTCGAACAGTTAATTCTTCTTATTATACCATCATACACAAAACACCTTTCCATTCGCATTTAACAGAAAACAGAGCCATAAGCAACGTTCAAGGGCGCTGTAAAGTTGGTTTTCGAATCGAAAAAAGGATGCGACCTTGTCGAATAACTCTATAGGGGGCCGCAAAGCAGTAGCATTGTCTCCGGTCAGTCATAGATATTGAACAAGCAACAAAACGCAGTGAATTTTAAGAGTAAAAGTTTAGCTTATGGAAGAATAAAAAAAGACACAAAACAAGGGTAGCTTATTGTTTGTGATTTTTTATGTAAGCAGCTGTTAATTCTTTCATATACATTTCTCACAACGGGTATCTTCGTTCAGGAAAAATCACAATGAGAAAAGTGCAGTTTTCGGTTTCAAATGATTAATCATTGTTGGGAAAAGACCGGAAAACTAACTACCAGCGGTTGTTTCTTGAGTATAAAACTTCAAGCCTAGGGATAGTACACAACATGTAACGCAGGCTTAAGGTATGATATAATTATGCAAACAACTTGGAAACCATTATCTTAACCTCATATAAGAATGTAACACACGTTCGCCGAACATGTGAACACTGCTACACTTAAGCCGCTCAAACAATCATCACTATCAAGCTTACTCTGTGAGACTTAGTGAATGAAGGTGTATTAGAACGGGGAAAAAGATTTGTTCATTATCGAACTGGAACCTTTTAAATAGGATGACTACAAAAAGAAAGAGTACAAGCAAAACGTGGATGAGAGTTATAATAAAAGCTCCATTTTACAATCACTAGCGAATATATATCCTTCCTCCAGAAAGAGTTCAAAAAAATATGTTTATACAGCTTCTGTAGCAGATATTTTCATAATCTTTTCATGAAATGGAGGTAACAAATATTAGTTTGCACATTTCATCGACCGCCCATTGTGAGCATGTTCCAAGCCATCTCTAATGAAAAAAGTTTCACTTCTCATCTATTCAATTTATGTATTCGCAGCTGTAACCGTTATGAAGCCCAATTAAAAACGCAGCTGGTGAGGTTGAAAGGGATGGAAGTGTTTCGACAAAAAGATAAGAGCATAAAAAATGTGATGACGTTTCAGTTTGCCCTTAGGGAAGAAAGGATGATATCACACAATGGAAGTTCTCAAAGCCTTCCGAATCATGTGACTCTTCATAATGTAATACACTTCACACGCACTCACGATGGAACATGATGGACTAAGATAAGTTTTGTGAATTGATATAATGACTATCCACTTAAAATCTTTTGTCAAAGAGCTATAAAACTTCGAAACTTTCAGAGAAAAGTGCTCATTTACAAAAGAATACGATTGTAGATCAGGAGGAGAGCGCTCAAATGATAGCATCAAGCTCACACGTAAGATGTGGAAATGAGGTAAAGGAGGAACAAAAGCGAAATATGTGTACCGTTGGTTGGAGAAGGTTCGTGGACACACATTACCAAACAGTGCTAAGCGATACCCGATGATAAACCAACTTATAGGAATTGAATTAAAATGATACACCCCCACAAGAATTCTAATTAGTTTCAAACAGAAAAAGAACGGCATCAAGTTATCAACAGCCGTATAATCCTTAGCTAATAACTACGTAAAACTACATGCTCACAGTTAAACTTCCACAAATTCTCCAATAAATAGCCTCCTTTGATAAGCGAGGTATAGAAAAGTAATAAAAATGAAAAGATAAAAAATCAAAGCTGCTTAGAAGAAAATAGAATAAGATCAATGGAAAAGGAGGCAAAAAAGAAGGAAGTAGAAACATGGGTGATCAGAATGATGTGAATAGGTAAGTGAAAGGGCCAAAACGTTTGAAGCAACAAATCAAAATGTAATATTAACTATAAAATGAACGTACCGGATCTGAGCGCTGCAGACATAAACGTAGAAAATCTTTCAGTATTGTAATTGCATATTTGAACCTTTCATGCTTGCATGAACGTTCAATCAAAAATGGAATAGCATCTAATATCATGCCAGGTTGAGCTTCATCATAACCTAAATATATTATATATTGAAAACTCAATTTTCTGGCTCACCTATGCGATCTAACCAAAAAAAAATAGACTCATAAGCAGTCTCAAGAGCAGAGAAGTGATCTTCTTCGATGGGTTCTAACCGCTCAATAATTTTGAGAATTTCACCGAAAGCATACTCACTGAAAAAAGCTCTAGAGCGTGTTATTTTAGATAAAAACGCCCAATCATTCAAATACTTACGCTGCTCCTTTCTCAGAACTTGAAGCTGTCTCAATAATTTTATGCAGTGATGCGAAGTCCCTAGGTCCAGAAACCCATTCTGGAGTTTCTGCCTGTGAACCTGAATAATTCAAACTTATGAGCAAAGTCCAAGCCAAACTTACATAGCATAGCATCATCTTCAAGTGAAGCCAAACGAGCAGCAGTTAAAAAGTCATTTTGGCCTACTGCAATTCAGCCAATTAATGAGGATCAATCATTAAGAAACTAACTATTGAACATTTCGGGAACCTTTGTAAGTAATATATTTTCTACCAAAGTAATTGAGGGTCGAATAGAAGAATAAAAAGCGTCAGTAAAAGATTTAGCAAGTATATCGCCTGGAGAACGAGGCGACCACTGGGTTATAGTTGTCCTACAATTCTGCTTAGCAAAGTTTAGGACTCTGAAAAGTGAATTATGATAATTTGACTTAACATAACGAAACATCGATAATAGCGATACGTTAACGAGAAAGTATCAAGAAGCTACTCACTTTGTCAATACAATAAAAAAGGTAATAAAGTATAGAAGACCGAGTAATTGCACAAGTTTCAAAAATTCAATGTTGAACATAGAGATTCAACCGCATCACCAGAATTGATGGAATAAAATGATTCATCAGCGCCAACGTTCACGTGACGTTACGTGAAAAATTTACGTGGCTTACGTGAAACAACAAATCAAAACAACATAATGAGCAACTTAACAACTTCAAATTGCATTGCAAGTATTGAATTTGAGTGACTATTAAACACAGAGAAAATATCATTTTTTTAGGGAATGACCAAGAATAACTTCCTGGATGGAAGAGTGGAAAAAATCATCAAATGTGTTCTACACGGCAAGAAAAAACGAAACATTTTTGAAAAATAAAGATAGATAAACGTGATTTGATGCATTATCGGAAGTTTGCTTTCTCCAATTTTCTTTGACAACTGAAGAACAGACTAAAACGTCAAATGAATCCCAAAAGTAAGCTACGTGAAGGGGATATTTGAAGTTTCAAGCAAACCTCCTAGATTTACTAACATCGAAAGGCTTTTCGAGATCTACATTGAACAACAAATAATCGAAATAATATTTAAAAACGAAAAAAAACTATGTTTCTTAAAAGTTTAGTAGAAAGAACCATGTAGACTAACCAATTTTGCGCCATGCTCCAACGCTGACGCATTTGGCTAACAGTCGAACTACTAGTCTCTTGTACTAATTCGATCGTTCAAAATATTAGATAGTAGTCCAAAGATTGGATTTTGATGAAAAGCTTACTGATCGGCAAAAACAAATATATAGATGAGAGCTTCAACTCATGTTTCTAAACAGGCTTTTTTCATAATTTAAATTCTTTTCACCTAGAATCGGAAGTTCAATTATTCGTAGAACAAGGAAGATGAATTCAAAAAAAGATTTCGATGAATGAATGACACGTCAAGAACAGAATGTTCCAAAATTTGCTCAAAGTGGAAATGTAAAGTCTTGCCCTTTTAGAACAACAACAGAGTACGAATGCCAATACTCTTCTCTGTCTGTCTGACGTGCTGAACACTAAATACATGTGTCATTTGAATATTTTCATAAAATTATGGAGAAAGATGGAAATAGAACAACTTTGAACCGAATTCAGACTTTCAGTTGAATAGTCGGAGAGTATGAGGATGAAAGGTTTTGAGTTATAAACTTTCCGCTGTTAAACAGTGATATCATCTGTTGCTTCGCATACTGCGTCGATATTATTCTGTAAAAATATATTATTTACATCGCGAGTGCTTTTAACCGCACAAAAAAACCCAAACACTGTACAGAAGGTGTTGAAGATCCATATTCAACTATCATGAAATAGAAGGGATGATCAAATACGATGCCTGCAACCATTTCTGAAAAAGAAGAGAGAGAGAGAAAATCAGGTTAGTGGACTGCGGCTCAGTATATCAAACCTTCTGCTGGACAAGAACTATCTATATAACCAGGTAATCGTTCTTCATGATATTTCTTGCACTGTGCCGCGTAATCTATATGAATACTTGTCATAATAAGTTTAAGTAAAGCATCAACGATACCTGTGTTGAAGTTCCAAGGGGACAACTCATAACGAAGACGCGATTCAAAACCAACTTGTAGTCTCACTGAAACAAAAGACCTATAAATTCTCACGAAGAATTCAGGAGAAATTACAAGGCTGTGCTGTAGCAGAGACGCTGTCTTGACCATCAACTATCTGGATTTCGTTGGGAATTCAAAAAACATAGATTTCACCTACCGTTATCAAAGATTTGTGATAAAAGTCCCACAGAGTTGTTAATGTGGGGTAGTAAGGATGAAAGTGGGTGAGAAATCCAGTAAGAACAGACTAAGAAAGTTTGTAGAAGAAGTGATTGGTTTAGTACCTTTTCTCTATCAAAAACTCGGTTGAAACCATAGGAACCCTTTTCTCGGAAACATTCCCTCAATTGAATAGGAGTGGCCACTGTGAAGCGTGGAAAGCAAATCTTAAACTGGTGGGTTACAACAAATTATAGGAAAGCGTGAAGCATACGGATGTATTTGTCTTTCCTTCTTTAGGTAGCTTTTTCAAAATATGTAAAAGTTGATCGGCTGTCGGAGCTGAAGAGTTAGAAGACCTAAAACATAATGTTAAGTTCCGTTTAATCAGAGCAAAAACTTGATTAGGTAAAGGAATTTGGTGTTGCTGAAAGAATCTAACTGCACGGCAGTTAAGTTATCTATCGCCATGGTGCGAAATTCATCACGAATAGTCCACGCATGAACCTGAAAATGTGAGTCAATAAAACTGGTGACAACACATACGACTGATCGTCCTTTGGTTTTCTTCTCTGTTGAGCTATAAAAGTAATGAAGACGTGGTTCAATGGGGGAACCATTGTGTTTCCAGTAGAAGGTGTAGTCAGAAGCAGAAACTAAAGCTGTTATAGCTCGTCTAGAGAGAACCCTAATGAAATTGATTCAAAAGCTGAATTACTCACCGACAAGGAGCATCCTCTTCTCGTACTACATAACGAAGACGATTAGCAGAAGAAACCTAACAAAAAGAGACATTTCAGGATTCATAAGAGTAATCTTACAGCGAAATCATGATTAATCTCATATATAGACCTCATACCATCATGATCACAATTAAAACACATTCGTCTCAATGGGTTTACACCAGGCTACGAAACAGAAGTTAATGAACAGCTGGTACTAATGGGTAAAACCTTCTCGCCATAATATTGTTTCATTTTTTCCATGAGAGATCTGACAGGTATTGAATCTCGAGGAAAATCTCCATACAGACGAATGATTTCGTTACTAGTATCTGCTATTGAATACAGAACGTCGTGAATATCTTCTCTTGATTGCAACACTGGAGTGGTTTAATTAAGAGCCGCAAAGTAGTCTCAAGAAACCTTTCCTCAATCCTTTTTCAAGAGTTGATCGCGTTTTTCCACTTGCTGCTAATGCCAGCAGAGCCCATCCTCGCAGAATTCCAATAGGAGCTAAAGAGACATTAGCTTTTGAAAAAGCTGTAGCATTGCTCTGCAATTAAAGCTAGATACTCGAAATAAAGTGATACCCTACTGGATGATCCCCATCAATCATGGGTGGCTCAACATTCTCCAATACATGCAGTCCAAACTCCAATACGGCTCTCAAGTCAAAGGAAGAATTACTTGGTGCATTTTCCATTTGAGAAACTAATTATAAACGGAATATAGCAAATGTTATGTTTCCCAACCTCTACAAAACTTCTGCTGAAGGGAACAACCGCTTCCAGCTGTACGTCCAGTAAAAATAAAAACATACGAAATGCGATGAGTCAAACTAAACTCTTATAGAAATAAAAGAATAGCTGAATGTTTTTGTTATAACAAATATCTCTAAAGACGTTTTATTGATTGTATTATGAAATTTCGAAATCCATCCACCAAAAGATAATAGCAGGATTGCGTATCTCACTCCGCCGTCTGTTTCGAAGAATCCTTTGCATGTAAGCCCAACATTGAGAAAATACCTCCCATACTCTTCAGAGTGTAGGCAATTGAATTGTTGATCTATGTGTCCTCTTACGAATAGCCGGGGACAACGAAAACGTCTGCACAGAGCTCTTCCAACCTGTGCAGAATAGTTCGTGTCATGAGCACCGTAGATGAAAAATGTCTAGCGATGTTGTGAATAAAAACATGAAAAAAACAAAAACTTTATTATGAAAATCGAAAATTAAACATATATTAACATGTACGATGAAAACGGAAAAAGTAAAAAGTAAAAATTAAAATCTAAAGTGTCTATCACCAGAATATCCCAACTTATTAAAACAGTAAAAATTATAATGAAGTATGAGGGATCGCATGGGAATCGCTAAGAAACAGGTAGTATATATAGTAAAATCTGATAGAAATTCTAGAAAAGGGTACGAAAAATCGCGTCTAAAAACAGTAATCTGACAAAATTAACGTTCGTCTTGAACGAACTCGATTAAGCAGCCCGTGCATATCTGATAAAGGTGATTAGGGCAGATGAAACAGGGCTACAAATCGATTGAAACAGATTTTGGGATTCGAAGAACTGCTTTAAGAGTTCTTGCCAATCATCCTCTAACAGGAAAGCTCTTAATCATGAAGAATGGAAGAAGCTTGTACCTTGTAAAGAGGGAAAGATGAAGGGTGGCTTGAGTCGTTTCTAGAAGATAAGCAAGCTTCTTAACAATGGGTCTGGAGCTGGGATGAATTACGACACATACAAACTTATTATGATTATTAAGTGCGAACTATACGATAAAACCTTTTACGAAACCGAACATGACTGAATGAAGAGAGGTCGGACTTAAGTTAAGAAATCGCTAAGCTACGGGGAATTACAGAGGAAGCAAGCTTGCTCGACACTAGCTGAACGACTAGCCACAACCCAAGATTCTGCATTTGGTTTAATGTACGTGGATAGATACAGGACAGTTATGGGCATTAGGGCCAGAGTTAGACTTCTTAGATTGGCGGGGCCTAGCCTAGTGGTGCGCCACCACAAGTACAAACGGTAAAACAAATGCTCGAAAATCAACAAACTGTGAACATGTTCTCACCTAAGGGCTAAAGCTCGAAATGGGAGATTAAGATTCAAAGAAAGGCTTAAAAGGCGTTTGGAGAGAAAAGCCAAAGAATAGAAGCATGTTACAGTTCTGTGAGCCATCACTATAATTACAAACTTGACAAGCACTTGTGTGGAACTAACTACTCTACATCGGTGAATTAGGCACTCACAGATAAACAGGATACTAGATTGAAAAAATAACTAAAATCCTATTGGTTCTCTGAGGTCGCATGAGGCAGAAACAAAAGCACACAAAAGAAGCCAGATGCGTCAAAAAAGAAACTCGCACTGGTGAGGTAAGAACGATTTTAAAATGAAGTGGTTGAGGTACGAATGGTTGTATAGACTGAGATGTATGAGGTGATGCAGAAGGGGAAGCACAACAGAAAAGGTCCCCTAAGTCAAGTGAACAACAACAACAAACAACGTAGGCATGAGTGCGCTCAACTAGACCACTGTAACTAATTATAAATGATTAGGAGCATACTAGAGCACTATCTAAAATAAAACTGAGACTAAAAACAGTCTCTTATTATCACCGAGGAAAATCACGGGTGAGGTGACCGGGGGAATAGGAATTGGCTAAAACGAATTCAGAGAACAAAACAAAACCGAATCGCATCGGTGGTGTTACAACTGGAAGAATATTTAAAACGTAACTTAATAAGGCGAAGTAGAAAGAAGTAAAGAGGAAAGTATGGGTGGCGCTCAGAGCACGACTGAATTTCACCTAGTGATTCGATACTAAACAGCAATCATAGGGGCTCAAAGCCGCACATGTTTCAGGTGATTGCTGCTATAGTTTCGCCGTTTAGAAAACGCGAATGCAATTGTTGCCGAAGTCAACCACATAGACACGTCCGTCAGGGGATATAGCTAAATCTGTTGGACGGTCTAACAGTGGTCTCGGTGGTTGAACACCGGCATTCTCTACAGCGCTATTATTCAAAAATTGCGCAGCAGATGTTGTTCCTATGAAAGGCATCATACTTTGAGGAGCAGCAGCCTGAAAAACAAAATAGAATGATCAACATCAAGATCATACCTGAAGAGGAGTTGGATAATCTTGAGGCATCTGGAATCCCTGCTGTTGACTCTGATTAGGACTTTGATTTTGAGGTGAAGATTGGGATCCTGTTGGTGTCCCGCCAGGAGTTCCGCCAAAGACGGCAACGCAACGCATGTCTTCTCCAGAGAACACCTAAACAGTACAAGTGAGGGAGCTAAAAACTAATTTATGAAACCTGTATTCTGTTATTTCTAGAGTCGCAGACAAGGATATGACCTTCACTGTCTGCTTTGACACCTTGAGGACGACAGAACATTCCCTTCACATCTCCTTCACTGCCATAAACTTTCATTTCGGGCGAATTGCGAGCAGACAGAACCGCTAGGCGGTGATTGTTGAAGTCTCTATAGCAAAATTTCATTTATTTCAGCACCAGGATTCTCACGTTATTAGAAGTTGTCCATCTGGCAAATAGCAAAGCCCTCTCGGTGAATCGAGATGTTTATAGAAGTAAGCGGTTTCAAATCCACATTTTCGCACGAACTGACCAGTGGCCGTGAAAATCTGAGAAGCAATTGAGGATTCAACTTGTGATTTGATTATCTACCTGAACTCGGTGGTTTCTTGTGTCAGACACAGCAATATGATTCACGGAATTAGTAGCAACACCCCAAGGATAGTTGAACATTCCAGTTGGTCTACCGCGTTCTCCAAACTTAAGAATAAACGTTCCGTTCTCGTCGAAAACTTGAATTCTATGATTATCCTTATCCGCAACAATGATTTGATTCTACAAGGTTTCATTTGTCTTGGATTTGAATTATTCAGTCCTACCAAAGTGTTTACAGTTATTCCTGCGGGTCTATCGAACTTTCCGGGACGAGTTCCTCCAGAGCCAAACTTTTCAAGGAAATTACCATCTTTATCGAAAATCTGCGAATTTGAAGTTGTGAAACTGCTTGAACTTTAGATGGTACTTGAATTCTGTTGTTGCTACGGTCAGCAACTAAAACGCGTCCACGAAGATCTATACAAATTCCCCAAGGTCTACATAGTTCACCGTCTCCTGATCCTTCTTTTCCGAAGGAAAATAGCTCTCCCTGTTGTGCGATTTCTCCATAGTTTCTACCGTTACGGACGTCGATCTCCATAGGACAACCACTAAATTCTTACATTTAATCGATAGTGAAACAAAGACGTACTTAATCTGGACACCGCGAACAGCGACATTGAGTAAATGACGACCATCTTTAACTGGAATAAATGTCAAAGAGAAAACGCCACCACCGCTCTCACTTAACAAAAAATATAAATGAAACTTTCGGCAAACAAACCTGATATTGACTTCTCCTACAGTTCCATCAGGAGCAAGGAGGGATGCAGAGACCTGATTAACTCTGATGCTTCCTGATCGAACGGAATCACCACAGGCGTCACGCAATTGAAGATATAATGTTGATTGCCTATCTTTAACAACGCTACGAACAGTTTCACCCTTCAACGCAGAAGTTTTAGGTGATGCTCCACTAAGAAGAACACCGAATGCTACGATCCTTAAAGAAACAATGAGAAAGTATGGCATTTGAAACTATACTTAGGCAAGATGTTCTCGTCTATTATAAACTTTAACGTATCAACTTCCTGAGGAGCAGGCAAAAATGGACTAGCAAAAATCTGAACCAATAAATCATGAAAGCCAAGATGTTCAACACTTACTGAGAGCAGCTGTTCGAAGCAAATATGAAGTTGAGACATAGAATCGGATGCATCATTTGGAAGTTCCTCAACCGCTTTCAGTATAGATTGCAAGGTTTGATTCTCATGAGCTACACGCTCAGTTTGAGCTTTCAATCCATCAAGTTTGTCTAGCCGAATGGTCTCGAGTTTCTGTAGCAAATCTCGCTTTCTCTCTTCCAACGTGTTGATATGTTCATGTACTACAGATCTAATTTCTCTAGCTACACTTTGAGCCGAAGAATCTATTCTTTCATTCATTCGGTATATACCGTTAAGAACGTCTTCAAATTCTTTTTCCCTTGAACGTGCTTCAGTAAGCAACACGTTCAGAGCTGATCGAATGTCACCTTAATACAGAATTTAATCTGTGCAATGAGAACGAAAACTAACTGGGAGGGCTCAATCGATGCTTATAATGGTATGGCAGGCATTGATAACACAAAGCTGCGCCACCACATGAATCGCAAGAGCATAGAACTCTAGCTTCATGAGTACCACAAACAGAAGATGGTCGAGATGATGAATCATCAGAAGTTCCAGCAGCAGATAAACTTCCACTTCTATCTCCTTTTCGTGGAGATCCCTTAAGGTTCGAAATACGAAATGTTAGCAAAATGGAATATTTACGTTTCTGTTGAATAACTGTTCGAGTGTAATAACAGTATGATCCTTTGTAACTCTCACACGTTGATGAGCTACAACACAGACACTGCACAGCATTTCATTGCAATTCATGCAATATGCATTAGCTCTATAAATGTAACATCAATATTATAATATCCTAAGAATATTTGTGAACCTTGCTTCGTTTCCGCAAGGAGAGCAGTACAGAGACCTGCTAGGGGGTGGTATGAAACAGTCAGAACCCACAGGTGAAAACACTGGAGGATGATCATCTCCCTAAATGAATACTTATAACCATGAATATGCTTGATAACCTACAGCGCTCAAGGTATCAAACACAGGTGAAGTATTCAAGTTTGATTTGCTACTGGTATCCCAGAGATTGAAAGGTTCTTGAATCTCGTTTATTCCGAGATTCAAAGAATTTTGAAGAGCAGCGCTAATTCCATTAACATTCTGATAAGAAAGAGACTGATCTGGTGTTGGAGAACAAAGTGCGTTATCGGTATGATCTAAAACATGACTGTGAAGATAATTTTGACGACATGCAAACCGGAAATGTTATGCTCAGGAGTCATCGTAGGTGACAAAAACATTTTTGGAGGGAACAGAAGAGGTTCCGTTTGAGGACTCATGCATGTTGGGCATTTTCTACCAGGGCATGATTCCAAGCATTTGTGGCAGATACTAACAATTTTGAATTTGAATACAAGTTTCAAGATTAAGCTTACTTATGAGAACACCGGAACTTAGGACCATTAGTTGTAATCTCCTTCTGACAATAAGTGCAACGCGCCTTAACTCCACGAGAATACTGACTACGGAATGGAGAGAACATATCAAACTGTGGAGACGACAGCAAAGATTGAGGAGTATCGAAAAGAGTTCTCTGAAACTCCAACAAAAAGAAAAAATGATAATTACTCAAATTAAGCCTTACTGTGAAATCAGTACTAAAAGGTTGAGTAGTTAGGTCTGAGGTAAACTGTGGACCTCCCATTCCAGAAGTGGAATTCTAAAATAATTACTACACTTTTGTCTTTTCGAATCATGACTACCTTCTTCTCGTTATCCTCCACCATGTTGTCCATCCTATGCAGGTTGAAATGAATTTAATTATCTTCGTACTGGAATAACTAGAATATATTGAAGCTATATTATTATCTATACCAGACTTTCAGTCGAGATGCTCATAGCATGTCCCTCCGCCAATCCCGTACGTCTGTACACTGCCAGCGTCGAATACGCAGCAGAACCCGTTGACCGCGACGGTCTGAATCGAGATGAAATTCAACTAACACGAAGAAAAACGACAAAAAAATATACAGAGAAGTATATTAACACTGAAACTTGCAATTGAATTAATATTTTAGGAGGACAATAGTATCATTAATCAGACAATATGAGGCATGCTAGGCTTATGGAATCACTATTCCACCTTATCAATACTTCGCAAACAAAAGAAAAAATGTGAACAAAACTTCAAGAAACCTGCAAAAAGCTTTGAAATGAATGACTTAGCATACTTTCTCATGGGTAATTAACTTCAACTATAGTATAACCACCTTACTACTGAACGATATGAATAGAACTTCGATGAGGAGAACGAGCTCGAACAGCAAACTCTTTCAAGGTTTCCGACGAGCCTTCACGAATGAATCTCTTCCTCATCAACAGATCAAATTGGAAAAATGCTTAGAAACGTCATTACAAATTCAGCATTCAACTTTCTATCCATAATCAACACATAAACTGGCACAAGCACAGCTATGTGAAGACCGCCGGGGTCGACAACTGCGAGAGTAGAGGAAAAAAAGTGGATGAAAAAATGAGCGGGACAGAGACGAGAGAAGCGCGAGTAGATCAGAGACGCAGGCCACTGTGGGAATGTGAAGTAAGTGCGCGATTGGCAATAGGCCAAAGGAAAAAATAAACTATTTTAAAAATAAACTACAACCGTTAATGGAGAAAGCAAGTGAGACTATCTGAGGTGAGTATGAGTAGCAGACAGTGGCGGGAAAGTATGGATAGCATAGCTTGAACGAGGAAGACTATGGGGGATTGTAGTTTACGAAGTTCGGCCAGGTCTAGTATTTATATAAAACTGAAGAAAGTGATGAAGGATTACATATAATTTCTATTCTTACTCTTTTAGACTTACATTGAGGAAAGGAAAAAAGTTGCCGAATTTCAATTTGACAAAAATTGAAGGACTGAATTCAATTCGCATTGGTTCAGCCTTCCAGCAGTGAAGAATTCAAAAGGGTCTGGAAAAGTTCTCCATGAGTAACTACTCTAGAGTTGTGGTTTGGCACTCGTGCTAATGTGGATAAAAACAGAAGTTCTTTATCTACTTGAGATTCCCCCATGAAAGCATGCCAAAAATTTTGTTTTAACTATACGCTGAGAAAGCAGAAATGAATATAAAAACATAGCGATGAATATGTTCAAACCACTGAGCGTATTAATCAAGCTTAGCAGTCTATTAACCAATTTGAGAATGAAGCTCATTTCTGTATGAGAACAACCGCTCCTCATGTTAACTCAGTTAAAAATAAAAAAATGGCGAGTGAATAACGGAAGATGTTTCTAGTGAGTTTGTTTCAGTATGTGTCAGAAACCGTTTTGTTTGATGTCTTATGCTAATTTCTTTCTTCATTTTTGCAAATTGAGTCCTTTTGTATTATGATTCTCGATCGAATGAGCATCATTGATTTTCTTCGAGTAGATCGTAATTTGCAGTCTGTGCATGTGATGAAATTCGATATATCAATGTAATTCATATCTTGTAGTTCTTTGATCAATTTAAAAAAAAAAAAGGAAAAATCGATTCATTGAGCTTTTCTAACCCGGTATTGTAACGGACATAATTCAGTTTGAACTTGAACAGAACAAAGAGACTAACAAGTAGTCATCAGCACACACTTGGATTTGTTACCTTTCAAACATGCTTAGTTAAGTCCAGTTGAGAAAAGGAAAATGTTATGATTACGTTGCAATAGGATTTCGTGCTAAGATGAAGAAAGGCGAATGGGAGGGGATATGAAATTAAGAAGAGGAAAGAATACACTGAGTTAAAAATCTGATAGCCAAATATCATGATGGATGCTCGGATAGTAATCAGATGACAAGTAAACAGAGACAAAAAAAGGAGACAAGTTTCAGGTGACAACACTTACTAACAACGAAATGATAATAATGATCTGATGAAGCATGTTCAGGACTTAAGGGAAGTAAAATAGGATAGTTTGCTCCATAAGTATACGGGGGAAGATTCTTGATGATAATAATAAGATTGTTAGGAAACACACGGCTGTTCCATACTGAGTTTTGTCTTCCAAAGAAAATATATGTATTTCCTCAGACTAACAAGAAACCGAGGACAATAACCAGTAAATGACGAAAAAGAGAAAAGCCAACAAAAAAGAATGATAGTAGGCATTTAAATGTTTCAGAATTACATATTATTTTGTAAATATCAGACAGTGCCCGATGTGTTTTGTAATTGCTACCGCGATAGGACAGCGTTTAATATGTCTCGATGTGATGACTTCAAATGTTCAACACCGTCCATGACGGGAACCCATATCCTTCGTCGACCACACTCTCCCTGAAACAAAACAATTATTCAATCAAACGCAGATACGGAAATATCATAGCTAGGCCATTCTCAGCTCAAAGCTCACATACCTCCATCCAATGCTCCAATTCCTCACGAACTCTCATGAGAAAAACAGTAGTGCGATGATGTTTATCGTCATCCTGTAACCAATAGAGCATGATAGCTATACAAGGTTTACAAACCTGGAATACTCCAACTTTTTCAATCGCATCAGCACGAACACCAGCTTCTTCTTCCAGTTCTCTTATAGCTGCTTGTTCATGATTTTCATTAGTCTCAACACCTCCTCCAGGAATGACCCATTTCTCATGATTCTTTCCTGCACTTACAAGGAGCACGACGGCATCGGGGCCGATCCCTGTAAAAACGCGAATTATTATGAAATGACGTGATGAAAAATAAAAATAATCTGGATTTTCCTCGGGTTTTCTCAATTTCTATATGTTATTAACGATAATATAATGTTCGCGTAAACTATTCGTGAATGATGTGGGAACATAATGGAAAACAACCGTTCTACACGCATACGTTGCACAAAATGAAATTAGAAAGAAGCCGTTTGGTATTGGCGCCAAATTATGCTTTCCAATTGAATTTCCATTTCAAAGCGTGTAAGAAATTAATTAGAAGACGTAATAAAGTCTGATCTCATTTCTATATTTGTTGCCATCCCCGTCAATGTCAATGAGTCAATCTGAGTTCAAGAGCCATATTTTACACAAAATGAATTCGAAACGTGTGTGCAACTACAAAAATATGGATTGAATTCACTTCATTCAACAATTTTCAGAAGAGATAGAAGTTCCTCTTTTGTCCGAATTGCAACTTCTCTCCACGTGCACATTCAGCAGAAGTGAGACGTTGTTTGAACATCATTTCAGGGCTAAGAATAAATTGAGAAGCACATTAGCGAATAAAAAAAGAAAAGAAGCTTATCGGATTAGGTCATATGAGCTGCTGAGAAATTACGGCCATAACAAAAATCCCTCCTACATTCACTAGTAAGATATTTAGGGTGTTTCGGATCACGTCATGAGACTCGCGTCAAGTATATTTTTAAACCACAAATCCTAGAATCTCGGAAGTGTAGCCGATTTCTGACAGGAAATTTTCTTAGCTTCCTCTTCGATCGCCGTAGCCCTACATATCAGAGGCACTCCTGATGCTCGGGCAAGAGAAAAACAGATTACAGAACGTCGGAAGAATCAGAGATTCAATTTCATCGACAAAAAAGAGACTGCTCTTATCTAGTCATAAAACTCATGACCATGAGAAAGCATGGGAACCGCTATTTTGGACAAATGTCTACACATATGACTTCTGACTGAACTTAATCACAGTCAGAAAAGACCAGAACGTAAGAGAGTCGGGCAACGAGATAAACAGAAACATGAATGATCAAAAATAGTGTGATGTATAGGATGGGAAAAATAAAAATACCGTTTAAATAACAAAATAACATTTCGTGCCCTACAATTTTCAGAAAAAAAACATCCGTTTCGTTTCAGAATCACGAGTCATGTAGTCTAAGACACATGATTGCTTGTATCAGACTAATTAAAATCTTCTGTTGTTCGAGAGAAAAAATTGTTACGCAGGAGAAACATGAGGCTTAACTTCTTGAAGAGAAGTAAAAATATATTTAGATACTGAATAAGAAAAGACATCCCCATCCAAATACGTTTTGAACCTGAGATGAAAACATCGGATGAGAAGAGAGAAAAAGTTTTCTGTTCGTACACGGTTTGATAGTCCTCACACTCTTTGGTCTGAATAGTTCCCTTTTTTGACGACTCCTATAGCTATCAGATTTCTATTCTATTATCATCATGTCGTCGATGACACTTTCATTCTTGTCAGTGACAACGTAGAAGCAAGGTGTTGTGAAATCAAACTTTCTTTCCGCTCGCAACCCCCATCTAAAAATTGACAGTTTTGTTCGAATTCATTTCGCTGGCAGAGTGGAAGAACAGAACGTGGCAGTCCAAAATGTCACGTAGAACCTGGTTCGTTTTATTATTTTAGCGCCCAATTGGAAAACTATGGAGAAAGAAAAGTAACAACTTCTCGAGTTGTAAAATAACTTGCAATTATTGCCCTCGACCGACTAAAGACTCTGGACGTCAATGACACTCCAGGACTAAAGTTTAGTTCAAAAAGCAAACGTGTGTAAGAAAAACTATGAGTTAGGAAGTCTTTCGGCTTCCTCTTTGTTCAACTACGTTTTTGACATTCATTTCCCTGTATATATGAGTATATTGAAAGACATAACTGCACAGCAGTCAGAACTTCTTGCAGCATTGAAAACCCCTCCAATGAGAATCAATCGAAAATTCAATTTTTTTCCGGGTTCCGCATAGATTCCACAGATTATCGGTTCAAAAATTAATTTTCCCAAGTGTTCTAATATCCAGAAAAAGGTATTTCCAATGGGGAAAACAACTTGAAACCAGAATACTAGATTCTATATGAACTTATTGACAAAAGGTAAACGAAATATTATAATTGCCACATGACTTCGATAGCAGAAAGCTACAGAGGAAGGAGACTGCACACAACAACTGCTCAGTTCTTCTCTGAAGTCTATTCCTCCTGCCATGCTAAGCACCTTCTCATGTTCATTCTATCATCCCCTCTAACATTCATCTGCTTCCTACTCTTTTCGAAAGAAAATCAGAAACAAATAATAAAGACATAGGAATAGGCGAGAAGGAAAAGATGAAGAGCGGAAAGAAATCTTTCGGAACAGGTAGAAAACATTCATCACAATAAACTGGCAATTCATACACTTGCAGCATTTACGACGATGCATAGTATAGAATGAAGCTCAGGACAACATAAGTCCTCTGTTGGAAAGATATGAGGAAAGTTCAGTCTCATATGAAATAATGGTTATGGCTTCAGTCCCTCATTCAAACAACAAAAAGGATGAGCGTTGTGCTTTCAACGGAATAAATTCATACTACGTCCTTTCCGGAAACAAAACATATAATGTTGAGATTAGGAGAGACTATGTGACAGCTAGAGAAGTTGGATTGAAAAGCATACAAGTGCTGTTCATGCTGGCATCAAGCCAAATTCAGGGCATTTCAGCTGATCTAATAAACAGGTTGACAAAGAAAAACTTTGTCCAATCTTATAGTTTTTGAAGATCACAAGTTAGAAAGCATGGCAACCAATCTAGATTGTAAAAAAGTTATTGGCAAGAAGTCACACACACATACATACACACCCATTCTGAATACAGGAATGTTTTGGGACTGCGTGTATACACAGGCATCTTCAAAACAAATCAAAAACAAAATGTTAGAAGATGTGAAGATAAACGATAATTTCCCGATGGAACAACGATCTTCAAGTCTATTTTTATGCTTCCTAATCAGAAATCCCAGATCGGAACAATAATTGAGCAGCATTAATGCTCGAGCAAATATAAAATAAGAATCAGGAAAGGTTAAAGATTGGACTATAATATATTAAATGTATATCTATAGCTACAGATAAATGAATGCAAAATGTTTGGCGCCTAATCAATTGCTGACGTATTTTGCGTGTTTCGAACATTTATGCAAATATTGCTTTCCCCGATCATTTTTCTATGTGCGTGTGCGCAGAGCGGTTGCAACATTTTATCTTCTCTCTATTTTTCATTTTTCTTCAAAGAGATTCCCGAAACGTCGAAGTTCGCAACATGAACGTTGAACTTGGCTTTTGGAAAGAATTGCAGAAAATTGCAATGTCACTGATCGGTCAGCGAAGGCGGTGAAAAAGAAGAAAAGTTAAGCGCATCAGGATGTCGTACTAGAGAATAGATGAAATCGGAGGGGAAAAATCAACAAATGGGAAAAGGAAGATAAAACAAAAAGCGTAAATCTGCAAAATCGGCTTACCTTTGATGCAAACGCCAGCAGCACGGATTCTATATCCGTCAGCATCACGTTGACGTGGAACGACACCCGTATGTGCCTTCCATGGAGCTACGCTCACCATTCGGCCAAAGACCTGCAAATGTATATGATTATAAAAAATAACAATAATTCAATAACGACAATATCTGTTAGAGGAAATCGTCACAAATGTTGTAGACGACATTCACAAACACAAAGCTTACCGTTGGTGATTATTGGAGAATAAAGTAGACAATAGTACTGATACCGTCGCACTGAAAACAATTGCATTGCACTTTCGTACGGTCGGGTAAGTGAAATAAACGTGTTTTCAGATAGGAAGAGATCGTATACACATACAAATCAGAACATACATATACATTATATACAAGAGGATAGGATATGACATGGCTTGCAAAAGGTTACTCTTTGATATCTTGCCCCAAACTAAATTGCAACATGTAAGAGGCTCGTTCGGAACACAGCAGAACTTGAAAAACCTGCTTCTCATATAATAATATATGCAGTTCAGTGGATGAGAATTCAAAAATAGAAATATAAATTACAAAGGTTCTGAAGCGAAAAAGAGAAAATGACAGAAGCAGGGAAATAATTATCAAAAACATAGGCCGAGGAAGCCTGTTGCAAGAAAAAATGTGAGCATATATCAATACCTCGGCTACAAAAAGTATTTATGGATGAGGCAATTATTGCAGGCTGTATTGGCGCTCATTTACGAAATGATAAGAGAACATAAAGATAATAGATCATAACTCATATCGCATAAGAAACAGATGATTGGAATAGGGAAGCTGCTCAATTCTTTCATTATAGCTCACGAAAATAGAGTCTAAAGATAACTGAACGTGGAAAAATTCTTGGAAAACAGCTTGGCGACCGGACAACGGACAGAAGGGGTGCTGATGCTGTGGGGTTGGGCTGGTTGGCTGGCTGGCTGACGGGCCTCTGCATCTCTGGCTGTAAGTCTGGTGTGCGTTAGACAACGGCCGCCCAGCATCTCTTTCTCTAGATCGCCCGCTCTCTCCTCTTTTTTTGTTTTCTTTGCTTTTCTCTCTCCTTGATGTCGTCGTCGTCGTACTCTGCAGATCCACCTCCTTGTCTCGCTTGTCTTCTGTCCCTCCTCCTCAGTCATCCCTTCCACATACAACGACCACCAACATCAGTGTCGGAGCACAACGCTTAAAGTACCCCGCGGCTATATGGAACGGAAAGAATAGTGAAAATGGCGAGGAGCACATAGTAAGAAAGACGGAGAAAAAGAGTGAGAAAAGAGGAAAAAGGCTCCTAAATATCGACGGCTAAAAGTAGCTAGCTGGTGGATTTGAAAGCCATTTTTAGGAGCCATACTTGAAAACACGTCGTATGGACAGAAGAAAAAGGGAATATTTCCTTAACATCAACTAGGAAAACTGAGAGTCGCAAAAATAACGGAAGCTATCTACGGTGGGACGGAACTCTTAACAATGAGAAGGGAAATTAGGCGCATTAGAATTTCAGAACAGAGCTCCACTCTGAGCCGGAAAGATACATGAGGTAGCTAGAGAGCAGAAGGAATGCAAAAAATAGAAGCTGAAACATGATCAAATAAGGAAATACAGAAAGTGGGCAACGAATATCTATATATAGAAAGCTACACAAATGTAATTTCTCACAGCGAGAATCAGATACGTACGATAGGAACGAAAGAAGCTTCATAACAAAGAATGTCAAACTCTTTATAAAACTTAAACTTCATTTAAAAACAAGAGGATGGAAATAACAACATAATTCAACAAGTAAATAACAAAGAGTGCATCTTGAAGACGTCGGATATCAAAAATTCTGAGTCTAATGCCCCAGCAGGGCGCTGTCTTCTATTTCTCAAAGACTTGGCTGAGCCAACTTCCCCACAACAGGAAAAGATAATGGTTAGAATAACAACTCAAGCATTCTATACAAGAGCAGTGCTATCACACCAACAAGGAAAGCTACAAATGCCGAGGTGTACGAGCGATTTGATGACTTGGCTGATTGAGGTTCTGCACTGTCTACGAATTCCGTTTTCATATGGAATTTCCCTGCTTCTGTAACACGGACTCTGGCCCACGAACCGATCAGGCCATCTCTCATCGGAACCAACATGTGTTCATAACTTTTATTATGACCAACAGCGTGTACGCGATCTGAAAAAAGTAATGCATGAAATAACTAATTTGCTTACCTGAAGCTACTTCACAACAGAGGACATCATGGATTTCTCCGACCCTTTCAGGTCCATATCTGGAATATTCATGGAAGAGAGCAGACATAGCATTTGTGCGTCGTTTGGCTTCCACAGAATCAATCTAAAATAAGGCAATACATATATTAAGAGTTGTACACTCACTTTCTTCAGACGAGCAGCCGGGGTGCCTTGTCTGGGGTAGTACTGATTGATGAACAGTGATGGGAAACGATATTTTCGGACAAGATCCATGCTTTCTTCGAAATCATCAGCCGTCTCAGTAGGGAAAGCGCAGATGAAATCCGTAGCAATGTATATGTTGGGAACACTGAATTGTGATACTTGAGATAGGAGATTCGATTTGAAAAAGGATTAACTGAGAACAGATATGAAGGAGGAATTTATAGCTATATGAATTGAACAGTCATGACTTTGAGTTGCATGAGCAATCAATGAGGAGATAACACTTACTTCTCTATCATATAGTCCATGATGACACGGAACTCATCAGCAGTATATTCCCTCTTCATATCTTTCAGAACCGCGTCACTTCCAGCTTGGACAGGGATGTGCAAGAAAGAGTATACACGAGGGTGGTTGAGAATTTCTGCTATTTCCTATAATAAACATCTAAAAAATGGGTTTAGGTAAACACGCAGGCGGTTTCTAGCCTTTCACCTCTCCCTCTTGAACAACACACAGTTTCTTCTTTTAAATTTTTGAAATTAGCGTTGGGGGCTTCTCCGAATGATTTACCGGAGAAGATAGAAAAAGAAACCTCGAGAGAAACTTCAACACAATATCAGCTCATGACGTCTATTTGCAAGTTTAAATAATGAACCGGAGGTTTGATAAAGCCTGTACGGATAATGGATTTGTGTACTCAGCCGTCTTTAAGATGAACAAAAAAATCGATTGACTATTTGGCGCAAAGTAGCAAAAAAGGAAATCCCTGCCCACGTAAATTTTAAAAAAAAAATAAATAAAAATGAACGAACACTCAGAAAATCCAAAATGTACGGAGGGTTTGTCATACCCAACCGCATCATACAGTTTTCGGGGATAACCTTCACTAGTTCCTTCAGCAGATCCGGCAAGACCTGGAAGACGTTCTTTTTGTTCATCTCGCAATTATTTGAAAAGAACCATGTCAATATCACGGCCCCAAGCACCCAAATCTTCTGACGTAAGCCACAATTCTTTTACACCATCGCGATCAAATGCAGTTCTGGCCTGGAATAATGGAGCTCAGGGAAAGACATTCAGTAACAACTTTACCTGCTCAACAAGGTCTTCAAGAGGATAACTTTTCAAATCTCCACGAGCCAATTTTGTTTTGCAATATGTACAGTTATTCAGACAACCAGTATTGATTGCCAACACCTAGAAAGTACAGTGTCAGACGAGTAAAAAAAAAGTTAGCTCACTTCAACCAGATCGTTCTTCCTCATCTTGGGAAGGGACAAACCTGCATCTGGTCTTCTACGAGATAGCAAACGTACTGGAATATCATAAGATGAGTCTAATTGTGTCGGAAGTTACCGCAATTTCCTTTTAATGTCTCCTCAACAACTTCCACTATCCGATCAATTTGCTTGACGCCAATAATGGATACACCTTTCAGCCAAGGCTCATCAGGAGCAGCTTGAGAAACACATCCTGCCATTACCAGATATTTGCCTTCGTCCTGAGCCATCTTAACGAAATTGCTTGCCTGAGTACAAATAATATGATATTCAAAGATAGATCGGAGGCTACTTGTGTTTCCGAAGGAGTTTTTACGGTACAGCTGTTCAATACCCATATTGCTGCCTCTTTCTGATCAGTAACGATAGGATATCCCGCCTAGAATACTTCTTGATGCCCATAGAGAACAAAGTCTCAAATACCTTAGCCAGGATTCCAGCCATATACTCACTATCACTAGAATTATGTGAACATCCCCATGTTTTGACAAAGACGGGGGTTATGCCAGGCACAAAAGAATCTAGTTGACCTTTATCTTGGCGATCTTTTTTTGTTCTTAACATAAACATTGAGGACGCAAGGAAAAAACTTTTACCGAATCTTAATCTGAACTTCGCCGCTCCTGGAAGCACCGATGTTTGCTACATCGAATCCGTCTTCAATATCACCCATTAAAATGAACCCTGAGCACGTAAATCAGATATTCCTCGTCAGATCGTTTGGAAGTATAGAATCCAGAGTAAACTGGGAGAGTACAGATAAGAAATTAACGGAACGTTCAGTTTATTATTACAAGAGTTCAAACAAAAGAGCACAACGTAGGAGTTTTACATTGAGCGAGAACCTAAAAGGAAATATTACAATGTTCTTTCAGATGCATTAGTTATGAGAGGAACTTAGGAGTCCCGAGCAAATACATGTAATATAAAACTGATATTAATACCATTAAAGTACAAACTGGAAAGCTTGAGTGTTAAACGAGAATTATAACTTCTTAGAAACAACTTAAGATGAGGTATACCATAAATTAAGGCAGGTCTATTTACAAACAGTTCTTCTTTAAAAAACATGCGCAATGACTAGTTGATATTTAGGATAAATGATGTGTCGTAATGTAGAATAAGTGTTTTCAAAAAACCCATTTCCCTTCGTGTATTTTCGAATATAACGCGCGGATCCTCACTCTCACATCTGAATTAAACTGAATGAATAACGTTTTCAATCCTACGGTCTCACCTGAGCACATTTGGAGCCATAACCATAGCTAGATTAGACACGTCCATTTTCGTATGAACAACTACTTCATCTCTTGAGAGATCCTTAAAACAAATTCATATCACTAATAGCGCGAATGATAAACAACCTGAAGTAGGGCTATTAGCCGTGCCAGGACAAGTTTGTGTGTCGGACTTAGTAATTCAACTAATCTTACAGCTTCTTGAGGGTTCTCAGAAGCTTGTAGAGCTCGTGCATAAATCGAGTTCGGTATTAATGGATCAGGTAGCTGACGCAGCCAAAGTTTCAATAAACCAGCAGCTACGTGAGCGTCATTTACGACGGGAAGAACCCACTGATCTAATCGTGCCCTTGTGGTACTCAATTGATCCGGATCACCCGCAACGCTAAACCACAAGATAATAAAAATCGAGAAGAGGTATCCAACCGAAAAATTCCTTCAGTTCGCCGTCCTGAAGCTGAATAAAGCAATTGTATGAGAGTAGTTTCAATCCATGGAAGTTGAAGCTTAGGATAACGCTCTAGTTGCATTTCCATAAGCTCTTCCAGACTAGCACCGAATTGCGGTGGATTAAATATATGAACCTAAGTAAAAGTAGTAAATTCTGTTTCATAACTCTTGTGCATACCCTAGTTTCTTGCACTCCCGCTAGAGTGGGTTTCACACGAGGAAGTTTCCTATTCAATCGTTTAGCACATTGTAAAGCAAAATGAGATACAGCCACCTTAAAAACAATAGAATGAGCCGTCACTTCAACACCAGAAATATTTTCACGTTTCCACGTTTCGCGTGGAAACGCCACCTATTTTTCTGACGTTTACGTGGAAGTCACGTAATACCTCAGTCGCGCCATTTTTACGTTACTCGGCATTGGAGCTGGTTGTGTTTAAATTTCTTTCTTTTTCATGTTTAGCCAACACAAAAACATCAACGAAAAATGTCTTAGGAGATTGAATGAAAATCACCTCTGGAGTATCGAAAAGTTTTTCGGAGTTTCTATTAATGAATTCATTAAGTGGCTCGAACTGTTTATCCGGTGTAGAAAAAGCTAGAAGAATTGCCAACAACTCCCATCCTTTCCTTCAATTTAATAATGAACTGTAATATAGCACCATTAAACTAACTTCAAGCTGTCAGATCGCTCATTTTCAGTTAACTGATGCATCAATAGAGCAACTGCTTCATCGACACATTCAGGGCGACCAAAACACAATTCACAAAATGAGAGAGCGAGCTGAAGAGAAAAATGTAAGTACTTATTGGGCAACACAACAAACTTGATCAAATGGCGTTTTACTTTTACGATCTCCCATGTAGCCTTGCATAATTTTGAAAATACTAGCTGCATCCTTTTTCAACCCTTTATTATCCGGTGCGGAGAGGGGTAGTTTGGGCGGATCTTTGCTCCAACCTACAAGCTATGTTATCCAAATAGCTAAGGACATTAAAAGCACCTCCGGAAGTTCCTTTAGACTTAGTACCAGTGTTTGTTGAAAATAGAGTTCTTTTTTGCGTAGGGGGGCTAGATGATCTTAAAACAAAACATTGCCTAGATAATACAGTAGCTATCCACCTAGACGATCGGGGAGGGATAGAATCGGAAGATTGTGCAGTAGACATTGTCGAAGTTGCTCCAACCAAAGGGAATGCAGGACAATGCCTTGATCGGCCATATTCTTTCGCCGGATAGTCATCACGGTCTGTCAACGAGCCTGACTCACTTGGATCGTCTATCGACATCAACTAAATATCAAAATTTAATAAAAAAACGTTTCATACGCGAATTCTAACATCAAAAGACTGCTGCATCGTTGAAGTACCATTCGACGCCCGACTGGTTGTTCGGGACATCACTATTCCACTTTCGGGTCCTATGTTTTGTGCTAAAACACGTTGCCCACGAACAACAGCAGGAGATGTTTGGGTTTCGCATGTTCGCCTCACCTAAAATTCATGAATTTTCTCCGGAAAAATCATGAAACGTACCCGAGCGTGCTCAGAACTTTCTGTTTCTTTTAATGTTTGCAGCTTCGCCAGAGGAATAATGTCTACTTCAGACCCTTCAGGCTTCTGCCATATGGTTTCCATTGAAGAGGCATTGTAATAATAGAATCTACTAGATTTGGAGTCAAAAAGCTCCCACCATTGATTTTCATGCGTTCTCTTACTAAAAGTAATATTCTATGCTATTGTATGAAATATATAAGTACTCACACTGTAGCACCAGGTGGTGGATCCCATGAACACTGGCCGGTTGTTAGGTTAGCATACATGCGCTGCTTTGTTTGCGGTTCTACAATTTCAACCCAATCAGTGGTTGGTCTAAAATGATTTGTGATAACCAAAAGAATCAATAATCAAAAAATTACCCATTGGTCCTCGGTGAATTGGGTAAATCACCCACAGAACCATTCTGCATTGTGCTAAGTTTTAACAAGAAACCTCAGTCACGTTCCTAACGCTTTACATACATTATTCTAAAAGGAGAAATGAACTAATGATTTCAGTGGTCACTAAGTAGGAAACACAAACAAATAATAACGCGCATGGCTTAAGCTTGTTGCTAGAGAGGCAGATGCAAACACCATGCACAGCTAATTAGAATATGTAAATGATTGCCGAATTTCTGTCCCATTGATTATTGGCCATATGCCAATGGAGTGGTGCGTTATTTGGTCCCGCAGCGCGCATTTAACCCTTTACAAATATTCAAATGTTCAAAATTACTTGTACTGGAGCGTGCTTTACTTGTAGTACAATAACCACACTCCTTCTGATAGAAAGAAATGAACGAGAAGGATGTATTAAGAAATACGAGTTGGGAATGTGGCTTAACCTGGTTTTCTAGCGTTTTTCCGCGTTTTAACAAACAAATTAGAAAATTATATTAGTTTACTTGTTATTATATGAGCTAGAACTGAGTATGGACAATGTGCTCTCAAATTCATGTCTTCTCTCTTCCTTTCTAATAACTTTTCATTGTTTTTAGTCACATTTCCCTTGGCTCGCGCTACAATCGTATCTCATAATGTTATTATGGGATCTCTTAAGGCACTTCATCTCCTGATCGGTGCTGTGGTTATCACTATCATTCCAATATTGATATTATATATTAAGCTAAGTAACGATGTGGTGCGTTCTGAGCACAAACATGGATGTAGTTTTCATTTTTTTAGGATATCTATCAGTCACAAAGATCAAATTTCCCTGCATACTCTGAGAATATCTGTGAGTTTAGTAGTTACTCTTTCTATGTTTTTTTTTCCTTTTAGTTCCTCATTCTTCCTTTGAAAATATGCATGAGTGCGCATCTTTTGGTGAAGATGTGAATTCCACCCATCCTAATTGTTATACGAAGTTTCGATGGATGTTGGAACATTGGCGTAGTCATTCATGCTATGAGGAGTACGGTGTAGACGGATCGGCGTGTTCAGTTCGATCTTACCTCTCCACTATCGAAGACCATTGTCCCCCTTTACCGGGATATAAACCAAGAAGCAGTTTATATGCTGAAGTATGTCGCTCTCAATCCATTTCCTCCACCACAGTAGTGTTCCAGAGCATCGAAGACTTGTCTTTTCTTTTCAATAATTTAACTGATAATCCTTTAAATTATGAGTTCATCAAAGAACGGGTGACACGTTTATGGTCTCTTTGGCATGATGGTTATCAGCGCTCATTAAAAAAACATCCAAAAGTATATCATAACAGAAAGAGGAAAAATGTGAGATATAAGAAGTTACTGTTGGAAACATTCCACGTTCCAGATTATTTTGCACATGGGATTTTTGATGACTGATAAAAAGCTCCACTTCGGTGAAAAATCTCGTAAAGGAGGTCCATTGGGCGAACTAGTGCAGTGGTCAGATCTAATCGCTTCCTTATTTGTACTGGGTCACAGGCTTTATGTTTCAACTGAGAAAATCACATTATTCAAGTATGTTTGAGACTTCCATTCGCATTTTACTGAGCGAATTTTGAGACATTTGGACGCTTTCTTACAACAACCCCCTTGTCCAACATCTATGGGCAAAGTAGATCTCATTATAACGGATATAATTGGATTAAGATCTTTTGTATCTAAGCATAAGCAATTCATTCGGGAACATTCGTATGGCTACAAGTGTTGACATTATTACCTCAGTTTTTCAGGTGTAAAATAAGACTGATAGACAGCTTCGGCACGCATGTTGAGTTCAATACCAAATCCTATTTTTCGCAACACCGAAAGGAACTAGGTGGCGGTATGAATCCTTGGGGTGGACATGGCTTCAAATTGAAACAATACTGGACATTCTTTCCTCACACGCCTGACAACTCTTTTCTCGGGTTTGTTGTAGTTCTCTTTATTCTTCTATTCTGTTTTTTTTCATTAGTTTTGTCGTCGAGACCAGAGATGTTAAGCCATTGTTTGATAGGAAAAGTAGGAATTCAGTTTTGATTTATGGAAAAGAGAAGTACATGTGGGCAGGGATCAATACCACTTTGGACGTTTTGAAAAATCTTACTGAGGTACTTGCAACTTACCACATTTTTCTCTATAAGTGTTATCAGGTGCATGCAACAGTTGCTGATCTGACGAACCTTCAGCCTAATGAAACGAGTACTTTTGCGGATGTTGTTAATCACGGTTTCCTGTTCACTGACGAATTGCATTCTCTATTGAAATCTGTCAAAATATTTGTCGGCATGGGATTTCCTTACGAGGGACCGGCGCCTCTTGAAGCTATTGCTAATGGAGCTGTGTTCATCAATCCTAGTTTCGACCCTCCGAAATCGCGACACAACACGAAGTTTTTCGCTGATAAGCCTACATCGAGAGAAGTATCTAAAAAACATATAATGTATGCTCACCAATATTTCAGTGGACCAGTCAGTGCCCATATTTGGAAACCGTAGGACCACCTCATGCTTATACAGTTGACATTCGAAATCCCAAAGAGCTCGAAAAAACTATTCAGCAGGCTTTACGAAAAGAGGTGATATTCATAGTTTTATCAACAGTGCAATCAAATGTTCAGCCTAAACCCTTCATCACTGAAGAGTTCACAACAGAAGGTATGTTGTTAAGAGTGACCTTGCTAGTGGATAAGGAAGATCTATGTACTACCCAAAGTCATTACCCTCCCAAAGAAGCACTTCAAGTAATTTTTTTCTTCCTGGCTATTTATCTTTGCTATAGATTCGAGTTGGCAAACCAGGTGAGTCATGTGAGAAAGCCTGTTCATCTCACAATCTGACGTGTGAACCGATGTTTTTCCATCTCGTTAACAAACAAGAAGTTCTTAAAGCGTATGTTGAAATTGTTACTTTTATGTTCGGCTATTGCTCATTTTCAGAAAGAATGATTGTTTCGAAGCAGAGGCCGTTTCATCTAATGTATTAGCTCCTTTTGATTGTACACTTCAAAACTCTTCGGATATGTTCAGCTGTGCTAGTAGTTCTAAAAATCCTGTTCAACGAATTTGCCCATGTCGCGACTACTTGCCGCAGCAATCATCAGTTTGCAAACTTTGTGTTTAAACCTCTTTCTAGAAATCTAGTCGAATCTCCGCTTCATCATATAGCTCAAATGTAGAGTTAAATTTTTAATTTTCATGGGTCTCAATAGCAAAGCTTTGGTTATTACGCTGTGATACAGATTTTTATTCTTTAAAGATACAATGAATTTATTTTATTTTCTCGTTCGTCACAGTTTCAGTCAATTGGTTCACACCATTCTTATTCTATTTTCTGTGTCCTCATAATCATGTAGCTTATATTTTTAATAGGTATGGCGGTGGCAAAGAAACCGGACCTACATCTATTATGTTGCAGCCGAACTGCTTCTGCTCTAGAAGCTGTTCGTTCTAGACTAGGTTCGATATTTTCAAATCTCTTCAATTTGATTATGGCGTCTTTTAGGTAAAGGGGAAAACCCAAGAAGTCGTGGCGATGATGGGTTAACCCTGATGCATGTTGCTTCTGCTTATGATAACTTGGCAGTGTGTCAGCTTTTGTTACATTATGGAGCTGATCCTCTGTGTAAAGATGACTTCGGAAGGACAGCGGTAGATTTGGCAACAGGAACAACTAAAACGTGAGTCTTCTCGAACAGTTTCTTATCTCTTTGCCTACCTTCAGGTTTCTAACCCGCTACATTGATAAGGACCCTCGATCACGAAGAGGTATTTTGCGGAAACTATTTTTCTGCCATCGTGGAAACTATCAACAAAGACGTCGCAACTCTTTCCTGTCGGACATCAAGTCCCGTGTGAGACAGTCAATAGGAATAATAATTCGTAAGCGAAGAAGTCGGGTATGTTTCATTCTTTCATTATTCAATTATTGTTTTAACTTTAGAGATCTAGTAAAGTTGATAGTCCTGCTATTGCCTTGGAAGAGGAAGTGAAGGAGCCTGCACCTCTTCCCAAAACTCCACGTCGTCGTGCGAGAACACCAGATGTTCTTGAAACACCAACTCGATCTCCTCCGGTGCGAACTAAAAGAAGATCTAAAACTCCAGACTTCGACCCTGCTACAAATAGACCTGCTCCAACTCCAAGCAAGATGAAAAAAACTCCGGATGTTAAATCTGCTAAGCAGACTGTTCCACCAACTGCTGGACGAACTGCCGCAAAGTCACCTATGTTCCCTCAGAACCCTGCAACATCTAACACGAACACTACACCACGATTCACCAAACATTTTCGAGCAAAACCGACAGCTCCACCTCTCACACCTGAAACTGTTCGTAAACCACGGAAGAGGAGCGCTTCCAGAGGTGACTCAGTACAGGATATGGAGCAATGGAAAGTATTGTTTTCAGATAAGGCCATGACCGAGAGCGGTGATAATTCTGGTTACATGACAGCTGAAGAAAGTTTTCATTTGCTGGAACTTGAGCAGCGACTAAATCAGGTAGTGTCTTCCATGCCTGATCCTTTTTATCACCTCATTTCAAGCTTAAAATATCGGAACCTGTTACCCCAACGGCTGTGGATGAGCATGCTAAGCGCAGAGTGAAAAAACTGAAAGACTCTGAACTGCGGTCTGAGTTAAGAAAGCATGGAATATATGCTGGACCAATATGCTCGGGGTTACATCTTTGACATGTTCTTTTTGATAATGGTTGATCTTTCAGTACTAGACATTTGTATGAAAAGAAGCTGCTGACTGTTTCTGATCAAGTTGAAAAGGTTCAAGGAGCCTCTTATTCGAAACCACTTGAATTAGGTTTCAAAGGCAAGATTGATGAAAAGAAAGGAAAACAACTGGACGAAACCGTTAGTTGGGTTTTCACTGCTTGTATAAACTATAGTTCTTAGATACGTAGAGAGTTCCAACATCTTGGAGTCACAGCATTCGTTTATTTGTTACTGGATCCACGTGTGCTAGAGCAGGTTGAGAAGTTGACCTTACGAAAAGTTGTTGAGTCAGTGTTTTACGTGGGAAAAGGGACTAAGGCACGTGTTCACTTTTCCTTTGTTCATTAATTGTTTTGCCTTAGGCTCGGCCATTAGCTCATCTGATCGACGCAAGGAAAATGCGGGAAACTGGGTCTCCTAAATTAGTGAGCATAATTTACAATCAGTTTTTCTTATGACCTATTCTAGGAGACTAACGCCAAGTTGCAGAAGATCAATTCTATCTGGAATTCCGGAAGAGGAGTTGGTCTACTAGAGATCAGTCATACCATATCGGATGATGAAGCTTTTGTTCGTGAAGCTGCTTTCTTTGAAGCTATCAGGCTTCAAAACCTGACTAATATCAAAGGAGGAGAATGGAAAGGACGTTCACGATCCTGGGATAACATCACGAAAGCAGAATTCGGAGTATACCTTCTTAAGCAGGCTTATGAGATTCTCAAGACTATGGGCCCGCGTTATGTATACCCCGATTCTCTTCCGGATTCAACTCATCCTAATATAACCAATAGGCGTAAATAGAATGTTACAACTAATATTAATTATTTTTTATTGTTATACTAAGTTCTAGTCTTATTCTTTCTGTACATTGCATTTGAAATGTTTACTTCTCATTGTATAATATGATCTTTCATATCCACAGGTATTTGTATTTTGCTTAATCTCAATCATCTGATGATCATGCTCAAGGTTTTTAATTAAGTTTCTACAAGATTTCTCTGTTTGTTTACCACGAGTTGTTAACTCATTTTATTACCTACAAGGACTTCCCTATGGAAAGTATCATATACTTTACAGATGAGTAGTATCGATGAACAGGAACGGAGACATAGTAGTTCTTCTTCGTCCTCCATATCCCTTAGGCCAAGTGGAATTTTGGAAAAAGAACCAGTAGTAGATTCTGTGGAGGTGTCACCCTTTCCCGCTTTCGAATGTTTCGCATCACATATATCTAGTTCAAAGTAAGTTCTCTTATGCAAAATCTTAACTACTGACTATTTTCAGCGGTATCCAGAACTTCGAGAACTCGGTCCGGGTCGGCGACCGAATAGTGGTGAAAGTGAAAAAGTTTGACGCAGCAGGAGCTTATTTGAAAGCTATTTGTTATTACAAAAGAATTAAACGTGATCTAGAATGGCTTGACTATCAGGTTGTTCCTAAATCTCTCTTTGGCTTAGCTCACGGCTCCGTTTTCATCTAGCTCTTAGCTCCATTGCATGCCTTAAGTCGTCGACTTTCCATAGGCGAGTACAGACTAGTCAATGTAACGTCAGTCTCTCCCGTAAAAGTAGAACTGCTTGAGGTGAGATAATTTAAGATTTGCTTTTATTATATCATCTGAAATGTATTAAACGTGTTTGCTTAATTGAGGTTCCTCCTTTAACTTTCAATGATCTCCCCGAATACTTCAGGTAACTCTCAATCGTGAAAAGGGTTATCACATTTCGTTTCAGGCTAGGAAGTGAATTACCGAGTAAATCAAACTTCTGGAAGTATTGTCCCGCTATGAAACAGTATAAGAACCATTATATTCCTAATACATTAGGATTTCCCACGAAATCAAAGCTAACATTCCTACCATTAGACAATTTCGAAGAGGTAAGTGTAAACACCTCACACTTTCACCCAAGTATGTTCAGGACTGTACGGAAACAGCTAGTCTCATGAGGAAATTCCAAGATGAAGAGTTAGCAACATACCATGTAGTCCAAGGAGTTGATTTAATGAAGGAACCCAATTATGCTGCTGCTATATTCGAGTTCAATAGAGCTATACAAATCTATCCCAAGTGTACAGATGCTTACGTAGCGAAAGGAGCCGCGTATGTCTCCTCTTGTCTGCAAATCACGGATTGATATTTACAGATTATCCAATCAGAAGAATTATGAAGCTGCTGAAAAGGAGTTGGAAAAGGCGTTGGAAATCAATCCTGATCATGTGAACGCCAAAACATACTTAGTTGAGACATTGATGAAAATCGCTGCCAGGTTCGTAAGAGGTTCTTATATCTGTTATACCTAGTTTCCAGTCATACCGAAAAGAAAGATGTGGAAAAAGCTCGAGCGTCCTATGAGAAAGTTCTAACAATAAAAGCTGACAAAAGAGCCAAAGAAGCTCTGGATAGCCTAAATAGGAAGAAAGACAGCCCAGGTTGTTTAGGTACCCTGCCTTCAATTCATGTGTTATGCTTTCAGAAGCTAAAAGAAGACGATCAAGTGAGTCGTCGAAAAAGAAAATTCTGACACCAGCCGAGATCAAAGCAGCCAGAGAGCAGAGAGAGAAAGAGAAGAAGAAATTGGAAGAGATGGAAGCATTCATTGCCTCTTTAAAAAACGGGAAATGATATTTACTTCCTAAAGCACGTTGTTATATATGCATATATCTTTTTCAGTTTTCAAATTCCAAATTTTTAAAAGATAATAATGATTTTCTCTAGTTCGCATCAAATATGTTCAATCATATTGTTACTTTGTTATTGGTTCTTCATGTTTTTGTATTAACATCTCTATTCAGCCGATGTCCACGGAGTCGTTATGCATCTCAAGGTGTATATGTATACACTCATCGTTACAGCTTGTTGATTTGACGATTGCATCCATCTGTCTTCACCACAGTATTTTGCCAACACCTATTTCAACGATTCCAAATCCTCCGCCACATGGAATGATAAGAACTATCTCTAGTTTTCAATCGGTTAGTAGCTTCACCCGATTCGCTTATGATATGTTTTGCAGGTGCAAGAGGAGCTCCAGAAAGTTTTTAGATCAAGGTTTCGATACCAAATAAAAGAAGTAATGTTGGTTGTAGGACAGTCTCCTTTCCGTCCTCTTCAAGTTTACAGTCAGTTTCAAATTAATATGCGAAAAAAACTAAGATATATCAGGTCTACCAATATCATTATGTGAAGGACATGGATCGTCGCATGTGGACTGCGGGTCGCCATGCATGGAAATGACAACTAACGAAATCCGAAAAGTTAACCTACAGCTTTTTAGAGTGAGATTCATGGCTTATACGGTTTTTGATATACTATTCAGAGTTTTCCACCTGAAAACAAAGGAAAAAACAGCTTAAGGATGTTTGTTTACATCCGTGGTACAGATGCGCTCGTTGGGGAGAATTTAGAAGAGAGGTAAAGCTTAAATTTAGAAGAGTACTGTACATAGATGTTTCAGTGAAATCTCACTTGATGAGAATAAACTGGTTTCAATTCATTACGGTCATAAAGGTTGCAGTTGCTCTAAGACTTGTGAAATAGAAGATGACGGGTCTATTAGATGGTTAAGACTGTCACCGTTCGTAGTACAAGGAAAATTGGTATAGACAACAGTATCTATTCTATTCAGATCTCTTAGAATACTTTCACTTATCCTGTATCTCATGCATAGCATTAACTGGGTACATATCGTGTTACATCATATCTGCTCTAATCATATTCATATTTTAATTGTAATAGTTAAAAAATGTATTTAGTTTCTATGCGTTTTCATATGTCGATGTAGATTACCAGACTGTGTGAAGCGCATGTGACATGTACTACATGAGTATGGCTTTTGTCCTATGTAGGAGTAGATTAAATAAAGAGTATGTACTTGATTATCTACCTGTATGAGTTCGAAGGTGTTTGGTTAGCGTACTACTATCTGTAAACGCTTTATCGCAGTGCTTGCATGGATACGGCCTCTCGCCCGTGTGCGTCCTGAATTACAAAAAATATATTTAAATTGTTTCAATCTCTTAATTGCAATGTATAGAGATTCAACAGGGTACGCACACAACCTCTTGCAGGTGTGGCCAAGATTTGGTATTAGCCTCGATAATTGCTAGATACAATATCAGCTGCCCATGAAAGAAGTCTCATAGTTCAAATGAGGCCAGTCGAAAGGAGTTGAAAAACAAAGAAATTAACGAACCGTCTGTGGGTTACCAGAGAGGAACTTTGAGAAAACGGCCGGTTACATATTGAGCATTCGAATGGTTTCTCGCCTAAATTAAAAATTTTAGCAAATGGTGTCGTCATTAATTTTCGTATTGGAAAGAAAAATAACACGTAAATATGTGTAAACTATGGTTTCTTTCAATTTCAAGGATTATGAACATATATAGATATTCTAATACAAATCCACAATTATGTAAAAAGTAATCAATTTTTCTGATTTCGAGATATGAAACACCTCACCTGTATGAACCCGTTTGTGTGCAGTTAAATTGGCAGCTTGCGAGAAGTACTTTCCACACAACTGAAGACATTAGAATTCTTCAAAAAAAAAGTCTGTTGTCATTTCACCTGGCACCTGAAAGCCTTATTCGAAGTGCTTTCACGACTTCTACAAGTTGGAGCCTTAATCTCTATCGCAGTTCCCGGAATGGGCTCCATGCTAAGATAACAAATTTTTAAATACAATTTTTTCTCAAAATGTGGAATGCAACCATTCTGAACTACTTACTGATTATATGACGGCATTTGATCCACCACTGCAGGAGCGGGGTTATGAAAAGCCGTAGGTGCCAGCCACTCATTGCTCGGCGGTCTGTTCCAATCGGGCCTCCAGCCATACGGATTTCTGTAAATAAGCTGTTAAAAGTCTAGTACAAAACTATAAAGAATGTTTAACTCATAAAGCCTTAGCCGGACTAGAAATCAGTTGAACTATCAGTCTTCTTCTAAGAAACCTTAGCTCGCTCGAATCATCATAACATGAATGTTCATAAAGCTTTAAAGGTTCTCCAGAAAGTGATAATAAGGGTTAGAGTTCAAATGAGAACAAATTAAAGATATCAAACAGAACTCACATTCCGTCTTGAACAGCGGGAGGAACAGGAACGACGCCATTGGATTGATAGAAATCATAGTGATTATGAATAGCAGAAACAGCCGTAGTTGATGTACCAGCAACAGTTGGACCAGTGTTGAATGAAGGTATATAACACGGTTCCATGAAGAAATCCCGATCATACATGGGATAGGACGTCATTCTATTTTATTATCTTAAAGACTCTAGAAATTATACTTAAAATTCGAATTATATGTGCGTTTCATGAATGTAAAAAGAATAAATGTCACTGCAAAAGGGGGAAGCCCTGTATGTGGCTCAAGAGCGGCCAACGACTACCGTATCTATAGGAAAAGCTGATGACTGATTACCCGTTCTGGATAGGGCGGGGCTTCTCTACACATCTTCTGTAGCTGCCACGAAAGCTCTTCCAGCTCGCTATAATCCTAATCCTTTTCGATTAAAATTTGTGAAAATGATGATCTTTCAATATTTCTAAACTACTCACAGAGTGAAGTCAATATTCTTCATTTGCATTGAAGGTATCTAACAATGGATCACTAAAATGAACGATAACTCATTTACCAATACAGAAAGTTTCGAATAATTTGTCCAAAATTTCTTCAGTTACTGTGTCTCCCGTAATCTGACCCAGGAGTGAAAGACATTCCTCTAGACGAACACACAAGATAGCAGCATCAGTACATGACTGAGCATCTAATAGAATATCAAGGATTTCTCTAGAATAACAGAATATGCAAAAATGAAAATATATACTCACTGAATCAAGTGATGATCTGTTAAAGCAGGTCCGTTCTCGTCAGGACATATTTCTGATATTTCGTTTTCAAGAGCTTCAAGAAGAGGACTAACCCCTAAAGAATCCGCAAAGTACTAAAGGCATCCCCTGGAAACACACCTTCTTTTGATAAAGCGCAGGTATCAATCACAGACTTCACTTCTGGAAGGCTACATGCTTCTTGCCTTTGAGCCAGGTCACTTTTGTTTCGCACCAAGTATATAGGTACCTGGTCATTAACTTCACATTCCTTAAGATTGATTGTTTAATGATTTGATATTAAGTTAAACTGTTTCACTTTCACTGTGGCCAAAACAGCCTTTGCCTCTTCTATTGAGCTATCCGTTGTCGAAACTAGGAGCACTATATCTGCTTCTCGTATCCTATAGCATATACATCCATTCACTGATAAAAACCGCAACCAACTTATTCCTTGCCCGTCTAATACCTTCCAATTCTATATCATCCCCAGTTTCCCGTAGCCCTGCTGTATCTGTTAATGTTACCGGTATTCCGTTCACTTGAATTTTTGTCTGAAGAGAAATTCCAAGCATTAACCAATAAGCCCAGACAAGCCTGTAGAACGTCTCTGGTTGTGCCAGCTGTTGGAGAAACAATCGCTATATCATCCTGTGCTAAACTCTCTCTCTAATAAAAGCAGCATTGATCAAAAATCTCACCTAAAGCGTTCATTATGCTGCTTTTGCCAGAGTTGGGAGGCCCTACAAGCACAGCAATTAGACCACGCTGAACACGAAAAGCGCTTTTGGTTCTTTCACAAAGGCTGTTGACTTCTGGTATAAGATTCGCTATCAGGTTGCTGAATGGATGGAAGTAATATGCATTGAACTTGCAATCTTACTGTATTTCAATAATCGAAGTATCAACATGTTCTCCAAAATCCATCAAAACATATATTCTCATGGTAACATCGGCGAGCTTCTTGCTAAGAACAATCCGTTACCACTTCGAAAACAAAAAACAATACCGAATGTTTTGTACTGCGTCTCCTCCTCTCATCTGTCTGTACGACACTTGTCTTTGCCTCTCAGTTTCTGAGTTTATGAGCATCTTCAAGCCATTCACCTCACTCATGTTCATTTTGCCGTTGAAAAAAGCACTGTATCATACATAATTTTCTACCAGTTATCTATGACACTATTACCGTTTTGTGAACTCGCCCCTCTTCGCTTGCCGAACACCGTCAATAAGAACAAGCCGGTCAGCCAGAGCATTAGCGACAGCCTGACTGCCATGAACATAAATTTCTGTAGAATCTTCTCCCGTGAAAGTTGAAGGACCTTAAAAAATATTTTGTATTATAAATAATGAAAATATGACAAGATAATCAAGTGCAGTCGGAACAGCCCGAGTTGAGCACCCTCTCACGAGAACAACCGACTCGCACATGCACAATTTAAAAAATGACGCTGATCATTTTCGCGCGCACGAGATAATGTTAATCAGAATGAAGTCAATCGATAATCCCGCAAAGACTTTATGCTTATTAAAAAGACCTGGCATATGGACTGCCATCGCAGTGTCGAGTATATCTCCATTTTTGGTGTAAATCTTCGTATAAGACAGTTGCTTAGGTGTCCAGCTTTGTTTATTCGTAATTTCTTGTAATACTGCTAAGCTTCTTTGTCCTAAAAAGTTTGTAACCAATTTTCCTATGTTGATACGAACCGGAAATTCGAAATACGGCAATGGCAGCTGGCAGCGAACCCGAGCTCAATGAAAATATCGTTGCCATCTGCTTCATAGTAGATTAGGATCGCAAGGTAGTAAAGGTTCAAATAAACGTTTGGTTGCTGACTTTTTGCTTAAAAGTTATAAGAATTGTCAAAAAATTAAAGCATTCATTAAAGTGTACAATTTGGAAATCATATAGTTACAAACAAACACATTTACACATATTTACAAGTTTTCAAGATGTTCTTGTTTTTGTTTCAAATATGAAATAGCTTCGTCGACATCTGGGGCGAAGTACTTTTCGTCCGTCAAGTATGGTATCATGGGTTTCGGGAGCGGCAGGGTAGTCATGTCACTAGTCTTGACTATTGAACATATTTTCATTCGACATAAGTATTTTAAACGAGGTAGTACGGAAACTCTAGTTACAGGATGTATAAGCTTCAACTCGGTGGCATCGGCTTCTTCACCATGCTTGTGCATGAGCATGTGCAAATAACCAGTTTCTATGGACTGAAAAGGAGGATTAGAAAGCTATTTGAGAAAAACTATACCTGAATCAATTCGGTTAAGTTCTCTACTAGACTATGATAAGATATTGGCCCCATCCTTAGGAAAAAAAGATAAGTTTCTATACGAGTATGAAAAACACGATCTTAACGAAGAGGAGATGAGATTTGAATGTAAAGATGAACTAACCATTGTGTTTGTATGACACAGCTATAAGATACAATTCACTACGACTATCCCTAATAAGGAAAGATCCATTATCACAGTGTTCAAGAAGTTTTTCTGCTTTCTTCCAAGTCAGATCACCCCAATACCTTGAAAGAGTATAATTGCAGGTGGAGGGTAGGAAAGGTCACAAACCAAGCACATCTCTTGAGCGCGGTGAATCTCTCAGACCACCTATGCATAGAGTGAACATCATTTTCCATGAGATGAAATCTTCAAAAGAAAGTACAAAAAGTAGATGAAAGGAGAAAAGTAAGAAATGGCTTCTGACCATGACGAATGGGAAACGAAGAGCGAGAAGTAAAAGTTTAATTTGCAAAAAAATTAGCGATCTTAGATCATTAGTATACCAGTATTTTACCGTATTTAGAATATACACAAACGTGACAGAGATCGTATTGGCTAACATATTTCGAGTTAAGAAAAATAAAAAATATAAATAGCCATGTTTATTGGCGGTCTGATGCTGCTTCCACAGGGTTGGATGTACTGTTGGATTTGGAGGCATGGGAGATGTCATGACTAGTTCCTGCCGTTTTATTGTGGTTGTCCTCATCTGACCGTTGATGTGTAGGGGTAATATAGTATTTAAGATGATCCTGCATATACTTTGGGAATCTAGAAGACACATACATTATATTACGGGAATGCAATCTATGAGTTACTTAGGAAAAACTTGCTCAGCATCTATTGCCATAGCATCACCGGAGAATAAATATTTGAGATGATAAAGTATGTCACAGAGAATCAACTAAACGATCATACAGTTTGAATGTTCTCAATGACTATAGACTTACACCGTGCTGAAATTCAACTCCTTTTTCGGATAGCTCTCCTATTTTCTTTATAATGCCTGAGACTTGACGCAAACACTAGAAAGAGGACATCGAATGAAGAGATGTAAAGACGCTTACCTCATTGAACGAATGTTTCATTTTATCCTTTTCAAACACCCATTGTTGCAAAGGCAACATCAGACGTATGAAATACCACAAGTCGTTTTCCGTTTTGATCCGAGAATAGCATTCGTCCAAGAAGAAGTTTGTGAACTTGCCGACACCCAACTAGAGAAAGAACATCAATAGGAAAATCGAAGGTTCCTTACATTATTGCCGTGAGTCCAATAAGCTTGTAGAAGAGTATTGACGGTCAATGCCCGGTTAGTCATGTGCAAATGAATGCGCTCTTCGAAGTTGTCGTGAACAATCTCCTCAAATTTCAAATCTGAACATGAGGTGGAAGGTGAGAAGCATCCTAACACGAGTTGTATACCTTCCATCTCTCCTTTCTCCAAAACTTCTATGAACTGTTGTTGTAATACTTCACCATATACATCAGGAAGAGCAGTAAGGATTAGAGCGACTGCGTTCAGTGTTGTGTAAGGACGTTGTTGAACTTGGGGTGAAGCCGTTAATAAGGAAACCATAGCAGGGACAATATGCTAAACACACACAAATTACACATGATTTGCTTTTTGAGCGTTACTGTAGGACTATGAGGACTAGCCAGTAGTTCAATACATGAAAGGTATAATGCTTGTGCGGACGGGGTAAGCTCTGAGAAGCGCCAATCTTGAGAAACGTAAGAAGGAGGTCTGAGAAGGAATGATAAGAACTTCAGACGTACAGATAACTAACTTCAGAATGAAATCACTACATTCTATGATTCGTTGAATCAGTTCCGTTAGAATATCTTCCAAAGTATGCTTCTGATGATTGTATGAAAGGAACGTTTCTGTTAGCTGTACATCATCCCCTGTAAAAGTGAAATGAGCTGAGAGAAGAAGAAAGACAGGGAGAGAGGGAAGAAGAAAACTTACTTTGAATGAAAATATTTAGAACAAACTGTCTCGCTCTTGGTTGTTGGCCAAGAGAATTGTGCATAGTATGTAGGACTGTATAAACAAATGTTATTGGGCACGCTGGAATGAGCAAAGTCTTGTTTGAATCGATTAAAGTTTTCTTACGGTGGTACTTATATAAGGGTCCTAAGGCTTTAAGGAAAGACGATAGAATAGAATCAACATTCGGCAGTTCGAGTGCTCTCGAAATGGCAAAATCACAAATCTGTTAAATATTTAGTGAGGAAACCATGGAAGTACTCTAAACTGACCGGTAGTAACCTCTCCATGATACTGCCATAATAGATGGGGAAATGAGCTGTTGGATTGATGACAGGTTCCCGTAGATTGTCTCCAGCCATTTGCTCTAGCTCGGAGAAGGCATACTCAGGATATTTCTGAAAACGAAGAGTAACGGCTAACAGTTCAACATCACTCACTCTATGAAAATCTCCTAATCTACTGAAAAATTCTGCAGCTTTCACGTCTCTTTTCGGAACTGTTGTTGTGTACATAGTGAAGCGTTCCTTAACCTCAGAGGTTTCTAACAGGTACTGCAAACACGTATTTAGCAAAGAGATACAGCTGTAACTTACTTGACTGATGAGTAAAGCAACTTGCGCTTTTTGATCATTACTTGGATGAAGTATAAGTGAAAGAAGGAATCGATCGAACTTGACCATATGAAGCTCGAACATCATGTTGATCAGGACACGAATGCACTGAGAGATTTCCAATAAACAAGCAACGAGTTAGAAACTTACAGATTGGAACACATCTTGACCAGCGTCACCACATTGCTGTACCACGTACTCAGAAAGCCAATTAGTTGCAATAACGAGCTCTCGTCCACCACACCGATTAAGGATTCTGAACATCATTGTTCAAACGTAATAATTTAATTCATACTGATAGAAAGAGGGAAGGTTCCTAGAAATGTCCATGTTCTCCATCAGTGCACGGAAAATAACACAGAAAATCGTAGTGTGAATACTTTCTCCTTCGGTCATGTATCCTACGAATGAGTCTTCCGGAAGACCTTGCATCTGTACGAAATCGGAATGCACAGCATTCTGGAAAAGTCGGAGTATATAACACATTGTATACTGAGTCTCACTCTTCGTTCTTCGGACATCATAACATCTGTAGACTTGTCTACCATTTCTGTATATGTTCTACAGATAGCTGGGAATGATTGAAGCTGAAAACTCGTATGAGTATTGGTACTGAGAGAAGATATACCTGGCTTTCACCCCAGGTGAATTTCGTGCAGGCAGTTTGAAAGAAGTTGGGATCCTCTGTTAAATGACTAATGGAGACTCCCAAAATTTTGATAGTTCTCATGACGGAAATGAAAAGAATCCGCGAAATTTCCGGGCAAACATGGAAATCAGGCGTCTCAAACTTCTCAGGTTGGCATAATCGACTACTTACACTTCGGTCGTCAGCTGTAAACAGAGCTTACAGATGATGTTGGAAAAACGGAACCTACGAATGAAAGATGTTCCTAAGGTCAAAGTTTCAGTGAACGGTGACCAACAAAACTGTCTCATCAAAATCTGATCTCCAATCAAGTATAATTCAGCATTGGCAGGTTTACTCTATAAATAGATAATTACCAAGAGGTATAAAAAACAAAAGTCTTACTGGATTTATAGTCGTATGCATAGCAGCTAAGATTGTGAGCAGAAGCGTTTCTCTACCGGGAGGAGGCAGAGGCATGTTAGTCAACCTGAAGATGGAATTGATCTGCTCACACCGTTTCTAAGATTTACCTGTTTGTGAATAGATCACTCATGATATATAGATGATCCCTGTAATCAGTCCCTCCCTGAAAACAAGTCATGATAACAGTAATAAGAAAACTTCGAAATACCTGTGGAGAATGCAACGTCTTCGAGTATAACTGCACAAGATGCTTGAAACCAAAATCAAAGTCAACTGTATATAGAAGCTTGGCATATGTTTCTAAACAATTACTTCCTCTTTACTGTTCAATGAATGAACTCACCAATGATGGCTGGGCTGGGATATCTTTCCATTGTAGAACGCAACGGAGCTGCACAAACTTGTAGAAGATGAAGTTTGGCTCGCAGAGCAAATGAATCGATGAGCTTAAGATTGCCAGATAAAATGGACTTCTGATATAGAACTTACTTGAAGTTCGAACGGAGCGAGGCGGTTGTTTGCATGTTTATTGTATGGCAAGAAGAATGGTTCATCTCCACTCTGACCTTCAAGCATGGTTGAAAAATTTCTCAAAACTTTGCGCACAATAGGATTATCCGAACGGTCTGTATGATGATAACATAAGTAAAAAACACAATTGGATTTTTCTCACAGGCATTAGTTAACAGCGTCATGAGTGATTGGTCATCGGTGTCTTCGGCAGCCGTATTCCTAATAAACTTTATCTGAACGGCAAGGCTATCACTTGGCTCCGGTAACCCTTCCTTCAATCATAACAATTATATGTATACATTCAGTATGTCTCACTTTTCCTTCCAATAGGATGTACATGCAAGCGGTAGACATAAACCGCACTAGTTGAGAAGGATGTTCAGAATTATAAGTAGACTTGAAGTCCTCATTATACAACAACTATAAGAGGCATTACAACGTTTGATGATGGGAGAGATTTACCTTGTGCAATGCTGCCAACTTCTCGATGTGCTCTGTTGTCAAAGCAGTATTGAATGATCCGACAACTTGCAGCATCAACCACATCACTTCGTCACGAGCTTTACGGTATTGTCTTTTCTCCAAAATTTGATGCAAAATAGCAACAACACTACTAGCATTACTTGAAAACACAAACATAAAGAGATAGGAGAAGAATACTTACGTCTGTTTGTTATTCATTGCAAATATAATGATGGCTAACAAGTTATCCCATTGATAACGCGGGATCTCAGCATTCACTGGCAACTCCTCAACCTGCAAATAATTAGAATAACAATCTCACTTCACGTAACGTGTTTGACGTGTCTCGCGTCAAATCATTTCACACGTATGCACGCGCATGACCGGTTGTTCTAGGGTGAAAAATAAAAAAAACTAACAGCAGCCATGGTGTCGCTGATTAAAATTGAAAGTAGGCCGTCGAAGATTTGATACTGTGCATCTTCATCTAGAGTCTTTAACATCGCCTATAACACATCTTACAATGCAATCATTCTTCTGATTTCCTCACTCCTAACACTTCCTTTCCTCGAGGTTGTTTGATAATCATATAGAACAAATAATTTTGTGGATCACATACTTCTTTCCTATTTGGCAAATAAGTGTAACGAGCACTAAATATGAAACGATTATCATGTATAGACAATTAGAAAAACCATAAAGCTGTAGAATTCTTGTGCACTCTCCAGGAGGCTGACATTGGATTGAAATGAGGATGAAGAAGAATTGGATACATGAAGCATTTACCAATCGCAAAGCACAAGTCGGCTAAGGGTCGGAAATATGCCTTGATTTCAGAGAGCTTGACGACAATTCGCTAAGAAAACAAATCATATAATCAAATGAAGGTTATGACTTACCGGAAACATGTGCATACGAACATCACATCGAGAAATCTCAGACATAGTGAAGATAGGGGGGACTTTATTAAGAATGAAAAGAAGGAGCTGGAAGCTCAGGAATGAATAAGGTACTGGTGAAAGCTTAACTCACATTCTCAACAGGAATGAGCTGCTTCCTCTGTTCGAATGATATATTCTGAGGTAGCATCACTAGTTGGGTTTCAATTAAGGTTCTGAAAGCAAACAGATACGAAAGGGAATGAAGCTGGTCACCCTACTTGAAGATATGACGCATTCCCTTGAGATCCATGCTTTCCACATAATTCATTATCATATCCCACTTAAAAGAAGACATACCAGTTTTAAGAGTGAAATCAGCCGTCAGAATAACACCACCAATGGCAGTACTGAAGTACGACAGAGTTGGTGTATGAAGAAGAATGATTTGTCACCTCATAGGAAGGACCTGTTCCTTCATAGCAAAAAGGAGAATATGATCAATAACCCGTTCATAAGTAACATTAGTAGGAAGAGGCTCAGCTCTCGATTGTTGGACAAGGAAAATCAACTGATTTACTAAATATTTCTGTTCAACCTAAAGTATAGAAAGGTAAACAAAGGAATATCATTGATAGGTACACGTACATCTTTCATTTTTGAAAATAAAACAACTGCATGAATACAGAGCATTTCATCCACATCTTGGAAAGGATTGTGCCAATCCCAAAAGCGGATTCTTAGATCGTTTTGATCCTTGAAACAATTACTTAGATACTTATTCAAGGGTTGCACTCACCACATACTGGACTACAGAACGACGAAGCTTTTCTATATCAGGTGGGAGAACCCCCACCTCTGGATTATTGTCAACTTCCATCACTACAGCTAACCCATCACAGAAAAAAGTCACAAATATGCAAATTAGCTAGAGCGTTACGTAAGTCAGGCTTTTTTTTAAAACGCCATACTATTTTTCCAACAAAAATAACGCCGACGTTAGTACTGCACGTTGTTTACAAGCGTAACCTTTCAACACCCGAAATGTCAAAGCACATTTTTTTGACGAAATTATTTTAAAACATTTGCAAATTCTTTTAAATGTTTTTGTTTTTGCATATTATATAATATGCATATGTATTTTAATTTATTGAAATACTGGTTTCCTCTTCTTCAGTTGTTGGCCTCTCGGCAAAGACGCTTAACTCGTGTTCGAACTAGGCGATTGCTCTTGTCCTATATTCTGAATTTATTTTATATAATTCCATTTACAGGGTAAAAATGAGGATAGAGAAGTGTTATTTGTGCTCCTCCCCTATATATCCTGGTCATGGAATTCAATTTGTCAGAAACGATAATACAGTCAGTTGAAATTTTTCAAATGGTCATTACTCAGTCAAAAATTTAGGTTTTCAAATTCTGTAGATCAAAATGTAACAAATTGTTCAAGAAGAAGAGAAACCCAAGAAAGTTGAAGTGGACTAAAGCTTCTCGTCGCGCTCGTGGAAAGGTCTGTCTTCTCGAGAAAATATCCATTTCACGTATATGCGTTTCAGGAGTTGGTTAATGACCTCACCCAACTCATGGAACAACGACGTGACGAACCTATTAAATACGAAAGAGAAATCTTCGAAAAAGCTAAAGATGCCATCAAGACTATCACAACTATCAGAAAGAAACGGTTTGTTTTTGAAGTTCTCCTCAATCACAATATTATACTTAAGATACGGCACTCTCATTTCCAAGTCTCTTGAAAAGGGAAAGAAGGTCATGAAGGCTGGCATGATCAAGAAGGCAGAAACCAAGTTACACATGATCAGAGCTCCAGTTGCCAACGATGCTGGATTGAAAACCAAAGCAGCACAAAAGAGAAAAGCCCAGGCCCTACAGGCAGAGAAAATGGAAACAAACTAAGAGCTGTGTTGGATTCGATACTCCAATGCTTATTTACAATAAGTTCACACCAATTATTTTCTCACTTCTACGAAATGTATTATATTGTTGGTTGTTTTGTTTTTTTTTTTTGAATTCCTCATCCTGTTACTTTTGTTTTCTACATTTCTCATGAAATGTTGTTTTCCTCTTTGCGGCATGAACGCTGACTTCATTATTAAACATCCTGAAAAGTTAGTGTTTTTCTAATTTCAGTAAATAGATCTAGTTTACTTGGTGAGTTAAGTTGAACGGAATTGTGAAACCTTTGCTGTTTCTTTCGAATGCTACCGGTTCTGGGTCAGATAGAAACAAAATGAAAACGCTAATTTCAACGTGAACGATTGACGTATGCTAATGAGATGAAATGACGCGCCGTGGCTGTGTGGTCGCTTTGTTTACTTTTTGTATTTACATGAAGACGTTTAATGTAGCTGTTCACTCCTCGTGCACCTACATTTTTATTTTTTATCATTCGAATTAGATTGTGTCTTTTATTTTCAGTTTGGATCATTTTTGGGTTTGAAAGCTGGTTATGAGAAAGTTGAATGAAACCCAGGACACCTGGAAACACCTGAAGCACAGGATGTCTTAGCTTAGGAATCTATTTGTAGAAGTGCTCGGCTGCGGTCAGTTAGCGCGATTGTTTGCTTGCAGTTGATGCAAGTCTTAAAGTCTAGCTGACTGGCTAGCGGTGAAACGATGACCAGAAGTGATGACGATGAAGACGAAGTCTAAGAAGAAGGAGGTGGAGAAGAGGGTGACCTCGGAAACCTTCGGAACCACGCCCCTCAATCGTCTTGCTCAACAGCGAAGCTGCGAAAGCCCTCATCGGTTGTGCGCTATCAGCGAAGTATTTTTTCACAATTTTTTTTGACTCTGTAATTCAATATTGTCAAAACTACTTTAATATTCAATGTTTTCAGGCATTGTTGATGTGATGCGGTGCTCATTGATGTAAGAATTTACAATGGGGCAATGTTTTGGAAAACCAACTAAAGGGTCTGGTGGTCCAGGTAGTCTACCTGGAGGATCCAGCACAGCTGGATCACAAGTTGGTTCAACAGCACCATGTAATGGTGGCTCTGCACAACATGCCAGAGCAGGCTCACTACCGAGCCGGTCGTTGTCAGGAGCTCCTATTAACGGTGCTCTTGGCAACGGATCTACGGGAAATAGTGACGGAACATCGCGCGGACAACCATCTACTTTTGTTGCACTTTTCGACTACGACGCAAGAACAGCTGACGATCTCAGTTTCAAGAAAGGAGATGTAAGTTGAATTCACTTTCTCTTTTTCGTCTTCTCTTGTTGGTGTATTCCTTGTGCGTATGCGTTTGAGCGATCGTTTTGGTTGGGGTGGGGGAAGTGGGTGATTAGGAAATGCGACATGTTCAGACAATATCACTTGTGGTCTCCCTTCTCACTCGTCTATCCCTGCTTTTCGTTTTGCCAACATATAATTTGAATAATTACGTTGAAGCTGCTATTCTTTTCTTTGATGAACAATTTTTTTTCATTCCAACTTCCTAGTTTAACTGATCCGCAAACAAATCATTCGGCGTAGGTCTGTCAGCTAGCCTGTCAAATGACCAAATGGTCGGTCAGCTACTTAGTCATTTCAAGATGTGTCTGAAGCCTGCAAAAGATTTAGTTGATTTTGGATGTTGAGAGTAGTGGTTAGTATGGGTAATGATGTGACGAGATTGCGATATGCGTTGACTTAGACGAGCACGTTTCTGGAATTTCTAGTTCTTGTTGGGATTACCAAGGATCATCTGTCTGTTACATTGAGCTTACAGCGATCAACACATTGAAGAAAGTAAAGAGAAATTTCTAATTGCGCTTTTGTATTCGTTTATTATTTAATTCTTGTCATTGTGACATGAAAATATTTTTTTTCCGCACTCTGCATGCCCATCAACCTAATTCTCATTTGTTTTCTTCGTCTCCGTCTCTTCTCATTTGTTGAAGTTTATTTTTTCCCAGCTAACGTAAACATAATTTTTTTGATGCCATTTTTGCCCATCATTAAGATGCATCACCATTGATGTCGTCCTGCTAAGCTGGGCTGGTTTTTATCTGTCTTTTCCTCCATATATTCGCTGTTTATTCTGTCATCTTCGGGAGAAAGAACACCGGAATTCCAAATCAATCAATCAGCGAATTCATGTCGAAAGTTTCAAGCTTCAACCAATTTTCGTCATTTTTGCTGCCCTCGAAATTTGTGTTGAGAAACGATTGATGATTGGGAAAATTTCACAAGCAAAATGAATTACTAACCATCGCACAGACTTTTCGGGCCAAATACGTCGTTGTGCTATGATGATGGCTGTCGGACTGTCTTTAACTATTTTTGGTCATTCAAATCATTGAGGCGAATAGGGGACAGCAAGCGAATGAGAAAGTAAAACAGTGCGGTGTGCGTTTCTCTCTCTCTCTCTTTCCCATTCTACACTTACTGGCCTTGTCTGAAACCCGTTACTTTCCCTAACCACTAGAGTCAATAAGTCATTGTATTGTCCAGATTTTTAAATTCCGAATCATGACCATGTCAGTTTGTTCCGTAAAAGGAACGATAGCACAGGAAGAATCGCATCAAGCATCTTCTGGTCGTTAACTTTGACAACCACAGGGTACGTTCATACCGGTCTCTATGTCACTAAATTGAGTCTTCATCAACCAAATTCGGAGCTGATTTGCGTATATACCTGTTCAATAGATTTGATCCGTCCGATGATGATGGTTAGTTGATCTATCGCTCCGTGCTGGTCGTATCGCCGATTGATTTCTGCTTGATGAAGCTCTGTAGAGCCTCTGAGGTAGCAGCATATCATCGCTTCAGTCTTTCCAATCAGCGGACTCATCATCTCTCTCCCTCGTCTATTTCAAGCCTTTTTTCATCGTTTTTATCCCAGCTGGGCGTTCCTGATGTTCATCTCTTTAAGCGAAATCCATCTTTGGAACTTATCGTCCTTGACTTAGCGAAGATTTATAGTGTGCGCTAAATGTATGCCGAACTTCTGATCTAATACAACCTCAAATTAATTGGGTTTCCTCAATTTTGTTATTCCAAAATCTGATCAATTCTTAAGATTTTGTGTTCTGTGCGAAGCTATGCTTAGAGAGAGGAGGGAGAGATATATGCCAATGACTATTCCCAAAAAAAAGAATGAAAAAGAGGGCGGAGTGTGTGAAATAGTTTTGTGAATCTTAGCTGTTCGAAAACTACATCGATTTTGCTAGAGGCTCCAATTTTCCTTCTTTTCTATATATGGATCATATGGCTCATACTGTTCTCTTGCCTCGGAGACATCTTCAGGTGTTATTTGATCTTTTGACCAGTGCTGGGGTTGAGTCAGATAAGAGAAAAGGGAGAGGCCAGATCGCCAGCTTATGACACACAGCTGATAGTTAATTTTAAAATCTTCTCTTTACCTATGTAGTGTTGTCTATAATATTTTGCTCTCTTCCTATATTTTATTATATTATATTGTATAAATTGTGATGTTACAGATATTGGAGTTGTTAAACGATATGGTAGGCGACTGGTGGTTCGCACGTCATCGAGCCACCGGACGGACAGGATATATCCCAAGCAACTATGTAGCCAAAGAGAATAGTAATGAAAGTCAGCCGTGAGTGTTTTCACTTTAGTCCAACCTTTACATTCGTATGTTCAGATGGTTTTTCGGTAAAATGCGAAGAATCGATGCTGAAAAAGCTTTATGTTTGACTCCAAATGAGCATGGAGCTTTCTTAGTGAGAGATTCAGAAAGTCGAGGAAATGAACTTTCGTTATCTGGTACGTTCTTATTGTCTTATTCCGTATAGTCCAAAGAACATTCTTATGCTCCTCTTTGTGTGTGTATGTGTGTGTGTGTTTTCTATCGCTCAATATTTTTGGACATGAACGTTTGAGGAGGTGTGAGCAGCAAAGCTTCTTTTCCATTGCTTTCGTTGTACCTTGTGTAAGATGACTCAAGATGAGAGAAAGGAGAATTCAAAACAAGTGACTGAAATGAGGAAATTGGAGTAGGGAGATTTAAAATTCTTCAGTCCGAGAGAGAAATAGAACTAGAGCTGACCATAGAGTTATACACGTAGTCCCCAAGTGCAAAGTTTTTTCGTCAATTTTCCGAAGTTGCATAGTTTATCGATAGTTCCAGCATTACGTCCACCCTTGGTTTTTATATAGAAGCCTATTATTGAATTTCCCCCCATCATCATAAATGAGGAATAGCATCTAGTCTTGTTTCTTCTCCATTTTTTACATCCGAACGTGAACCTGTAAGGAAACAGGATGAACCACCGATTGCTTATATTCATAAGAAACGAAAAAACAAACTGTGAAAGCCTTGTTTGAGATTCTTCCATGTGAATCCTGCTCAGTAAGCCAAATGTTTCTGTTTTGAAGAATATCCTCCAAAAACTTTTCATTGTTTGAAAATTTAAGAAGCTGTTTGTTTAACTCTTGTAAAAGCGAATCAGAAGCCATCAATCTAAAATTGAAAATTTATAAACAAAGATAAAGCCTGTGCACTCCAAGTGTGTTATCCTTAGCAATCAATGTCACGATTATTGTTATGATTTTCACTTTTCTGCTTTGCAGTACGGGTTGGAGAGGAAGTAAAACATTATCGTATTCGACAGCTCGATCAGGGAGGCTTCTTCATCGCTCGCAGATGTGCTTTCGGCTCTCTATGCGAACTGGTTGAACATTATACTCGGGTATTTTCAGTTTTATTATCTTCATTACTTTTTCCAATTATAGGACGCTGATGGACTGTGTGTAGCTTTAGCCCAGCCCTGCTTAAAACCTGACGCTCCGCAAACTCCAACGTTCACATATGGTTAGTGAAATTCGTATAAAACTGATGAGAAAGATGTTTGTAGATGATCAATGGGAAGTTGACAGGCGCTCTATACGTTTAATTCGTCAAATCGGAGCTGGACAATTTGGAGAGGTTAGTGAAAAACACTCAGGCTATCCGCCTTCTTCTTTGAACTGTGCACTAAGCGAGTTATTTTTCCGATTCGATCAGTGTTTAGTGAAGTATCAAAAACAAAAAAAAAGTATAGGAATAAGTCGAAAAAGTCATTTGGATCAAGGCCATTAACGATTTTGTCTTCGTTTTTCTTCCTCTACTTCTATAAATGGATTGGGGTACTCTCAAGGGTAGTCCATAAAGACTAGTGTGCGTGTTGTATATGTGTTCGTTTAAAAGCCGCATCTTCCACTTAGACATTCTAGTACTGAAATATGTTACCTGACGATGTAGGAAAAAGCCAATTGGCCTAGCTTTCGTTTCTTCTGAATTGAGCTTTTTTTTTGAATTGCCTATGTACACCATCAAGCTTTAGCAACACTTTTCCTTACACAATCAATTAGTTCACTTTCTAGCCGAAAGCCTCAATCGAAACAATTATATTTATAGAATTCGGCAACATTTGCTACCAATTTAACTGTTCGACAGGTTGTTTGACGAAAAGCTTGAAACGGTAATTAATAGAAACTGTATTGATGCTCGCAACGTCAATAATACAGGAAATCTTTAATTCACTTTATTATTTCCGTCGCAGGGATATGAGTGAATATAGAAAAAGAAGAGGAAGACCTGTTTTTGAATGCAGCGAGCTTATTTACCCTGCTAATAGATGTGGTCAATGAGTACACAATGCTTTTGCTCAAAGATGATATCATCCATATCAATAACTTCGATGGGTTTGCCTGCAAACGTTTTCTGCTCGTTCACAATTTATTTTTTGGGAATGTTCCGAAAAATGTGAATAAGCTGAAGATGACATAAGTATAAGCCGTTTGTCCTTCATCGTGGGATGAAAATGAGAAGCAGGTCGTCAAGATATGTAGACTTATTGTTGTCTCAAAATCTTGCATGTTCTCGAACGGAAATATCCAAACCGGATCTGCTTCTTAGGCCACTCGGTCCAAGAGTTGCTCGCTAGGATCATTTGAAAGTTTTTACATGTGGATTAGCTAGACACAAGTGGGATGATAGCTAGAAACGTTCGAGATTATTTATAGCCTTCTCCTGTATCAACAAAATTTAATTTGCAAATAAACTCACCGAACAGGTTGTTAACAGAATTGATAATCTCGAACTGACAAACAACCGTTCACGCGGGATGCATTTTGAAAATGATGACGGGTCTAAGTTCAAAACTACGACGTGGCGTGTAATTAGCATATTCAAGATATCCGTGCGTTGATAATTAGTCAAAGACACTAAACATCCATCATATGTGTTTTTTGTAAACTGTATTCTTAAGGTCTGGGAAGGTCGTTGGAATACAAATGTTCCTGTCGCAGTTAAAAAACTTCGTCCAGGATCTGCAGACCCAGTGGACTTCTTGGCTGAAGCACAAATAATGAAAAAATTGAGGTGCACCACTGGTCGTTAAACTTGGAATAATCATCGTTTTTAGGCATCCGAAACTTCTTCAACTATACGCCGTTTGTACAAAAGAGCAACCTATTTTAATCGTTACGGAGCTGATGCAAGAAAATCTTTTGCATTTTCTACAAGTAAAAGGACGTCAATGTCCTGTTCCCCAATTAGTGGAGGTCGCAGCGCAAGTATGATTCATTACTGAGTTTCTCTTATTATGAAATCCTTTCAGGTTGCTTCTGGGATGTCTTATTTAGAAGAAAAGAATTTCATCCACAGAGATCTTGCCGCCAGAAACATTCTAGTCAACAACAGCTTTAACGTAAAAATTGCCGATTTCGGATTAGCCCGTTTATTAATGAAGGAAGATGAATATGAAGCCCGGCCTGGTGCGAGGTTCCCAATCAAGGTTTGATAGTGGATGCGCCAGAGAAGTTGAAATGTCATCTTTGCAGTGGACAGCGCCCGAAGCAGCAAACTACAATCGTTTCACAACGAAGTCAGACGTTTGGAGTTTTGGAATTTTACTGACCGAAATAGTGACATATGGTCGAACGCCTTACGCAGGTAATAAAGACTTACTAATCACGACAAATCAAATGAATTCTCGCAGGGATGACGAACATCGAAGTGTTACAAAAATTAGATACTGGTTGGAGGATGTCATGTCCGACAGGTTGCCCACCAGCTCTCTATGAAATCATGATGCAGTGTTGGAGATCTGACCCGGAAAAACGACCGACGTTTGAAACTTTGCAATGGAAATTGGAAGATTTATTCAATCTTGACGGATCAGATTACAAAGAAGCATCTTTAAACTATTGAATCGACATATATCAGGAATGATTACTTAACTTATTTCTTTCCCGCGAAATCTCATGTATTGGTTCTGAAGAATCGTTGTTCTAATTAAACGATTGTAATTAAGATTGATAGTTTTACCGAGTGAAAACTATCTCATTCATGATGTTAATCTTATTAGCAATACCAATGTCCTTGTGTTCATATCACCTGTGTTTCAAATCACTTAAGAACATTTGTTTTTCTTTCAATAATTGCCATTCTGCTCTTCAATTCATCCAGTGTTCATACTTATAATTTCCATTGTTTTCAACTTATTTTGCTCAAAACAGATATTTCGAAGTTGATAGTCTGTGTTCTTATGGGTTCTAATTAGATTTTTATATTCATTAATGAACTTTCACAAAACGTACACCTTCAGTACTTCCTTTTTACTGTCACAACGCAAAGAATGCAACCGCTCTGTGCTTTAAGCAACCAAGAAATGAAATGACTGACACTCAGCGGATGAGGTGGAAGTTATGAAAAAATCAATTTGAATTCATAATGTGCGCTTATTATTCATGAAACTGAGAGAAACAATAACATCGATATGAATATTATCAGCTTGGAACTCTATTCCGAGAGGTGTCAATTTGCGAGGTTACGGTAGGTTCTTCTACGCAATTGCGCGTGACACTCTTTGTTAATGGGCGTCCAGTGTTTCGAAGGGTATTCCAACCTTCCTTCATAGCTTATATGTTAGTTAGAATTAAGTTAATTATTCCTTCATTTTAGCCGCTGGTGAGTATGGCTGACGCAGGCTTCTTCCGAGGGACCAGTTCGGATCAAGATGGACGCTTCTCAGATAAGGAAAAGAAGTTGTTGAAGTTGATGAAATTCGAAGGATTATTAGAAACAAAAGTAAGTGGTGTCTCCTTTGTTATAACTGTATGATTCTTCTCCAGATCAACATGAGGAAAGTAAACTTGGATGTCATAAAACCTTGGATCACAGTTCGTATTAATGAAATTTTGGGTGTTGAAGATGATGTCGTTATTGAGTATATAATTAGCCAGTTAGAGGCCAAAGACCTAAATCCTAAAATTATGCAGGCAAGTACTCATTGTGTGTTCCTTTCATTTCTTTGTTGTTATAGATTAACATCACTGGATTCCTCAACGCCAGACATGCTCGTCAGTTCATGGGAGAGCTGTGGGCGTTACTTAATGAAGCTCAGGAAGCCGAAGATGGAGTTCCACCTAGTTTAGTAGAGAAGAAAATGGTTGAAATGAAGAAAGAAGGAGAACAGAATGGAACTTCCAAGCCAGCTATTAAAACATTGGCACAAAACGATTGGGCTCACAGGTTGGCTTATATTTAGAATAACCTAAAATATATACTAAAATTCTAAATCAATCATGCTCTGGACCTTTTTGAAATCAAATTATTTCTTCGTTCATGATAACTGTTTCCAGCATGTGTTCCCTAGGTATCAAAATTTGTCGTTGGGCCGTTTCTCTGGAACAACCAAAGAAAAAGAGGTTCGAGATGATCGCATTGTACCCCGTAGTCTGAAAAGTCCGGATAGACGGAGGAGTCCCAGAGCCGGCGGGTCAGGAAGAAGAGTAAGTTCCTACTATTTCTTAAGGTAATAATAAATGTTTTTCAGAACGATCGTCGAGGTGGTGATCGAGACCGTGAAAGAGGTGGTGATAGAGACCGCGAAAGGGGCGACAGGGATCGTGAAAGAGGTGGTGATCGAGGAGACAGAGGGGACCGAGGAGATAGAGAACGCGACAGAAGAGACAAACAGACTGATAAAGAAAGAGAAATCGAAAGTAAAAGGAGGGAAGAAGAACGTTTGAAACGTAGGGCAGCTGAAAAAGAAAGAGATCGTAAACGTGAAGAAGAACGTGATAAAAGGAGACATGATCGTCGCCGTCGCAGTAGAACTCGCTCACGTTCTCCTCCTCGAAGGAGGTTCACAGAAGATAGCAAGGATCGCAAGAAGTGAGCTTTCCTGTTTCTTTAATATGATGATGATTGATTATTTTCAGGAAGAAAAAAGACTCCAGTGATTCAGAATCTGAGGTCGAAACTAAAAAGGAGAAGAAGAGAGAGAGAAAACGTGATGACTCGAGTGAAGATGAGAAAAAAGAAAAAGACAGAAAGGAAAGGAAGAAACACAAAAAGGTATTTGATGTATAGCCAACTGTCATCACTGTTTGTTTCAGGAGAAGAAGAAGAAGGAACGTAAGAGAAGCCCATCTCCATCTCCATCTAGCTCTGATAGTGATTCTGACTGATTTATTCCGTTTGATCTCTCTTGAACTGCAGAAGCAAACTAATATCCAATGTATTTTTAAATTTCTGAAATCAGCACCAAATTTGGTCTCCTATTACTTCGTTAAATATGTTGTCAAATTAATTTTGTTATATGGAAGTGTAATAAAAAAATTGTTTAGTAGAATATGGGTGATATGATTCCGGGTCTAGACCTTCGTTACTTCCAGTTTCATTTCTGTTTTGTCTGAGTGTATTGGTTGTTAAAGCTTCTCTAATCATCCGGTGTATGGAGAATGCTTCTGTAAAAGAGGAAATAGGGGGATCAGCTACCCAATCCGCCCTCCGATCTGTTGCTCGCGCAGCTGATGGTGTTGATTCAAAAATATCGACGAATATTGTGAAAGGAGGTGATTAGACATTGGTGATATATTATGAAAATTAATTCTGCAGTTCTTGGAGTAGCCTCTCTAACATCTCTCGTTTTTGGTGTTCGTAGTGCCTATAAGCATACACGCCATAAAGAAGCTGCTGATCTAGCTAGAGCTCAACTGGTGTCTGGTGTTGGTTTCGCTTCCAAAGCCCTAGCGGTTGCGACTATTATTACTGGTAAGTTTACGAAGTCGATTGACCTGTTTCAATTTTGTTTTCATTCAGTTTCTGGTTTTTCCTTGTTCGCAGTAGGTGTATCTTGGATCCTCGACGTAAACACACCTCGCCAATTTGGCACAGCGATGAAAAAATCGTTTGGAGAATCCTTAAGACTACCTCAAAGCAAGAATTCTCAAAGTTTTGAGGACTTGATAAACGCCATCGAAAAGAAAGATCCCGCAGCTGAAACTTCAGCTCAGACCCAACCACAATAATGTTACCAATCATAGTTTTATTGTTTCTTCTTCTTCTTATTATTTTACTTCTTTTTTCTTTTCGTGGGGGGCGCCCTCTACCTTTCTCCTCTCAATCTCGTATCTTACTCGTAATTGCTCATCCTGATGATGAAACCATGTTTTTCTCACCAACTTTGCGAGCACTACGTCTTTCTGGTCATCGTGTATTTGTTCTTTGTATTTCAAATGGAAATTTCTATGGACAGGTCAGTTCCAAACGAGTATAGAAGTAATTAATTAATTTCAGGGTTCTATTCGTTGTAGAGAATTACAAAAAGCTGTTCAGTATTTGGGTGTTTCATCGGGTGATGTAACCGTATTGGATTATGAAATGTTTCAAGATGGGCAAGAATGGGATAAAGTCTATATGAGCTCTGTTATCTTAAGACATATGGAGGTTGAGTAACTGTCATCGAACCATTATACAATTTGCAAATTTCAGACTTTAGCTGTCGATTGTGTGATTACATTCGATGATAAAGGAGTTTCTGGACATCCCAATCATATTTCTTGTTTTGAAGCTCTCCAAAATGCCTATACCATCGGTATAATTCCACAAGACGTTCAAATCTTTGTTCTGGAATCTGTTCCTCTATTGAGAAAGTAAGCTTGGCCTAGTTATAATTCCAAAAAATTATATTTTTCAGATACATCGGGTTGTTCGACTCCCCTCTTTCTGTCCTTCGCTCTCCCTATCGGTATTTCGCTTGGGGTAGAGATATTATAGCTTCTTGGAGAGCAATGTGCTCACATCGATCACAACTAGTTTGGTTTAGAGTTCTATTCATGATTTTTTCACGGTGAGTCAAAAAAAAATTGGGCATGAAGTTGGTGCGAATCGGAAATGTGAAAAAAATTAGAACACAACCGCTTCTGTAGATCGCTCAAATTAAATGAAATCGCATGCGCTTCACGTGTTACGTGAGATTCCCGTGATAAGCGTGGGAAATAGATGGAAAACTTTGCAAAACATTAATTTTTATTTTTCAGTTATATCTACATAAACACTCTTAGAAGAATCAATCCCGAAGTGCGTATGCCGAAAAAGAAGAAAGCATAGAATTCTTAGTGGTTGCTATTGTTCAGTTAAAAATTTTAGGTTTCAATGATTATAAATGATCATATAGAATATTTGTTTTTGGACTTAAAAGCTCAATTGTTATTTTGATCAAGAAAGTTGTTTAATAAATTTCATATGCTAATTAGCTTTCAGTCAGTGAAATTGGTCCCGACGAGTAATTTAAGCGGGAAAACTTACTCAAACTGAGCTTCTCCGTATTTCAAATTCCGTAATTGAGAAGTGATGTCGTGGTCTTCGAAAGATCATGTTTGGAATATTTCAAAGTATACGGATTTAAGATTCCCAAGCAATAATCCAATTGTTTTGGTAGAGGTTCTGTTTCTATACAAGCTTAACGTGTTGTTTCAGGAACATGATCTCGTACTATCCATTCAGAAGTCTGCGAAGCTTCTTGTTCTCGCTCATGGTAATCGTAAACTACATCAAGTACCTCTGAGAGAACCATATCCTGTAATTAAGTACGTGAGAGACTTGACCACCTAATTTCACATCACTGTTTCAGATTCCGAGACTTGTCCTTCTATGTTTCTTTAAGAATTCACGATAGGGACATTAGGTTCCGATTTAGAGCCATGAGCATGAAAGATTCAAGAGACATCACAAACGTTATTTCTCAGTTCACAAATGTTCAGCAACACGTTGTAACAAGTTCAGTTTAAGTGATTCTGGCTAACTTCCTTGTTAAGAGCAAGAACCGCGGGAACTCTCGAACCAATTCAAACTCTCCGTTCTCTCAAGAAGCTTTCAAACATTCTCCAAATGATAGCTACGACGTATGTTCTTCATAAATAATGTTTAATAAGATTATCTTATAGGCTTTCGGTTCGGTGTCTAGCAATGATTCAATGTCATCTCCAAGATATACTGAATCTGCTACTCCACCCCATCGCAATGTATGTTCAACACAGTGTTCCTCTTTTCAATTTTACTTTTAAGTCCTACGGAGGAGATTATGGCGGACTGAGCGATGTTACCCCATCTAATTCTTATAGAGAAACTATCGTAAGACGTTTGGAAAAAGATATGCTGTTTGATGGTTTCTTGTAGGATTGTGGATCACAAACCGACCAAGTGCCAAGCTACGCAAGTATGAATGCTATTGAATTGGAAGAGCATTTGAGGAAGTTGTTGGATTCACCATCATTCCAAAACTTGTTATCGAACACCAAGACGGTAAGTAACTTTAGACAGTCGAAGAGATAACATGTTCCATATGTAAGGCTTTGAACAGAATAAAGGGAACTGATTTAAGTAGAGTTATAACAAAGGGCAGACGGCGAGGCAAGGTAAGCCTCACAATGACAAGAAATCAATAAAGAGCTCATTCAGATGGCAAGCACTCGTTCGTCGTCACAAGCAGAATCCATTATGCAGAGATTTTAAAAGGAACCGACCTTCGCTGTTGAATATATTTTTTAGAACAAACTGTGCCATGACAACTGTTTTGTAAAATTTTTTTTTTGAAATAAAGCTTGTTATATTTTCCAATAGTAAGGTTAACAAAAGTTGCCATCTTAAACATTACTTTTCGTATGTGTGCGAGGCGGTAGGCGTTAAGTACGCAACCAGTGTTGTCTGCAGTGTCCTGTCGACTAATCAATTTTTATCTTCTATTAGCTCAAAATGGATATATCTAAGTTGTCCGCTAATGAAAAGCTAAGCGTCTGCAAGAAGTTCGTTTTAGACATTTAGAGAAAACTAATGAAACTTTGAAGATATTTCTATATTGGTCTATGTTGTTTACCACTGGTTTGGCTAACTAACATTGTTTGGTTCTTCTCTGAAGCTTTCTGCAACCCGCCTACCCCTGAAAGAAAAGAAATCAAAAGGTTTTTTATATCCGTCCGTCTGCATTAATGTTGAAAACCTTAAGATATTTATGGTTGAGTGGTATGGGAGTTACATGTTGGACATTCGCTATCGTCGCTTGGGAGCTGTATTTCCAGGTTTGTTTCTTCTCTTTTTCAAAAACATTTGTTTTGTTTTTTTGCGTCTTCAATTTGTTTTTGCGGTTTTTTTTATTTTTTTAAAACACAGCGTAGTCAACCGGTCCTGTACTAGTTCAATGATTTAAATGAAAGTGTTCGTACATTTCGCTTTTTTCATTGTGTGTTCGCGGAAATTCAAAGCTGAATTCTTACGAAATACAAGAATTTCGTTTATTTTTCGATTTTGATTTAGTTCTTCGCTCAATACCGACCGAGTCATTACCTAAGCCTAAGCGTATCATCTTATTTCAGAGTTATCGATCTTTGGGCTTGCCTTGGAGTGATTTCCTAACATTCGTTTATCCAAAAGGACGGGTTTGACGTGCCTTCTATTCTGCATTATTCCTATCGACTGATTGATCTCCGTAGAGACACAAATTCATATGTTCATAATACTAACTTATTACATTAATTGAGCACCTGATTGTTATAAACCATTTTGCAACACTGATCCATTTCATTCGTATTCGTATAGCAGTTTCCTCTGCTTCTTTTACTTTTCCTTTTCTTCTTCCTTGTTTTCCAATATATATATTTATTTATGATTCAGCTACTGCCAATGCCTGTTCTGTAAGCTCGTTTCACGTGGGTGCTGTTAAATGATGAGCTGGTCTCCTTTCTCGGATATTAATACAAGGTATTTCGTCTTCCATTCTGTTCATATCATTCTTGTTTCAAATTCTCATGATGCTATCTGCACCATTACGTTTTTCTGTGACCCACATCCATCTTGTTTTTTTATGTTTTTTTTGTTTCTCCATGATTTTTTTCCGATTTCAGAAGCACCATTTCTTCGCGGTCACGCAGTAGTGGTCCGTTATCCCGGTTTCGGTCTTCTGAATCCGGAGGCAGCCCTTCCTCTGCCACAAGCAGTTTACGTGATGACGTTTCCCTTAATCTGACATTGAATAGTGTAATATTAGAATTCAAGTTAACGACCTAATGTACATATTTAAGGACAATGGGAAATTCGATGTAGATCAATCAATTTTGCCTTATCCTGAATTTAATAATAAACGAAGAACGATAGTAGTTATTAGAAGTACTTTGAATGAATCTTTCGGTTTTGCATTACAAGTAAGTTTTCAATGTCATCTAGAGTAGCTAATAATCCTAATCACTTAAGTCTTATGTTTTTAAACGTGGAAGTAACTCCATCGAACGTATCACATATGTAGATTACGTCCAAGATGGAGCTCCAGCTTCAAAAGCGGGAATACGTAGAGGTTTGAAGTCATCTAGTCGAGTACCAGTAAAGTGTATTCTTTAGGAGATGTAGTTATAGCAGTAAATGGCGTTTCAGTTATTGGCGAATCTCATTCATCTCTTGTCAGCATAATTTCTTCTCAGCTGCAAATGAGAATAGTAGTATTATTCCAAGTATGGTTGTATATCTTAAAGGTCTTTATTTTCCATTTCAGAATATCGCTAGGATAATTCAGTTGTCAGCACGCTCTCTTCAGTTACAATATATTTTAAGAGAAAAACAGAAGATGCTAGAAGCATTAGAAAGAGAAGAACAGAAGATTATTGACAAATATGGTGATTTCATTTTGCTTCTCTTGATAACGCCGTCTTTCATTCTTTTAGACTTTGGATCAAAACAACTTGAACAGACTAGTGAGTCGGCTAATACATCTGGTTCATCTCTGCCTGGCTTATGCCCAAGTGGAGAATCCATGATTTCTGCCGGAATAGAGTCTGATCACCCAGATGATCCTTCACCATCAAGTGGTGAATTGTCTAATTCATTCTATGCTGATAAGGCTTGTACTTTAAAGAGAGCTGATAGCGGTAGATCTGTTGCAGCACAAATCACACGTCTGTGACGTTCATATCTTTGTTCAAATCCAGATTTTTATATACGAAAAAAATATTCATTTTCCAGACTTCTGATTTTGTACAAATTTCTGTATATTTTCGTTTTGTTTGTTCCTTCCTCTCTCATGCGCACAATATTCTAGGTGATTTTGAAATAGCGTGTAAGCACCAAGCACTTCTTTCAAAAGTATAGTCTCATGGGTACCGAACTTTTTTCTCGGTGTAGATTTGTTGCCATAATAATTAACTTGCCTAATATACATTTATATTAATCCATCTACTAGTCTACATAATAGATTCTGTTCTCATTTTGTTCCGTTCTTTCAGTAATCCTGTATAATTAATAATAATAAAACATTTAATCGTTTTCATTGACGAAGTCCCGTAGTAGACGTTCAGAACGGTTGCATTCCATGTTATTTGATGACTAGTTTTCAAACATTGTCTTCATACTGTTTTTCAGAATGACGTTGAGCAAGGCTATCAATTCAACGATAGTTACGCGTTTCTCGAGTGGGCGAATACTAAACCAACTTAGGTTAGGAAGGAAACATCTGAACTACTAAACTTCTGTCGTTCTAGGCATACGTCAGCGGGTCCACCACCTGTGCCACCTCCAGCTCCTGATTCTATTCGTTACAAATGGGAGAAGTATTTAGAAAAATGGCCCAAAATTGCATCCTTGAATAAATTGGTCTTTGACGGTAAGCAGGAATAGCAACATCAATTGTATGGCAAGAACATCTTAGGGTCCAAATGGTGTTTGAATGACATCAAAACATATTTCAATCTCAGAAAAAACATGTTAAGCGGGAAAACTACTATAGAAAAGTTGTCGACATCGGACTTAGAAGTCTTAGTGCAGGTATGCCAGATTATAAACTAACACAGAACCTCATTTGCTTTCGTCGATAATGAAAATAATGTTGATATGTGTGGCACAACTTACCCAGTCCGTTTTAAACTCTTGCTTTTAATAGAGTGGAAGCGAAATAATGAAAATGCTGTTACTCATCTTCATATTGCAAATTCCGGGTCCTGGTGAAACATTGATTGTTCTCATGTAAGTTGCCATGGAATTGCTTGGTCACGTTTTGTGCAGATCCTAAAAGGGTTTCTAATATTTTGACCGCGGAGCGGGAGCAGATGAGGTTCTTAAACGATGACAAATATTGACGTGACCTAATACAACTGTAGTGCTTGGTAGTGATAATCTAATGCTCTCTGAAAAGCCATCATGTTAGCATTTATCATCTATTACAGACACCATCTGAAACACTCAAAGCGTTAACAATCATAGTTCTGCTCCCGCTACCTGCAACCTTCTACCTTATTGGGTTCTGCGTGTATGTGCTTATATATATTATCATTACGTGATAATATATAACAACTGCTCCACAGCTTTCTTATCACCTTCTTTTCAGTGTTTTCTTCCCTCGCATAGTTTTGACCCGGCATTTCTGGACGGATGATCAACGCAAGGAGTTCTTTGCTATGGAAATTAATAAGTCGAACACCATGTACGACGGTATTCATCAAGCTCTTAAAGAGGTAAAGGAATGTTTCCTTTTAAGCTCTATTGTTTCTTTTCCAGCCCAAATCTATTGAAGACATAAAGCTACCAAACGTGGGAGAACTTACTTTGGATCTATCCGTGAGTTGAAAGCATGTTTTGACCAATCATCCATAGTATTGCAGACGAAAATAAGTCAGCTACAGGGTTTCTATCCAATACCATTCACTAATGGCCGACTAGCTAAAAGAGTGCGTCTCCTCCGCCGACTTGACGAGACTCTTGCTAGCTATCTAGACACGTTGACATCACAACAACTATTATTCGTAAGACTGAACCAATATCTGATCTATTGTAATGTAATTTTGCTTAGCATATGTACATTCGTCGGCTAGACTACACAAATCTGAGCGATGACCAAATTCGCAGGAAGCTGAGGGATTGGGTCGGGATGAGTGAGTCTTCTTTTCTGCACACTCTCCATTACCTCATTCATTTCAGCATCTTCTCTCAGCGACTCCGCTTACTTAGTTGCTCCAGTTTATTTCAACAAGCTCAGGCAATAGAGAATAGTTTACGTAACTGAGTTTTAGGCTTATTTGTTCACACGTATTTCGTATTTCAAAAGTTGTTTTTTTCATTTATTTATTGAAGTTGTTATACAGTGGTTTTCAACACCGCTTCTCAAATTTTATTTCTTAGAGTTTCAAGTTTTACATTTCCATCAATAATAATATGTGTTCTTCGCGATTGTTGAAACTTGAGCTCAGTGTATGCACGCTGCTATACTTGGACCGTTCTTATTCATTTCATTGGCTATTCATTGACGGCAATTTCGTCATTTTACTGTTTTTTCAGTCTTCTCCATTGTTTCATTCATGGATAGAAGTCCTACCCTAACAGACGAGAACATTACCTCGCTCTTTACATCCATCCATCTTCTCATTGTTCCCAATTACTTCCCAAATTTGTCATAAACTCATCATTATCTGCATTTAGCACGAGAGGGCTCTCATCGGAATTGCGAATTACATAGCTCATCGTCTACCGAAATTCGATCCTCTTTTTTCATTTCGTAACCCCATCTGTTACAATTCTTCCGCAAACCTTATGTTCTCCTTCTTCCTGCTCCTGAAAGCATTCAAATTATGTAACACTTTGATTGCCCGTAAGCTTATTCCTTCCCAAATTTATTGTCGCCCAGGGAATTACAAGCCTGTCCTCTGTTCTTGTGATCTTCCTCTCATTTATTCCTGTCGTCTGTTATCTGCTTTGAATTTAGAAGCGCAACTTGTCCAACTCATGTTTCCATTTTAGGCGCCGTCAGCCAGATAGAGAGTATCGAGGGGACAAACTTCGTTCTTCCGTCCGTCCATCTTGCGACCAAAGTGAGTATTGAAATTCGTTGCTCATGTGTGTGTGGGAATGTCCGGGATATGATTGGGTTAATGTCAAACTTTATACTTCCACATATGGAGTACTGCATGAAAAGCTTGACTTCCTCATAAATTCCCTCGAGGTTGTAGTGTTTGTTTCACTGCTCCATATTAATTGTCTCATAAATCGTCAGTCAGCAATTATTTTCAGTTCGATCGTTTCGTGGGTCGTACCATGAGTCGATGTTCTTACTAAAGTTCGATCGCTCTCATATCGTTTTTCCTGAATCTCTTATGTTTCTGCTGCTGTCTTCAACTCAAAACTACATATGAATAGATGCTAAAACGCATAGCAAAATGCCGTGCAGTTTAAAAGATGAGTGTGATTCTCTTCTCCGATGTGAAAGCGATTTGGCACGTCGTCTGGTTCTGAGACCTTTAGCTCCCTCAGATTTACCTGATGTTCGTGCTATTTGTGCTGCTTCTTTTCCTATCAAATATCCAGACTGTTGGTGAGTCGTGGCAAATGAGATCTTATCATATCCCATTGAAACATTAGGTACGAAGAGGTAGTATCGGGCTCTCTAATCAGCCATGGCTTGTTTGATGGTAGTCGTCTAGCTGCTATAATGGTTTCGGAAACCAAGAAGATATTGCACTGCAACGCAGAAGTGAGTTTGATGTTTGAAGGAACAGTTGGATAATCTCCACTCGTTACAGGATCGAGAAATACTAGCAGACGCAAGCTCTCATGTCGTTTATATTTTGTCTTTAGCTGTTAACATTGAATATCGTCGAAGTGGATTAGCTTCAAGGTTATTGAATCATCTCTTAGACACCGTAAGAAGAGTATCTTTATTTGGAAGTAAACTGATTGTTCAGATAATTGAGAATCCTCCGTATCCCAGAGCTGTCTTTCTTCATGTCCTCTCTACCAACTTAGCTGCTATTTCGTTTTATAAAACGAATGGCTTCATCCATCATGATACACTCCTGTAAGTTGACCTTCCGCACTTTCTAATCGTTGACAGAGTTGATGAGAACCCATGAGAAGATGAGGCTATATAGTGTTTCAATGAGAACTTGAATACGAAATGAAAGAACTGGTTTTAGAAATTACTATCGGCTTGAGAGTGGTTATGGAGATGGTTTCACCTTTGTGAAGTACACTAATGGAGCCAGACCTCCGATGTCTTTCAACACCCTTTGTCGAATGCTGGGGGAAGCTGTTTGTTTTCCTGTTAAGAAACTCTGCAGATTCTTTTCATATTCATAGTCACGTACTTCTAGGATATATCACGATTTGTCTCATATTCATTGCTCTACCTTTCATGTACTCTCTCAGTCAGGCCTATCCTTGCTCTCACCTCTCACTCTCTTTCTTCCTATCTTTCTATCTACTTCAGTCCTCACTCCCTTCTATTATCAAACCAATTTCTTATCACTATCGGGTAAGGTCAGATAAGACCGAAGTTATTCAAAAATACCTTTATACTTCATACTTTTCTTTTAAAAACTTTATTAGAACAAAATTATTCAGTAAGACGTTGTCGTTAATGTATTTCGAGAAACGATAAATATTACAACAACAAAACATGCGAAAACAATATTGTTTCAGAAATTCCATTCAGGAGAGGAATGTATGAAAGGAGGAACTCGGGAAGGGGAGAATGTCAAAATACAAATATGGAAACCACTCGACTCGTGTTGATGATGATGAGATGATGATGATAAAACTGATCAAATAACTACTCTCGTGCTTAGACATAGACGATCGCTGCTCATTCAGAAGTTACCATCTCTGACTTCGATACCGTCCATAATCATCTTTCCTAACTACAAAGTCAGAGTTAGAAAAGAACTTAAAAACATCCTAACTTAGAATATCTAACGTCTCAAGTTAGTTTGATGAAGTTGACGGTTCGTCCGTAACCTCCACTTCAGCAACACTGGACTTCTCTTTGACTTCTATAGAGCTACTAGATTCAGGTTTGATTTGTTCTGTTGGAGTGACTAGATCATTTTCAGACTTAGAAACAGAAGTGTTCGCTTCACAACCATTTTCCACGAGAACACTTGAAGTTGATACAGGCACAACATTCACAGAAGATGTGCTTGGTCCGTCTTCCACCTCAACTACTGATGAGCTGGGCTCATCATCGTTGCCACGGTCACAAGTGGACGATCCAGAAGAACCACTAATACACATAGAATCTTCGATAGAGATAGGAGCAAGAGTACAGACTGAAGGAGTGGGAATAGAAGATGGTATCGTATCAGAAGCCGGAGAAGCCTCAGAGCACGAAGCTGAAGCTGAAGGCAAAGCTGGAACTGTAGCAGGTGGCATTGCTGGAGAAATAGACGGAACTGTAACTGAAGCAGGAACGATTGCAGCATCTGGAGCCGGAACATCAGCTTGAGCAGGAACATCACCCTCAGCCGGTACAAGAGCAGGCAGAAGAACAGAAGTAGTATCTGTTTCAAGCATAGAAGACATGCCAGGATGAAGAATTGCAGAAACAAAATCGTTCATACTCGACGGAGTATCTGCAGCACTTGTAGTTGAGGCAACATCAGGGAAACTGCTGAGGAAAGGAGGTATGGAATCGGTACTATCATTTATCTGATCAAAAAGTGGAACTGAGCTATCCTCAAGAGACTTTTCCATCCTGTTATGGAGCGTTCTCAGCTGATCGGTATACTTAGTCTTCACGAACAATGCTCTTGAAGCACGCTGTAGCACAATTCTTTTAAGAATTGATATCTGCATTCTCTCAAGAACAGCCAATTCGGTAGAGGCATGCTCCATGGTGGAAGATTTCAGACCATGAACAGAATATGCATTTCCATCAAACTGATCTCTCATTCTCATCCAACCTTGTTCCAAGTCATCGGTAACCTCTGCTTCTTCATTAGGGATATGAAAGCCAGTACAGTACTTGGGAGGTATAAGATCTTTGACATTTTCTTCTTTCATCAGTTTCTGACCAAGTTTAGTGAAGAAGTCTTCATTGCTGATCATATCTCTGATGTTCATCTGCAAAAAACCAATATATATTCGAAATTGTTTCGAAGCTTACGTCATGAATTTCCCTACAACGATCATGGATGGAGGCCATGATACTCTTAGAACTAGACTTGAACTTGACATCTTCTACTGAGTCGGAACTAGGGTTGCATTTTGAATGTGAGTTTGAGCCCGAATTCGAATTACTGCTAGGTGTATCCTCTTTGTTTTTGTACTGTTCAGTGAGGTTGTGCAAGAAATGTTCTTTCAGTTGAAAGTAAAATTGGACAGCTTCTGCCAATGTAACAACCTCGTCGTTGGCAGAATACATATGAAAACCTAAGTTGAACTTTCGAGAACAGGCGTTCACGCAGTTGAAAAGACAGGCTTCCATTTCTGTCATACGTCTCGAGACCAATGCTTGTTTATGCCTATAAAACAGTTGTTCAATGATGGATTAAGATGGTCTCACTTTTTCAGAGCTTCGTCAGAGAATCCATAGGGAAATTTGGAGAGAAGTTTGACTTGGATCATGATGACCGCGGCATATTGGATTCCATCACGGATAACGACAGGCAACTGCACTTCGTCCACTTCGGCCCATTGCCAACTAGCTATTGAATTCATTAAGTAATCGATTGAGGGCACAATTCTACACGAGTAAGAATGAACTAGGTAAAATTATGACAACATACTTCTTCTTGGGAGCAACCTTTCTGGGGATAGTCTCTTCCTCATCTGAGAAGAAATAATTTTCATCCTCGAAGCAATCAAGTCCTCTGGGTGGCAGCGATCGTCGGCCCCCAATACTAAGAAAGCCCCTAGCCTCGTCAATAACCAGCTCTCTAGTCTTCATTTTTTTACTTTTGTTCGGACATTTTACTGGCATTATGTTTACGCTGAAACGGATGAGAATAGAATACGGAAAGATGGTTGAAGAGTCCAAGTAAGGACTTGAGAACAGAAAATTCAAGAAACATCCGCAGAACTTAAAACTTCAAAAAGAGAAGGATAACTAGCTCCAATCGTTCGCAAAGCGTCCTCATAAAGAATACGTAGAAATGACTTGTTCCGAATATCCTTCCAGGGTATGTGCTATGGGGCCGTTCAGCCTGAATACGGGTAGAGCGCGCGTTGATATCGATCAATCTGTCTGTGCTCTCTCCTTTTATGTCACTATCTCTATCCATAGGTTTAGCGTCAATACATAGCCAATTCATGACATGCTTGAGTTTCCCAGATTTCATATTAAGCCAATAGGCAATTTGAGGTTCTCATACTGGCTTGAATGTTGCTGAAGGCATGAGAAGCTTCATTTCCTCTACGTAAATTTGCGTAAAGTACGTGGTTTGGCATTTTTTCAAATTTCTTGTCGATGCGGCGATCTTCAAGGCTTTATCTGTTTGTTTTTAATTTTGAAGCTTCATTAAGTTTGTTAATTACTTCCGTTTGTAATACTTAGTTGATTACCTTGATTGTCATCACAGAACAGTCAGTTCTGACTTTGAGATTTATCATCATTGCTTAATCGAATGCTGTCTTTGAGACTTCCAGGTGAAGATGGTGATGTCTTCTTCAAGGATTTAAACGGCTCACTTAAGACATATTGATTTCTTTTTTTTCTTCTTACCATATACGTTACTGCTCTCTGTTTTTCAATTTGTTTGATGTTTCTTCACTTGGTTTTGTATTGGTCTCGGATTTGAACTTGAAATATTACTTCCTTCAGCAGATGACGGAGACGAATTCTTCGAATGGGGCCTCATTTAATAATGGGAACGGATTGCCGGATGATCTTTCCGAGAAGCCGCTCACACCCGAATACCTACAACTTATCATGGCTTACCTACGGAAGAATGGACTACAGGTATTTATAAAGTTGAGTTTGCTCATTCATTCTTTGTTAACAGGAAACAGAAGAATCACTATCAAAAGAAGCTTCGGCTATGCTCAGATCAGGGGATTCGAACCCTTTAGCTTTTCCTAATCAGTAGGTTCTGTTTTCCTTATCATCCTTATGTTTTTCCGTTTCAGTGATAGTATTGTTAATGAATTCGAATCGTTACTCCATCAAGTTGATTCTTCTTATGATTTTTTCCAAGCAGAATTTAGTTTATTGCTTTTCCCTGTGTTTGCTCATTGCTTCCTGAAGCTTTTGTATGAAACTGGTGGTCAAAACGGTGTGTCTTTCATATGTTCTTCTCTGATCTATTTTTTATTTTTCAGCCAAAGATTTTTTTAACCGTTTCCGTCTGCGAGTCCCTGCTCCATACGAAGAACAAGTTGATATTCTTAGTCGTATTTCTAGCACAAATCACGCGAACTCAAACACATATACTCAGCTGCTTCAGTGAGTTCTTATGACTTACCACGTTTGCTTGATGTCCATGTTTAGAAAGAATTCTTTTATTGTCAAAATGTCACGATCTTGCATGAAACAGTTGGAGTTATTGCTTGCTAGGTGTCCAACTTTGAAAAATATCATAAAGGATCATATAACCATTGAACGTAAGTCTGAATCAGTTTCATTCATTATTTATTGCTTCTTCAGAGTCTGATGTAGTTTCAAAATTAAAATCAAGCGTTGAATGCCAAATGGGGGGAATCCTCGGGCAAGTTGGAAGGAACTTACAGCGTCATAAGGTTGGTGAAAAACAACATCAGTTTAGATGAGCCGGTGACTTTCAGATGCTTCATGGCGTTCAAAGAGATGAACTCATGCAAACAATTGAAAAAAGAAAGACACGAGGAAAAGATGTCAAAGACAATAAGAAAGTACAAGCAACTGCTCCGGTAGCGGATCGTATACCCATGCCTGCCATGAGCGAGAGTTATAGAGAGGAGAAGCGAAAAGCTATTAGAGTATGTACTAGTTGACGTCGTTTTTTTTTCACAAGTTCAGTTTCAGGATGCTAGCAAACTAGCGCTTGTAAGCCAAGAGAACCCGCCTTCTATTTGCATGTTCACAGCTCTTAATGCTCATGGAGGTGTCACTAGTGCCGATATATCAGATGATTCATCCTTGATGGCCTTAGGGTATCTTTTCCTTTCAAGTTTGTATCTACTTGTTTTTCCGTCAGGTTTGGTGATTCGACAATCAGTATATTCGCTTTCGATGAAGCTCAAAAACTAAAGAAGCTTAAAGATATCGATGATCTAGAAAAGGTTTTGTTTCTCATTCTTTACCACTGATTATGCGGAGTTACAGATTGACCCAGATACGGATAACTTCCACGAGACGCTGTATGATGATAACACCGCTTCTACCAACGTTATGCTTCTTGTAGGTTGATTTCTGTCATCTTTGACTTTGTTGTTTTCTCTAGGGGCACAATGGACCTGTTTATTCCGTGAACTTTTCCCCCGATAAACGCCTTATCGTATCATCAGCCAAAGATAACACCGTAAGGTTATGGAGTACAGACGCACAAAAAAATGTAGTCGTCTATCGGTTAAGCATGCCTGTGTGGCAGGTATGAGGTTCAGTTCTTGACGAAGTCATATTTGCTCATTAAGGTTCAATTCTGTAATCGTGGGTATTACTTCTGTACTGGAAGTTCAGACAAATGTGCCGCTCTATGGTGCACCGATAGGATGAATCCTTTGCGACTTTTCCCAGACAGTTACGGAGGAGTGAGCTGTGTAGATTTCCATCCTAATTGCAATTATGTTGTAGGAGGTGAGTAATACAGTCATATTAATTTCTAATCCTTCATACGCTTGTCAGGAAGTGATGATCGTTACGTCCGGATTTGGGATGTATTGAATGGCACTTGTGTGCGAACATTTAGCGGACATAAAGCTGGTGTCCGTGGTGTGAAAGTGTCTCCTTGTGGCCGTTATGTTGTTTCTGTCGGAGGAGATGGAGCTGTTTGTGTATGGGATGTAGCTTATAATAGATTAGCTGGAATGGAAAATAGGTCTGTTGCATCTACAATGGTTAGTTTCGGGTTAAAAGTCGTCATATCAATCCATGTATAGGCATCGATTTCATTCTCAAGGGACGGAGGCGCTTTCGCCGTTTCTCATGGAGGCCCTTCTGTGTCTTTTTATTCGTTAGATAATCTCATAGGAGCGACAAACAATCAGAATGAACAAACTTTTGATCCAAAGTGAGTCGGAGTTGTACTTAACGTTAGAAACTTGAATACGTTCAGAATCAACATGTCTGGTTTCAACATTTACAATTATCCAACCAAACAAACGCCGGTGCTTGGTCTTCACTTCACGAGAAGAAATCTTCTTCTGGCCGTTGGATCTTTCAACCAATAATTCAGTTCATCTTCCCATTGTTCTACCCTTAATTAATCATCGTTTCCTCCATTGCCTCTTTTCTCTGATATGATCTACACGGACGTAGTTCCCTTTGAACTCGTTGTTCGTTCTTCTGTTTTTTTTACCAGAAATTTAAAATAAGTCTTTAGGTACTTATGTGACGTCAATTCGTCGTGTTGTTGTTGTTTTTTCTCTAGTCTGTATGTAAAAATGCTCACAGTTTTACTCAAAGTGAATTTGTTTTTATTCCTGAATTTTATTTCGTGTATCTCTTTTCTCTGACGAGTAATATTCCATATCATAACGAGTATTAAATAAGTGTCTTCATAATTCTACCTTCGGCATATACCTCATGTTTTTCTTTGATTTTTTTTCTTATTCAATAGGAGTTCATTATCTCCTTTGTACTTCCTTACCAATGATTTCTTTTTATCTCACTTGTTTGATTTAGAAGATGAGGATGTCCTTCCCGGAAGGATTGACTAGTCCTGAGATGGAAATTGCAGAGGGAGGAGTGATTCTGGATAATAGAACGTTTGTATCTAATACCAATGAGTTCATTAGTTCAATTTGTTTAGACGATTTGCAGACCTCAGAGCAATGCTGGATAACAGTAAAGATAGTTTGAAAGTTGATGCTATGAAGAGAATTATCAATGTATGTTTTGTTTTCGAAGCAAATTGCAATCATCCCTATTAAGCTTATTGCTAAAGGAAAGGATGTAAGTGAACTATTCCCTGCTGTAGTCAAGAATGTAGCTGCAAAGAACGTAGAGGTAAACATAGTGTGTTCAAATCCATGTTGCAACTCCTACCTCAGCTTAAAAAGTTGGTATATGTTTACTTGGTTCGATATGCAGAAGAACAGCAGGATCTGGCTCTTCTATCCATATCAACATTTCAGAAAGCTCTGAAGGTATGTTTCTTTCAACAATTATTTTATTAATATTACCTATTCAGGATCATAATCAGTTGATTCGGGCCAGTGCATTACGTGTTCTGTCTTCAATCAGAGTAGGCATGATTTCACCTATCATGTTGTTGGCCATCAAAGACTGCGTGCGTGATATGAGTCCTTACGTTCGAAAGGTATGCTTCATGTAAAAATTAAAATAAATTGAAAAGTAAAATATTCCGCGTGTTCAACCGGTCAACACTAGCGTTGCATGCAAAATGAAAACATATTCACGGTTTCCACGTGTTTTACGGTTTTCACGTGTTTCACGTGTGTTCTTAAGGTTGCCGCGCATGCTATTCCAAAGTTATACTCCCTGGATCCTGATCTCGAAGATGAATTAATTGATTGTATTGATTTTTTACTTGCCGATCGCAGAAGCTTAGTATTAGGAAGCGCTGTTTATGCTTTCGAAGAGGTAACACAATATTTTGAGGACTTTTTCCAAGTTTCTCTTTCAGATATGTCCTTTAAGATTAGATTTAATTCATAAACATTATCGGGCTTTGTGCAGGGTTTTGCCTGATGTCGACGAATGGGGACAGGTTTTCACCTTGCCAATCCTATTGGTTCTATTCAATTAATTTCAGGTTATAATGATTGGATTGCTCACTAGATATGCTCGTTCTCAATTAGCTGATCCTGATAAAACGGAAACCACTGATCCGGACATCACTCTTCTTCTCAGTTCTGCTCGTCCATTATTGCAGGTTTTGTGAATTCCCCCGAGTTATCTTATCATTCTATTGTGTTTAGTCGAGAAATTGTAGCGTAGTTATGGCAGTCACTCAACTGTTTTATCACGTTGCACCGAAATCTCAAATTTCTCAGGTACTTTACATCTTGTGACGAGTACGACGTTCAAGTTTACAGGTTGCTCGTGCTCTTGTTCGTCTTCTGCGAGGTCCTCGTGAGATCCAATACGTAGTACTTCTGAATATGGCAACAATCTGTGAAAGGAACCCGGTACAACCTGGCACTTTCGCCATATCAAAAGTGGGATAGCATCCAATGATGAGTGTGGAGTACATGTGTTGTTTCATGAGCCCTGAGAGCATGCTCGGGAAGTAGCCTAAGGGAATACTGTGGGATCCCTTGCTTTCAGTTCAGGGTTTGGTAGCAGAGATAGATCTTTCCGCTTCTCCTTTCCCTATCTCTTCTGTCAATTTTTTATAGTTTTGTCCTGTGTGTACGTGTGAACGTGTGTGGCATTCGTGTGGTGCGATTTCCTATTTTCAACTATTGCTTCTGATCTGCTGCCTAACAAACTCTTGAAGTTGACTATCCACCCTCATCTTGGTTGACAGCCTCACAATTAATCGCACGAGGTCCAACAAATCTTATTGTTGTATCATCGTTAAAATAGATTTTCGTCTTCCTTTTTTCATTTTTTTGTTTTAGAGTTTGTTTGATCCGTTCCTCAAATCGTTCTTCGTACGTTCATCGGACCCCTCTTTCGTTCGTGAACTCAAACTTCATGTTCTCACGAGCTTGGTTTCTGAGTCAAACGTTCACGTCATTCTCAGAGAGCTACAGGTATTTTCGTTCACCTTTCTCTTCTGAAATTATTTCTTGTAGACGTATGTAACAGTAAGTGATCTTGCTGGCCCTGCCGTTGAGGCTATTGGCCGCTGTGCAGTTCAAGTTGGGGCTGTAAGCGAGCAGTGCATGTCAGGATTGGTACAGCTTATTGCATCTCCCAACGAAAACGTCGTGTGTTGTGCAGTTGTAGTTTTGAAAAGGTAAGCTTGACTCTGTTGAAGTGATCATTCTTCTTAGATTATTACATGCTGATGCTCCCCTCCCTCTACTTACTCGCCTTGTCCGATTGATTAATACTATTCAAGCTCCAGCCGCCAGGGCTTGTGTAGTATGGTTAGTAGCTACACACGTGGAAAAGGTGCTTTAGGATGAATAATGTTGTTCTAATGTTTTCTCGTTCAAGCTGGGACACATGGCTCCAGATCTTCTCCGAATTTTAGCTAAGAACTATTCAAATGAGCACGAAGTTGTCAAGGTGAGGCTCAAAGCTATGCTCTCACTGAAATGGTATTGCAGCTAGAAGCTCTGAAGTTGGCCGTGAAACTTTGGATGGTGAATAGAGAAGAGTGTGAAAAGTTGGTTCAGTATGTACTTCAACTTGCTCGCTTTGATCTGAGTTATGACGTTCGTGACAGGTATGTCTCTCTAATAGACTTCTCTATTTATCGTTTCAAGGTGTCGTTTCCTGAGAAATCTATTGTTCAACACTACTGTCTTATCCGAACATGCGGAAGAAATGTTTATGTACAAGAAACCTGCACCTGCTCCTCAGAGTAGTTTCAAGGAGAGGGATCAGTTCCAACTTGGCTCGTTATCTCATGTGCTCAATCAGAAATGTATAAAGTATAAGGACTTGGCACCTTTCTCTGAAGTAAGGCTCTTGTCATTGAAAACGTTGGTTCAATTGTATTTTCCAGGTATCATCAGATCCAGCTTTACGACGAGATCCTAATGCTCCTGAAGAAGCTATGAATTGGGGTGAAGAGGACGATGACGAAGAAGATGACGACGAGGATGAAGAAGAAGATGAAGACGAAGATGAGGAAGAAGACGAAGATGAAGAAGAAAGTGAAGAAGAAGACGATGACGACGAAGAGGAAGAAGAGGATGATGATGATAACGAAAACGACCAGGAGGATGAGGATGAGGAAGAAGAAGATAGTGGGGACGATGCAGAAAGTGCAGTTTCAGAAGAGAAGGAGTCTCCCAAAGGGACAAAGAAAAAAACGGCTTCACCCAAAGTAGAGAATCTATTGGACTTCTCTGAGCCGGCAAACTAACTTATAAGGTCTTTGTGGTGGGGATATTTTGAAATTATTTTAAGATTCGTTCACGATTTTCATATATAGTCATATTGAAGTGTTATATTTATCCAATATGTATCAAAGCAAATGTTTGATCATCTGTTCTTGTCATATCGCTCCTACTAATCTCCCAACCTGTTCTTGAGCATCTACTAGGTCTCTGATTCAGCTAACATATTGCTTTTACTAATCACTAACTTATTCTTATTTTGTATTTATTCATAGATTATTGACAGGAGAATTCCTTCCCCTTGCTTATCTAGTCTATTGTACTCGGTTTCCATACAGTATATGTACTTTGCCCATTCCTGGTTTCCAGGGTCTTCCCGGAACCGTGTCCATCCTTGTGCATGCTTCACTTTTTTACAAATTCTATGTGATCTTTTTCAGTTAATAAACATTATTTACAGTCCTATGTCGATCAACCATCTATTTGGAATGTGTTAGTTCCCATCCGTTCGATCAAGAACATCTGTAGCTACGAATTCCCACATAAGCGAATACACTACAGCAACAATGTCATCCATAGTTTTCATATAGACTACTACGACTTCAATCGTTTTGCTGGCTTCTTTTTTTGTTCTCATTGGCTCTCTCCAGACAAAAAATGCCAAAAAGGTTCTCATAAGGAAGCCAATGAATTCCGATATGAACAACGTCATTAAGGTGCTGTTCTGTACAGGAGAGTTATGCAAGCACGTTTCCCACGCTTCCTCAATCTCTTTTTCATTCTTCTGACGACATTTCGGATTACTGCTCTCGTTCACGTTCTTCGTCTTCATTTTCTGCTAGAAATATCTACCCACCTTCAGCTAACAAGAAGTTACACAACTATTATGGAGATTTTATGAAACGCAAGTATGGTCCACGTATTCCGATATCAGAAGTTCCGGAGTTGGATTGTGGTTAGCCAGCTGTTTTGAACTTAATATCCTCTCTGTTTAGTGGATGCTACTAGTTTCTTGTGGGACCATGGTTATCCAGATGTACAATAGACCTCATCTCGTCCGTACTTTCCATGTGAGAAGACTACAGCTCTCCTAATGTGTTATCGTTCTTACAGACACATTTGAAAAAGCTTTCGGAACGACGTATAGTAATCGAGCCCGATTGCGAATGTGCATCGGTCCATGATTTCTGCTACCGCTTGCCCGAAAATAGTACCATAAAAGGAAAGCGGTTTTCTTGTAAACATCTTGCACTCCTAAAGGAGCTTGGTTAGTCCATCTCTATTCTTGAAGTCCTTTTACATATATACGCTTAGGATTGATCGAGTATGATGAGAATACGTTGGTTGATTTCAATAACAAACAGATGCCAGACTCCGTTTTCGTGACCGCTTTTTCTGATAACCATTACCATGAAGGAGTCAGACTGGTAAGATTAACAACTATCTCGTTACACCAATAAGTATTCAGATTCAGTCTATTCGAAAATTGTTCCGCAACAAAAAAATTGTGTTGTATGATTTGGGTCTTCATAGGCATTTGCACAAATTCAAGGTTGGAAACCATTTTCTTCTGGTTTTAAGACTCATATTCAGAATGCCTGCAACCTGGAAATAAGAAGATTGAACTCTACTAAGTACGGCGACGCAGTATCTGCTCTACATCACTATAGATGGAAACCTCTAGTTATTGCGGTAACTATTTTTGTATTGAACATTCCAATGTTATCATAAAGGAAACACTGCAAGAGTTCGGTGCGGTCTTCTACATGGATAGCTCAGTCGTCCTGGAAAAAAATGATCTCAATCATGTTTACGATCTTATAAGATGTCGTTCCAAGATTCCCTCTAAGTACATCGGCTTCTATGATTATACAACAGTTGTTTAGGAATGTTGTATCTTCTTCTGAGCTGCGAGATGAACGAGAAGCTGCTCAACCACTCGAAGATGGGTGGAACAAAACTGTTTGGATGCAGAATTTGAATGAATGTCAGAAAGTGGGTTCATCTATAAATTATCTCATATTTTTGTTATTCAGGCAGATTATCTCCTACATAGCTTCGCTTCTCATGGCATATTTGCTGCGACAGCTGCAGGTTTGGAGCTCCGGTCTAAATATGGAAAAACAAAGCTTTTAGCCCTTTATGACTTTTTCCCAACAAACTTTGATGAAATTCGTAAACCTAAGGCGAAGATGTATGAAGCAGGTTTTGCTCTTGTTGTGCGTACGAAAGAAGTGATTGATTCTGTTCTTAAATGGTTTTTCAATCTTTTCAAAATTGAGCTGATAACAACTTGTTTCAGGTATGTGTTGTGCGCTTTGGAAGACGACTGCATGGCACCACTTGGAGCAAACTTGCACTGTATGTTTCATTCGGATCGGTATGGGAGGTATGCTGGTTGTCATAGGTGAGGTTCTCCAGCAATTTCTTCCAACGAATTCTCTGTCAGATATGATCAATCAGTTATTAACTTGATACTCGCTAATAAGTATTGGTATGATCGCCACTTCTACTCTAGTGAAATAGTTGATTTCTTCCGAATTGTACGTGGTGGATCTCCTATTCAACTTGGACAGAATGCCTTTGCCTGCTCAAGATGATATATCCCCTCTCCCCTTCTATCTGTCCAGCTTCTTCATTTTGCTGTGCTTGAACTCTCATTTCTTGATGTCTTTATAGACACACGGGTATTAGAACATTTCGAGAATCATAAGATTGATATTGGAAAGCGATTGAAAGCAGTCAATTAAACAACAAGCTTTATTTGGATTCATAAACGTTGTCCTCGGAATGATGGTCTTGGTGTTACAGATAGTGTTTGACTTCCGTTGTTCATATCCGGCAGAAGGTCAGCCGCTTGTTTAACTATGCTGAAGATGATCATGGCTTCGTTGGCATTTTTAGTGGTTGGGCTGCTCAACATGTCCACATAGGCATTGTTTATCTTGTTCCATGCCTGAAGTATGACTTTGAACATTGAATAACAAGCTTTAACAATTTACATTCATGCTTTCCGCGTACAGCGTCAAAATCTGATTTCTCGCTTGTTCATGTTCTCGCTTCACAGCCATATAAGTATCGTCCATTCTGATTATTGTCTGCAATTGATTTTCTTATTAATAAAGTTATGAGTGTTTGAAACAAGCTTTTTATTCTTCTCGATAGTTCTTGCTCTAGACTTCATTAGCATACGTCGCGCGCAATCCACGTTTCAAATTTGAATGATCTCATTTACTTGCAATTAATTTCAACGACCGGTTGCATTTCATCTTCGATTCAATGGGGGCGCTATGTTAAGTAAGTTTACAGTTTTCAATCTCTGTCAATTGGTTTCATTCAGTTGAAATTCAAATCCAATTATCTAGGTACGATAGGCATCAAGAAAGTAGAGAACAAGGAGGTGAAAGTTTTATATAATCGATATGTCTTTCTATTTCAGCATCTAGATTTTCGTGGTGTCTGCGAACCGACTTCCAAGTTTCCTTTATGAACCATCATATGTTGTTCTAGCTCGTCTCTTCTAAAAACAAAGTTTCGATGAAAGAAGGTGTGTTTGAACCCACCGTCCGAAGTTCTCTCCACATATTTGACATGCACAACAGTTTGTGTTTACATGCTTCTTGATATGATTCTCATAGCGAGTACCTTTGTTGAAGGTAAGACTACAGACAGGACAACGTCTTCGAATTGATTCTTTGTTATTTCTAGGACTCATCTCTCTTGGTTGCTGAAGAATATAAATTAATCATGTCATCGTTTTTGTAGACAAATTACTTTGCCACTTTGACTACCGCATTGAGAACTTGAATCTGGTGAATCAGAATTATCCAAATCATGCCCGTGACTGATTTTATGATGATCTAATTGTATTTGAAAATGATAAATTTCCAAACAGATTTCACAAGTGTATAATGCTTTCTCCTGTTATTGGAAAGATTTTGTTGTCTTTGGGTTTTCCCTTACCTTACTGTGTTCTTGAGATATATGGTTGAGTAGGTGGTGTGCTAAATTGAAGTTCATCTTACAGTAAGGACAACACTTCTGGTCATCGTGCTCCAGAAGATGAAGAAGAAGCTGATTGTTCGATATCAACGTCTGCAACAATCGTTATAAATTACTGATGAGGTTTGTTTTTCACTTTAGAGCATATTTCGCAACGCTTCTCTTCTGTGTTTTCAGAGTTTCTAAGAGAAGGCAGTATGGGAGATTGATGTGTAGCCATGTGGAACTTGCTATGGAGTTTCAATTGAGATTCGCTGCGTAACGACTGTCTTAAGGTATTTCACATTGTAATGAGTTCGTGTGTTGAATTTTCACCTGCAGACAGCACAGCTCATGTACATATCCCGCACATGAAGACGCGTATGATGTTCAAAGTCTTCACAAGTTCTAAGGGGACCAGAACATTCTGCACAAGCGTCAGAATGCAAGACCTGTAAGTATTTTCATGGTTTATGCTAATTTAAATTCAAATAGATCGGCGTTCTTTTCACGCAACGTGGTATGCTAATGAAGCAGACACGTGGATAACGTTCAAAGCAACATTTCGTCATTTGTTTGTTCATTCTCGATACACACAGTTGGTTTTTGTCTAATTATAATCTTTTAAATTTTTACCTTACAGTGACTGAATAAACGATGTTCATCCAAAGCATCTTCTCCTGAACAACGTTCATCGCAGACGGAGCATTGCAGAACTCGAGACTGGAAAGGAAATTGAAAGGTGCGCTTGCTTTGATATTTTCTGGGGTCATATTACATCTCTTTCTGCATTTTTTTCGGACTGTTGTTGATAATCTGGACTAGTAAGATGGTTGAGTGATTGTTGACTTAGAAGTGAAGCTGTTCGCTTGACAAACGATTGTTGCTCATAGGGGTTGAATTCCCGATAGCTGAATGACTTGTCATTATTTGAAAATTTTTGAACTATACATTACCTATCATGTACATATTGGACATGAATGGCTAACATCTCACGGGCTTCAAATGATATAGAGCATGAGTTGCATTTGTATGATATAGCTTCTTTGCTATGCTGCATGCAATGCTCCTGTAATGCTCATAAGTTAGTCATTTACATTGTAATTGACGTTTCTCAGTTTTTAAACAGAATTCTAGTATTCTCAAGAGAACGACATGTCTAACAGCAGTCCAATTATAGTCATTTCCCTTGAGATCACAATGCCTGAGCTTTTTAACTTTTTTTTTGCTGCGAATAGTCAACTTCATTAAGTTGTGGGAAGGAAGTGTATAAGGCTATAGCTTGAGGGTGGTGTAGTCTGTGGGACATACCTGATATACTTTCTGATTATCAAGAGGATTGTTGCATATTGTACATATGTATTGAATAGCTAGATGACAATCTATTGAATGTTGAAATAGTTCTGACGCTGTAGCGAACACACAATGGCATTCCATACATAGGTGACGCTTAACAGTAACCTCATAATGAGTTATGATGTGTGATAGACGAGTCTAAAAAGGAATATATTCGAAGAATGCTAGTAATCGTTTGTTTCAATTAGAAATGAAACTGATTGATGTGGGAGATTGTGTCTAAGCTCTCTTTATTCATCTAGCTGATGATGCGGCGTAAGCTATTCTCCATAATTGTAACTGACACACTGGGACAGAAATTTCATTGAAGCTTGAAGCTGATAATAATGAATAATTAAACTGAATTCTCATATATAGTATTCGTTTAGTGAGCTTTTCGTTATTTGGAAGCTATTTACATAAGCTTAAATGTTGGTTTTTTTGAAATTGTTCGTCTTCATCTACTCTCTCCTGTCACTTGGGAATCAGTTCAGAATCATTGGTTGAGTAAATTAGAAATTGAAGAGACATGTTACATACTGTATAGAATGAAGAGAGAGAGACAAGAGAATATGAGAATTCTTCTTTACCAGTAACGAAATTATATTCTACTAAAATGGATGGAAGAGTGCACATTATATTTCCCTTGAGAGTTTCGGAAACGACTCTATAGGAAGAAACAAATACCGTTGCTCATTCGAAAGAATCGGTTTGTCTCTCTGCTATCCTTACTCCCTTCTCTTCATTTCTCTCCATTCATATGTATGGCAGATTGATTATACTCACCAGGTTATCTATGAACGGCTTGGAACATATTGAACATGGTGGTACATCAGAAACAGATTCTGTGGATTGTACTGCTGAAGTTGATGCACTCGACGAATCAGATGAGCTTTGATTATGGCTGCTTGATAAGCCTAACGAATCAGATCCCAAATCAGATGATAAATGCTGACGCATATGCAAAGCAAATGCACCCAGATGAGGAAAGACGGCAGAGCAATGTTGGCATTCGAGAAATCGTGTAGAAGCTGTTATCTCTGATAAATCAGGTGATGAAAGTAACAGCATTCGTTCATCAGCAATCTATAATCTTCAAATTGACAGAGCAAAGAATAACGAAAAAAAGTTTTTTTTCTCCTTCTTTATGTTTCGAACAGGGGGATATTGAAGTTGTTTTGAGCCTGGAAACAAGCCTTGTTTGAGTTCAGAGATGAACATGCTGGCATATGTTCGTATGACAAAAACATTATAGCTACATGATTGGCTATGGCATATCAACTATTCTCAGAAGTTGCAAACGTACTTCGAAGAGGAAATGAACTAACCGATGATACGTGTTGTCTTAGAGTATGTAACTGTAACGAAGTGATACTCGTGAATGTGTCCATACAGAATTGACATTTCATACTTTCTGTTGATGATTGAACAGCTATAGGTGATAGCGATTCATCCTTCACATTCTCTGCTTTGCGATCATACTTCTTCTCCAGAGTTTTCTCTTTGCTATTCTGGCTCTCCGACATGTTGCTTCCTGTATAACTTATCTCACGGCTTAATGAACACGATGGGTTAATGATTTGCTGGAAGCTTTACCTTCTCTTCTGCTTTGGCTCGGGACTGTCTTCGTGATCCTTCGATTGGCTGATTGCTTGAACTACCTCACTTTGATCTTCTTTCACTGCTTTTGGCTTCGATTGTTTCCTCCGAGACATCTGAAGTTCATGCGGAACGTGCAGTTATACTTCAAGTTACGAAAGGTCTAAGCAAGAGCTGATGAGTGAAAACGTTTATGAAATGATTGGTTAAGTTAAGACATGTCAGATCATCGAACTATTGCAAAGTTAAAAGAAATGGTGATGACTGCGGAAAGCTGGAGGCTGTCCTATCCGGCTGTATGTGCTGCTTGCCTGGTCTCCGGTTTAAGATCTCCAGGGAGTCCAGTTGATTGGTCCAATGTCGCCGTTCCCAAGGGAGAGAGCTTAAAAAGGAGTCTCAAGCTTCTCTACTTTTTTCGTGTTCTCTATAATCGCGGTGTGTTTGGGGTTTTCCTGAAAACAGTGTTAAAATTGTATTTTTGTTAGCTACCAACGAAGAGAGAGAGAGTGAAAGAGATAGTCACGGGAGAGATAATTGGATAATTACTATTTTTTGAGTCAAAAACGGAATTTCATTGGGTTGTTTTATCATTTCCTGTTCAACGCCGATGGTCTCTATCGTTCCTTGTTACTTCTGCTCTCTTTTTTTCTCTTCCTTTCTCTCTTCCTCTCTCTCTCTTCTCTCTTTTTATGTCTTTTCTCTTCTTCGACACTATGGGGACACAAATTAATTAATTTGGGAACATTTTGCTGAAAAATATTGGTTTGAAAGTAAATGCCCCTTAAATGGTATAATTGGAAGAAGCAAGCGAAAAGTAAGCAGTCATCTGCAGCTTCCTCTTCATACTCACTCGAACAGCTCATACCTCAGACGATATTTGTGATGCAAAGCAAATCAAATTTTGCAATGGGAACGCATATGAAACCAAGAAAAATGCGAAAAGATGTGCATTCCTTTTGTCAGCAATCCCAAGAGTATATTATTGGGCAAAGCCTATCTGAACAAAATCATCTCATTCCCAAGAGCTTTTTTACGTTTCAGCCTTTTGGAGACATAAAAAAACTGATTTTGGAAGTTTTTCGGCGTGTATACAAACTTTCCTTTATGTTCATCTGAATATGAAATATGGTTACGGGCATAGATGATGATGGCTCTCGAAGACGACATGCCTTTGTGAAACAAAAATGTTTTAAGCTCAACCTCAGGGGAAATAGCTTCTATAGATGACCTCATAGATGGAATGCCTTAAGAGATGTTTCTTGTCAACAGATGCCTAATGTCATCACAAAATGCATAATTAGACTCTAACAATATGGACTTTTGTATGTTTTATAAAAAGTTATTGAAAAAGGATATGAAGAGCTTGTGTATCGTTTCGGGACTACAGGGTCATTACAGAGTGCAATAATACTCTTCTTCTCTTCTTATCTCTAGTCAATGTTACTTATTCTTTCGTCTTATTATAGACTAGCATGTATTCTTTTTCATTAGCATTTTGACTATAAAACTACTGCTAGTCGCTTTTTATGAATTTAAACATTCCACACATATTTCCCAAGAGACTAACCACTATAGCGGTGTAGATATATTATTGTCTCCTTAAAATTAAATGTCTTTCAACGGTTTTCAATGGATTTCGAGCATCGGTGGTTCAGTGGTAGAATGCTCGCCTGCCACGCGGGCGACCCGGGTTCGATTCCCGGCCGATGCAACTCTCTTTTGGTAATCTTGAGTGAATTCGTTATTATTTTGATAATGTATTATGATGTGTATTTTGTCTTAGCGTTATTGCACATTGATCATTAGTTAACGAATTATTGTTTCTCATTTTTGAGATATCATCTTACGAGCTTGTTACGTTGGAAGTTTCTATCTGTGTATGTCCAAATGGAAACATATTCAACGAAAGTAGTATTTACATTACTAATACCAATTAGTTGAACAATTGAACCTTCTGAAATATTTGTATGCTTATATATCCGCTCTAATATACATTTGTCAGCTATTTGTATGTTGATACATAGAGAGTAGTAAATGCTGAAGGTAGTAGCAAAAGGAGATTTAGTATTGTGTTACGGCCCATTATCCGCTCCATTAATCTACGTCTGCCAGTATGTTGTCTTCTCTGTTAAGCAAATAAGGAAAGTGGCAAAACACCTGTTGACATGAGTTGGGATATTCTAGGTGATATTTGAGTGTTATTAAACACATAAATTAACAACTAAAACGGTTGTTATCACGAAAAGCTGACAGTAATTCAATGATCGGCTCTATCAAGATTCACTTTCAGCGAGAAGATGTCTTCAATCACTGCGGAGCTTCAAGTTTACTCTCACATATCACAAGCCTTGCCAACTACAGAAAGATATAATGATTGTGCTACTGATTGATAACTGTAGTGAACGATAGGTTATCGTTTAACTTTGAGAATCAGAGGAGATTCAGATGAGATCCCGAAAGAGGATTAAGAACCACAGGACGGTTGCATTCCGTAAACAGCATGAGGTTGAGTAAATTTCTCCTGATCTCTGCGATTTTGTTATTCATTTTAATAATGTAATAAGAAATAGTTTTTCTCCCTCAAGTGATACAGCTTACTTACTTAGCTATCTGTCTATATTTGGCATTGTGGATGTCATACTATAGAATGCATGATAGATAAGTAAATATTAAGAGAGTGAACAGATTGTAGGTAAAAATGGAAGCTTGTGTGGTAATTGAGAGATCGTTTAATTGCAAATTGATATTCATTTACCTTCTCACGTTACCTAAATCATGCATTCCATCGTTAGATGATGAAGCTGAAAATCTGTTGAATAAGAGAGAGAGAGAGAGAACTGCAAGAGTAAGTTTGAAAGAAAAGAATAAGGAAACATGAAATGATGTGTTAGAATTGGATATAAGATGATGAAACTCCCTCTTCTAATGATAATAGAGAGAAACATATGAAATGAGAGTTAATCTCTTAGTAATATATAACAAGATGAGTGAAGAAGAGACTTGTTAACTCGCAGCAGGAAACAATCTGTCTCTCCCACTTCTATTATCCTTATATGGCAAATATGATTGACTTGACTTGTTTATTCTGAGATTATCACCGTACTTGTAATAAGTCAAGAAGTTTACATGTTAATTCACACATCTTCATTCTATTAACATAATGCTTCTTCAAATGACATCAACCCTCACTACTTCTGATGCTTCTGCTTCTTTTATCATCTCTTCTGCCCCCCCCCCCCCTGCCTCCGTTTCGCACAGTTCGCTGGTACATTTGTGATGAGCAAATTCATTCATTTTAACCTTATATGTTCATTTTGGATATTGATGTTATTTGGGGATTATTTGGTTTCTCAGCTAACATTACTAATCCTCTTGTTGAGCATAGTTAGCTTGTGGTTCGAGTGTCATTGTCTTGTCTCCTACAATGAAAGCTTTTCGAAAATACAAAAAGCTTCACGAGCTTTTGTCTCTCTTCTCTTATAAACTTCATTCTATCTCATTGCTTCACGTAGATCGCTTAAGATGAAATGGTTTTGCTCAAAGTCATTTCTTTGTTCATTTTCTATATTCATATCTTATTTCCTTTGAAGCTTTGAAGAAGAAAAATAAAAAAAGAAGAAGCAAGAGTTAACAGAGAAGAAGAAGAACAAGGAAATGCTCGAAACAGAGGTATTACCAATGAAATCGAATAAGATGTGCTTGAGGTTATCTTCAAACTATTTATTTTGAATCGGCTTCTTCTTTGATCATCTCCTATTGCTCCCTTCACTTGAAACTTTTTGACAGCTTTTTATGGTCAACTACCTTAGCAACTCATCTTCTTCTCATCAGCTACGTCATTTACCAGCAATAGATGAGCAGATAGTTATTTGCTCGACGGCTAAACGTCGGCACATCTCGAGTTGTTAACAAGAAAAAGAACAAATGTATTCACACTCTCTCTATCTCTCTCTCTCTCTCCCTCTATCTCACATCACTTATACGCTACTAACAGTAAAGAGGTGTGAAGATGATTTGTCTATTGGATGTTTCATCTAACTTGTTATAGTTTTTCTTCAACTAACAAGAGAGATGATGGTTAGGAAGTATATGAAAGGAAGAGATGTCGAACGTATAAGCTGGCTTAACCTATCGCATTGCTTATACGTAGCTTCTCATCCTCCTTTTCAACAACATTGTCTATCATTTTTGCGCTTGATTAACAATATAAATATTATATTATACAGTAAGAATGCGTATAATATACTATTTAGATAATGGTGTTAAGGTAATGGGAAGGAAGAGTACTCGATGAGCTTCTGAAGTTTACTTCCGAACTAATCCTCTCAATGGCTTTTGTGGTAGCAACGTCATTCTGCTCCATTCAGAAGATTGCTTCACTAAGATGCAAGTCATTCTCCGTTTCATTTTCAGCTTTTTTTTGTAAAGCCAAGACAAAGGTGTAATTGATACTCATTTCACATCCAAATGCTGTCGTATACAAGACGACAATGTGTTCGAGATTCTGATGAGCTTGTTTAACGTCATCCAAACATACAATTACCTTTGAATGATGTCGTTCATCGGATAGGAGGTGTGATTTGGTCAAGGAATAAGAAGTCTCTCTCTCTCTGAAACACCTGTCAAATGGAAAGAACCGCTTGAAATGAGTTTGAAGTTGTATATGAAAGATGCGGGAATGATCTTCAATTGCATGGAAGGAAGGGGAGAGATGAAGCATACGGTTGTTTATGAGGCTTACAAGTCCATTATGTAAAGGTGTAATTTACAATATTCATATACTTTACATGGACTTTTATTGTTTCTTTAATTGAAGAATATAAACGACCATGAGCTTCTCACACCTGCTGTACACATGAATGAGTTGTGTAACTTACAATTGAAACGAAATAATTAGTTTCAATGATGTGACATTTGTATTTTCCTTTATTGGACATGCTGTTACCTCTCCCTCTATCGTCTATCCATATCCATTTGTGTGTTGTGTCAAAGAAGAAAAAGAAGAAGTCGAAACCATCAGATGATGATGATGAGAATATCCAAAAACTAACTTTGAGTCGGATCTCTTTCATATTTCACATTTGTTTTTATTCAAATGGAAGGTATGCAATGGTTTCTTGAGTGAAGTAGTTAAGGATGAAGACTATTAGGACATATTGTCATTTGTAATTCTGCAATCAATCCTTTTATGGCCTTGGAAATGTTAGTTTCATTAGTTTTGGTTGTCCTCTTCAACTTGTCGAATAACAGCATATGAAGAGAAAAAAGCAAAAGGACGAAATCAAAGAAGTGGAAGAGAGAAGATGAAGCAACAACTCAGGAAGATGATCTCAATCTCTGAACTTCATTCATCGAAGATAGATTCAGATGAAGAAGAAGCATGTCGAAGAAGCTTCTTCCATCCAATCACATTTATCTTTTCGACAACTTTTTGATGGAAAGTTGATGTGAAATATAATTAGAAAGATGATTGAATAATGAAAAAAAAGTGATGGAAATGAATGTAATTAAGAAAGAAATGAAATGGATTGTTGATTAGAAGAAACGATTTGTGGGTCAACTCATTCAATGATTATGATTGAATTGAAACCTCGTTGAGTGTGTCGAAAAAGGACAACGACGACGATGATGATGATGACGACGACGACCATCCATTGCTAACACAATATCAATTTGAACATATTTATCATAGAAATCTCATTATAAATACATAATTATGGTAATGATCATTTGAATACTGTAAAAGGCTGATAGATGAGGAAGGGGCTAGAGAGGGAAGGAGGGGAGGATACTGTAATTGATGAGAAAGGAAAAGCGAGAAAACAATATTAAAAGGACTACTGTAGATTGATTGTTTCAAATGGCACACATACACACACACACACATACATACACTCTCATACTGTTATAGACAGCAAGTAACAATCTATGAGATGAGAAGGTATTGAAGAAGTGAGGAAAGAACAACAGATAATAAATAAGATGAAAAATACACGTCAAGACTAGAATTTATGAAGATTTTGTTGTTAAATTGAGAGAAGACGTTGTAATGGATGTAAGAAGGTTCTTAACTGTCTTGGGAGATTTTGATGACGTCACCTCCACTTCATCTGTTAGTGCTGAGATGTTTTCTTCGATTTCTTCTTCATCTTCGACGTCATCAGCATCTTCATCATCATCTGCTTCTCTTCCTGATACAGCAGATGCATAATCATGAGAGCCATTAACTGCAGGTGTAGGTGATGAAGTTAATGAGCTTATGGATGAAGCAGGAGAAGGGCTTCGTTGTCTAGATGATGTTGGTGATTCACTGGCACGTTTGTCTGTTCCCTCAACACGTACACGCTTGTGTTTCGTTCGACGATTTTGAAACCAAACTTTCACCTGCAAAATGGTACATTGAAGAGAGTGTCATGTCGGTTGAGACAAAAATAAAAGTAGAAAAACGTAATTGATATTGTTTTATTCATCAAGCGTAATCCTAATTTCGTGTGAGGGATGTTGTCTTTCGATTTTCATCTCAATTTCTTATATTTCTGTTCCGGCTTTTTCAGACTTGAATGTTATTTCTTCACACAGCTACAAACTCTGTGTCAATAAATGGATCATCATTTCATAGTGTGTGCTTGCCCTACCACCCTCTCTCTCTCTCTCATATACTTCATCTACCTCTCTCTCTCTCTCTCTCTCTCTCTCTCTCTCTTTATTCTATAAAGCTTTCATTAGGGAATGAATATGAACGATGTGGTATCTTACGAGAGGCTATTGTTGCCATCAGATGAGTAGATGAGACCTGAGTTATCCGGTTTAGACGACAATCTCTCAATGGATTCTCTATCTACACCTCTCTTCTATTCTCTTATTTCCTCATCCCTTTCACTTCACGTATCTCACTTCTCTTCCGGTATCTGTAACCATCGAAATTACAAGTGTAATAGAATTAACTTGTAGATGTTGAAACAGTTATTACATCATTGAGCTTACTTGCTCATAGCATGGGACTCGGCTGCAAACTACTTCTAATGTTTGGATAAGCTCACACAACAATACTACTAGTGTTAACCTAGTTTTGTTAGTTTGTATTCATCTACCTGAGTTTCGGTTAATGCCAGTCGAGCAGCTAACTGCTTACGTTCTGTTCCAACAACATAATGATTTCCATCAAATGCTTTTTCAAGCTGAACCAGTTGAGCTGGAGAGAAGGCTGTTCGGATTCTCTTATTTTTCCGAAATGGTTGAAGAAACAAGCCAGCAGCTACATCTCCTGTAATTCATAGACATTATGTTTATGAGATGTAAGTAAAGGTTTTCACTTGTGTGGAGGGAGACAAATAAAAAGAAAGAAATGAGTTAATAGAGTGTTGAGATTAAGCTGAGCCTATTGAATAAGCTACCGTATACTCATGTATTCGTAATGAGCACCAGCAATCGAGAAAAAGTAAGATTTGAATGAAAAGAAGGGTGAAGCTCAGCGCTATGTGAGTGTCAATTGAAAAGAGATTGATGATGGAAATGACAAAAGAAAAGATTGTTAGATGAAAAGCTTAAAAGCAGTTGGAAAAAAAGGAACTATTCTCTTCGACCATTCAAAAATAACTGAAATTATGAGAGGATGGATTGTCTTCAGTATTTTCGCAGAAAAAACAATCATAATTGAATATGTTGTTGGTTGATTACGGTACTCACCGAATTGCGCAGCTCCATTAGCTTGTTGCAGAAGCTCTAACCACTGCTGACCCCATAAACGACTATGATTGTTAGATCCATTATCCATGCCAGATGATAAGAATGGATTGGATGAAGCCATCTAGAGTTCATAGTTTGATTTTCCTGTCCGAATCACAATGCTTACTTGTACATGAGGTAATAATACATCGAAATAAGATAGTGTTTGAGCTAATGGTTGATTCACTGCTGCTGCTGCTGCTGCTGCGGCTGCGGCTGTCAGTACTTCTGTAGTTGTAGAAGCTGAAGACGACAACGATGATGTCGATATAGATGAACTAGGAGGTGTTAAAGTTGTACTGATGTTTGAATCAGTAGCTACAGCCTTAGCGTTTTCAACCAATTGCGAAATTGAAAAGTTGAGTACCATTTGGCTATTAGTTGAAAACTCTGAAAATTAGTAGAAATTATATGATTTTAGAAACAATGAATTTGGAAAAGATATATTATGAATAGATGGGCAGGTTGTTGCCTCATCATCATCATTTTGTCCAAAAGCCAAGATACCTTTGTGACTAAAGATGGGCGTGGTCTTTGATGGGCGGAGACAGCTTCAGCTATTGGCTGATGAGAACGTCTAATAAGAACAGAGCGCATAGGTGGATTGAGTGAAAGAAAGCAAACCTAATGTAAGCATCGTTTATTATTTTGGACAGAGGTGCTTATCACAAGTTATTGCTAAGACATTTTGATTGATGATGTGATAATGTAATAGGTATGATGAGAGTAAGCGAAACACTTTCGTCATATCAATGTATGAAGGACTTCAACAACACTGCATATCCTCCTCATTTTGAATCCTCTGTACGCATCAGATCACTAGCAGTTTTCACTACAATTCTAAAGAGAATCATTTTCGTTTTTGTTTTGTTTCACATGCTTATAGTAGAGAATTCAGAATATTGCCCTTCTTAACCTTTTCCAGCTATCACAGCTCGACCGGGACATGCCAAGTATACGCGCTCGAAAATGAAATTCACGTTTACAACAGCTCAATTGCAATGTAAAATGAAATTATTAAAACCAATACACTGTCACGTATCTGCGTTTACAATAAGAGAAGAGAGTTCTTGGCTTATATACCCCCGTGAACCTGAGCAACGTGAAAAAAAATTTTATCCGGTCGTTCCCTTTCCCGTAAAAACCGTAACTCTGCTCAAATCTCATGAAATTTGATGTTTTTTGTATTATTTCATGTTTTGGATATGAAACTTGTTTGAGAATTATTCGAAATCGGCTGAAAAGCTGGCA